CTATGATTGTACATTCAGGAACTATCGATTAAGGTCATTATGTGGCTGTAGTAAAGCGTAATTAGAATGTATGTTTATCTTAATGATTTGTGAAGTTTTATCTCTTCAATGATGATGAAATTGAGCGTCTCTTACCTAACCAAATCAATCAAATAGATTCTGCTTATCTATTCATGTATCGTAGGAAAAGTGATTGATTAATTAACTTTTTTTATTTTATTTTCTGTTGAAATTTGAATGAGTTCAAATACTCTTCTAACTTACCTCTAAAATTAAATCACCTAAATAACTCTCAACATAGAGCATATATAGAAAGACATCTCATTACTTCACAACTAATTTGAACAGAAAATATTCACAGCAAAAAGAGAATGTATTATCATTAAACATTAATTATAGTAAATAGTAGAGATGACTCAACATAAATATAAATAGAACAAATTAAATAATAATTTGATTACACAATCAAAGCTTTAGAATAGAAAATGTTACATATAGATGAAAATAAAATGGATTAAAATGAGGCTTATTAAATGATGGAATCTAACAGAAAAAATATTCAAGAAGATGTAGATTTACTTAAAAATGAAATGGCTTATTAAAAGAAATATTTTGATGATCTACTCAATGAAAAAATTAGACGTTTAGAAATTTCTAATTTGACAGAAACAGTTAATTAATTCAAAGATCAACTCAAATAATACTATTAAGAAGAATAAAAATAATTAAATGAACATTAAACTCTTACTAAATCTTTACTTAATGCAAATAAAAAAGCATTTTTTTAAGAATTAGAAAGAATAGTTTAATAAGTGGATTCTATGAAAATTGAAATTAATGATTAACAATAATTATTTATTAAAAAACCAGAATTAGAAACTCGAATAAATTAGATTCATTTATAATTAGAATAAAAATCTGATTTAATTGAAGTGTAGAATGCTTTAAATACCCAATAAATTGATATTGCCTAGAGATTTTAAGAATTTAAAGATGAAGTACGTACAGTTTTAGAATTATAAGGAAATGAATTTTACTAATTGATTAATAAAAAAGTATATATTTTACATTAATTTAAAATAGGCAAACCATAGCGAAGTCATGTAACTCTTGTAAGGAAAAATAGATATGGAAACTCTATTATTGCATTCAGAGGATAAAGTTCCACTCAAAGATTTTCATCAACATATGTCATTAATAGAGAACATCGCTGTTGATTTAGGAAAAAAATAAGATACAAATTTATTTTTAGAATATAAAGAAGCTAATAACTTATTAATTGCTGAAATTTAAAAAGATGTTCAAAAAAAAATGTCTAAAAGAGACTTTAAAGATTTGCTTGATAAAAAAGCAAACCATGAAGATGTCTCTAAGGCATTCAACGAAATTTAATCTATTTTATCATCAAAATTTAATTATGAAGATTTTAATAGATTCTAATCCAATCAAAACACTCTTAATGAATAATTATGTAGTTAAAATATAATTGGCAGATGGCTTTTTAAAGGCAATTTTCTAAGTCCTGGAAGTCTTATTCCATGGAATATATAAGCGATTAATACATTAACTGAAAATTTCTTATGGGATAAAGATAAGCCAAATATCATTGTTGTTGCTCCTGGTATTTATGAAATAACACTTGGATTCTTTGCTAAAAAGAAACCAAAAATTGATATAATGGTCAATGGAGAAACAATTATCAATGCAGTCAATAATAGTAGGTACATAATATTTCTTAAATTAGTTATGTAGTTCATCATTCATCAGGAAAATTAAAGGATACTAAAACATCGGTCACTGGTTTAACAATGATTGATTTCATCTCTTTGCCTGCTCGAGCAAGAATTAATGTTGCATATCAAGGAGATTTAGGAGAAGGCTTTTTATGTTTACGAAAAGTATGAATTAGATAATAGCATGATCTTAATCATCTTAATCATCATTTCAATAAAATTATTAGGAAAATTTTTTTCATTCAAATTATTATCATTAATTCTTAAGTAAATATGGAATTAAATAAATATTTTTTTCTTTTCAATAATCATACCTTCATTTATAATTTGTTTTTTATTTTTAAATGTTATAAAAAATAGATATATTTAAATGTTATTTTTTCTTTTTTTACATACAAGATATTTTTAAAAGGAATAAAATTAGATAATGAATATCTCTTAATTATTTTTAGCTTTAAAATACATCAGCCTTATTTTATATATTTGGAGTTAAAAGCATAATTATTTTTAAAAGTTTAAAATAAAATATTTAAGAATTGTATCAATTTATTTAATTAAGAGACACTGCGCACAGATTGGATAGTGCAACCATATAAAATTGGAGGGATTGGTTCGAATCCTAAGTGTCTACATTTTTATTTTTTATTTAATTACAATATTTTCATATATTCAAATTTTAATGATTAAAGTGAAGATGATTTTTAATGATAATATACTAATTTGAGTATTTAATCTTTATTAACAACTATATTTTCAGAATGCTTCACTTACTTTATTATTCTTAATTATCCCACAAACCTTCATTTAATTCAATTGTCCCCAAACATCTTTAACATATTCCAATAGACCTCTCACTTTTCCAAAAAAATGTTATTAAATTATCTTTTTAATAATAACTAACTATTTCCAGCCAACATTCTATAGAAATCTTTGTTACTCTTAAGTCTTATTTTATAAGTGTATAAGTAAATATTTATATCAAGATTTTTATGAATTTTTGCTAAGAATATATATTATAGATTCTGGACTGAATATCTGCTATTATAACTTTAGAAAATACAATTTTGATAATTAATGGATTATTGTAATTATTTTTTTAGAATTCTATTAGATTTAATTCATTCAGAACAATTATATTTGAATAAATGTAGAATTCTCAGATTTATTTTTGTTTTTCTTTTAAATTTTTTTATTAATTCTTTCTCATGCTAAATTGTAATTGATTATCCTAAAAAGGTCAGTTAATATTGCCCTCATCTTGATAATGGAAATTATTAATTTCTTAAATAATATCAAATTTATTTTATATTGGTCAAAATGTAATAATAAAATGCAAATCGTCTACCATTTAATCCTCCTGGAAAAAAGCTTGGGGTCTATCGTTTTCACAACGAGATAGGAAGAGGTAATTATGGAGTTGTAAATTAATTAATCTATTAGGATATAGGTTTATTTAGCGAGTGATGATAAGGGAAATAAATATGCTATAAAATCAATGAAGAAAGAGATTTTCAAAGAAAATGGAGGTTTAATTGGAGATCTCATTCGAAATGAAAAAAATGCATTGCTCTAAATCAAAAACAAACACGTTGTTCGAATATTTGAATATATAGAGTCTGTCAATTAAGCTTATATGGTTCTTGAACTTTGTGATGGTATTAATTAAATTCTATAAAGGTGGTAACTTTGAAGGCTATCTAACTTGCAAAAAATTTAAAATTACAGTTTATGAAGCTGTTTAATACATCAAATAAATTATATAAGGAGTTAATGCTTTACATGAAAAAAAGATTATACATAGGGATTTGAAATTGAGTAATATTCTAATGAAAGACAATTCTGCAGTATTAAAGATTGCTGATTTAGGATTCTGTCATATTCTTTCTGACGATGTATTTTATAAAAAATTATTTAAGGAATCTCTTGTCAAATTGAATTTAGGAACTATTGGAACAAAAGCACCAGAAATTATCCTCAACAAACCCTATGATAGCGGTGTTGATATGTTTTCTACCGGAGTAATGTTTTATTAATTGCTTTGCGGTGGAAACTATCCCTTTTAACCAACAACAGAGGAAGAATACTTATCATAAATATTAAAAGGACGTAAACTATTTTAAAGTATCATAGCGAATAATATTAAATTTGTACCATAAGATGAAGTTCTACCACAAGAAATTTAGGAATTGATCAAAAGAATGCTTCATTATAATCCTGAAAATAGATTAAAATGGAGTGAAATTTTTGATTCTTCCATTTTCAAGCAAAGTTCTTAAATTATAATATTTAAAAGCTCTCTAATTGGAAACACATTTAGGATTTAATTCAAGAGGATGTGATTTCTAAAAGTTATAGAATTTCTATATCCAAAATTAAGAGAAAATAATTTCAATAGTTTCCCCTAGATTTGCAGAAATTGGCCCTTTCGCATTTACTGATGAAATAATAGACAAATCATAAATATTAAATGAAAAAAGTAAATAAACTACGTCCTATGATAATGAATGTATCAGCACTGTAAGCTTTCAAAATAAAGACGAAATCTTATAAATTCAAAAAGAAAGTTGTAGTATAAATGAACTTTTTGAAAAATATTTATCTAAACATAGATATTTTTCTCTACATAAAATTGTTTATGAACTTATTCACAAAACACGTCACTCAAATGTTAAGGAAATTCTGTTTCCTATACTTCTACTATCTAAAAAGATATTTCATTTATAGAAGGAACTAATTAAAATGATAGAAAAAGATGGGAATTTATTTGATTCTCCTTTTTATGAAAGCTTAATTGTTAGTGATCAATGGAAGGTATTAATAGAAGAGATGCTGAATAATAAGGAATGGATTTTCAATTAAATTAAGCATAACACCATAACATTTAATATAAATATCAATCAATAGAATGATGATTATAAACTAAAATATGTAAAACTTGAATGGCTTGAAGAGGCAGAAGCATATTTTCCAAAAGATAATTTTTAAAATATTTATTAATAATGCTTAAACCGATATATCTAGTATTTGATAGGAGATATTTTCTAGAATGAAAAGGATAAGATTAAAAAAAAGTCTATTATTATATATTTAATCAAAAGTATGAGAACGGATAAAATAGATGTTGAAGATATACCTACATATTAATAAGATTCATTGCTTAATAATAAAAATATAGATAAACTTTTTGAAGAATCATGCTTATTTTATGATTAAAAATAATGATGAAATATACATAAAATTATTAATAGAATAATTATTTTCTTTAGAATTTTTTTTTTGATAATTATGAATTAATATAACATATGAATAGTTTAAATCATTAGCCTCCTCTCAATCTTAAGACCAAGTGAAGAGTTGATTCCTTTTAAATGTTATAGTCTGAAAGTGTTCTTCCATCTTCTAATTACTTTCCTGCAAAGATAAGTCTTTATTAATCAGGTGGGATTCCTTCCTTGTCTTAGATTTTAGCTTTGACAGCATCAATAGTGTCAGATGGTTCAACATCAAGAGTGATGGTCTTTCCTGTAAGTGTCTTGACGAAAATTTACATTCCTCCTCTCAATCTCAAAACTAAGTGAAGGGTTGATTCCTTTTAAATGTTATAGTCTGAAAGTGTTCTTCCATCTTCTAATTACTTTCCTGCAAAGATAAGTCTTTATTAATCAGGTGGGATTCCTTCCTTGTCTTAGATTTTAGCTTTGACAGCATCAATAGTGTCAGATGGTTCAACATCAAGAGTGATGGTCTTTCCTGTAAGTGTCTTGACGAAAATTTACATTCCTCCTCTCAATCTCAAAACTAAGTGAAGGGTTGATTCCTTTTAAATGTTATAGTCTGAAAGTGTTCTTCCATCTTCTAATTACTTTCCTGCAAAGATAAGTCTTTATTAATCAGGTGGGATTCCTTCCTTGTCTTAGATTTTAGCTTTGACAGCATCAATAGTGTCAGATGGTTCAACATCAAGAGTGATGGTCTTTCCTGTAAGTGTCTTGACGAAAATTTACATTCCTCCTCTCAATCTCAAAACTAAGTGAAGGGTTGATTCCTTTTAAATGTTATAGTCTGAAAGTGTTCTTCCGTCTTCTAATTACTTTCCTGCAAAGATAAGTCTTTATTAATCAGGTGGGATTCCTTCCTTGTCTTAGATTTTAGCTTTGACAGCATCAATAGTGTCAGATGGTTCAACATCAAGAGTGATGGTCTTTCCTGTAAGTGTCTTGACGAAGATTTACATTCCTCCTCTCAATCTTAAGACTAAGTGAAGAGTTGATTCCTTTTAAATGTTATAATCTGAAAGTGTTCTTCCGTCTTCTAATTACTTTCCTGCAAAGATAAGTCTTTGTTAATCAGGTGGGATTCCTTCCTTGTCTTAGATTTTAGCTTTGACAGCATCAATAGTGTCAGATGGTTCAACATCAAGAGTGATGGTCTTTCCTGTAAGTGTCTTGACGAAAATTTACATTCCTCCTCTCAATCTCAAAACTAAGTGAAGGGTTGATTCCTTTTAAATGTTATAGTCTGAAAGTGTTCTTCCATCTTCTAATTACTTTCCTGCAAAGATAAGTCTTTATTAATCAGGTGGGATTCCTTCCTTGTCTTAGATTTTAGCTTTGACAGCATCAATAGTGTCAGATGGTTCAACATCAAGAGTGATGGTCTTTCCTGTAAGTGTCTTGACGAAAATTTACATTCCTCCTCTCAATCTCAAAACTAAGTGAAGGGTTGATTCCTTTTAAATGTTATAGTCTGAAAGTGTTCTTCCATCTTCTAATTACTTTCCTGCAAAGATAAGTCTTTATTAATCAGGTGGGATTCCTTCCTTGTCTTAGATTTTAGCTTTGACAGCATCAATAGTGTCAGATGGTTCAACATCAAGAGTGATGGTCTTTCCTGTAAGTGTCTTGACGAAAATTTACATTCCTCCTCTCAATCTCAAAACTAAGTGAAGGGTTGATTCCTTTTAAATGTTATAGTCTGAAAGTGTTCTTCCATCTTCTAATTACTTTCCTGCAAAGATAAGTCTTTATTAATCAGGTGGGATTCCTTCCTTGTCTTAGATTTTAGCTTTGACAGCATCAATAGTGTCAGATGGTTCAACATCAAGAGTGATGGTCTTTCCTGTAAGTGTCTTGACGAAAATTTACATTCCTCCTCTCAATCTCAAAACTAAGTGAAGGGTTGATTCCTTTTAAATGTTATAGTCTGAAAGTGTTCTTCCATCTTCTAATTACTTTCCTGCAAAGATAAGTCTTTATTAATCAGGTGGGATTCCTTCCTTGTCTTAGATTTTAGCTTTGACAGCATCAATAGTGTCAGATGGTTCAACATCAAGAGTGATGGTCTTTCCTGTAAGTGTCTTGACGAAAATTTACATTCCTCCTCTCAATCTTAAGACTAAGTGAAGAGTTGATTCCTTTTAAATGTTATAATCTGAAAGTGTTCTTCCGTCTTCTAATTACTTTCCTGCAAAGATAAGTCTTTGTTAATCAGGTGGGATTCCTTCCTTGTCTTAGATTTTAGCTTTGACAGCATCAATAGTGTCAGATGGTTCAACATCAAGAGTGATTGTCTTTCCTGTGAGTGTCTTGACGAAAATTTACATTCCTCCTCTTAATCTCAAAACTAAGTGAAGGGTTGATTCCTTTTAAATGTTATAGTCTGAAAGTGTTCTTCCATCTTCTAATTACTTTCCTGCAAAAATAAGTCTTTATTAATCAGGTGGGATTCCCTCCTTGTCTTAGATTTTGGCTTTGACAGCATCAATTGTGTCAGATGGTTCAACATCAAGAGTGATTGTCTTTCCTGTGAGTGTCTTTACGAAAATTTACATTGTTTATTATTATTACTTTCTTTTAAGACTCCAGCTGTTTTTAAGGAAACAAAATTTTGTTTAATTCTGATTACTTAATGTTGTCGTTCTGGTAAATACTATTTCTATTTATAATTTACTTATGCCATAATTTACATTATAATAATTTATAATGTTTATTCTGTATTTTTTTAACTTAAATAAGTACTTATAAGAATTAGTTTAGTTAGTGTCTTATTAGTATTTGGATCATTCTAAATAATTGATTATGGCAATAAAACTACAAATCAAGAATATACTTATTTAAGAATATAAAAAGGAATTTATGCAATATTGTACATATTTTACATTAACATGTTTTTTAGTATTCAAACAAAACAAAAATATTTGTTGTTAAAATTTAATTACTAGATTTACAGCGCCAAAGAATTAACCAAAAAAATAAGCATAAAACTATAATAAATTTAAAAAGCAAAATTAATTTCTAAGAATATAAGTTTAGTAGGAGAAAAAGTTTACTTATCGGATAATAATATATTTTAAATTAGTTTAATTTAATTAGATTAGAAGATTATCCTAACAATAAGATAACTAAAATTTCAATTACTGAAAACTGTTTAAAATAAAAAAATTAAGGAAAAAAAATATATTCGAAATCATTGCAAATAACAAATTATCAAAAAAAAAAATATTCATTTAGAAAATGTTAATTTAATGAGATAGAATTTATTCTCTAAAATGGAACTCTAAGAAAAATTGGATAGAAAATCAAATGAATAATAATTATTAGAAATAAATAAAATTTGCGAACTGCTTATATAATTAGAAGAGATGCTAGTCCTAAGCTCAAGAAAATACTGTCAGATAATAAATATTGAATAATAATTAATTATAATATTAGTTATTCTCTAATTTTTTTACATGTACTAAATAATTCTCCAAATTGATTTCTTATATTGAAGAAAGTATATCTTGAAAGTTTTGGATATGCAAATACTATATTAAATTTAAATTAATTATGTTATTATCAAGTTACACTTTATCATTTCTCGTTTTGATTCTCTTTATTAGAAATTAAAGTATTCAAATAAAGCATATTCTTTTTGATTCAAAAAAAATCTGGAAATTTTTTCCTTAAACATATTTATATCTGATGAATAATATTTATATTTTGTATTTATTTTATATGATAAATAATAAATTATTTTGGAGTATAAATATAAAGCAACATCAAGATAATGCTAATAAATTTTAATATAAATAATCTATTTTCTATTATTGTATTTCTAGAAATTATATTTTTTTTAAATGAAACTATTAAATAATAAGATATGTATTCTAAATGTAGAATTATAAGTTAACTTTTAATAACTCAAGGCTTAATATATGAATTAAAAGTCTAAGAGAAGTTATGAAAATTATTATGCAAAGATTATCAAGATTAAATAGCAATTTTATTGATGATGGTGTTAAATATTGAAAAGTAGGAGTAGATAAATGCTATGAGTGATTAATTATATAATTTAAATATACTTTTTGGTTAATTCTGATGTCCCAAGTAATGCTAGTGTTAGGTCCGAATAGGGTTGGAAAAAGCAGTTTAATCGATGCGCTCACTTATGGGCAATTCCATAGGGAATTTTACCCATAAGATATACATTTCTAAGTTAAATTAGCAAAAGTAGCATAACACAGAGTTTACGAAGTATAATCAATAGAATGGGATGGAAAACCTTTGGGATTAGTTTAATTCTACTCAAATGTTGCTGATTTAATATTGATAGTTGTTAATATTTGCGGCTGTTACGATTAAATGGACTAAGTTCATGATATATACTAGGCTTTACCAATTACAAATAATAAATAATAAATAGTATTAATCGGTAATTTGAATGGATAAAATAAAAGAAATCAAAAGTTGTGTTAAAGCCTGAGTTAGTTTGCAAAATTAAATGATCTAAAACTTTATGAATTAGATAGCACAAATATCATGAATGTTTAAATGGAATTTCATTTTATCACACAACCATACTCACTGTTTGATGATATTTGGAATAGAAATTAAAATTACATTTCATAATTTGTGTCATAAGCTGTATCCTTATTCAATTGATAACTTATAATTTATCATAAAATATAATAATCAGTAAATTTCTATAATTGATGTATTTTCAATTTAAAAAGGATCAACATAAATCTCAATTTTTCAAATTCTTCACTTTAAATTTAATATGTTCTTGGGGGCTGTAAAAAGATTGAGATTTTAAGTAATTTTATGACTGCAATATTCTTTAGATTCTTATTCAAATATACTATATATTAAGAAGATGACTTTATGATTAAATGAATTTTTTTGAGTATTTATAAAAAGTATTCTAACTTATATTCAAATTCTGATATACTACAAATATTGTTTGATTGTACAAAAAATTCTCAAAAACCTTAAATATGCTACATAATTATAAGTAAAATTAATAGATAATTAATTTTTCTTAATACTTACTAATTGACTATGAATTAGAAACTAAGTTTTGGTCAATATATATAATTTGAATTATTTATATAGAAACACATAAAGCTTAAATTAGTTAAAGAAAGATCAACTAATAGCAGTCAAATTTTCGAGTTTGATTCTTTGTCTTCTCTTATTTCTTGAAAATAACTTGATTTCTTTTTAGGAAACTTGACCATCAATGTCCTTAACTGTTACTACATTGTTGAAATGAACAGATTTTTTTAGATTAAAATCATTCTGGAAATAATCATTCTTTTGATAGTTTGCTCTCTCAGTATTTAGATTATATAAAAGATCATCAAATTTATCTTTAGACTTTTTTTCTGTTTTTATATGTTCTGTATGGATTTCCTTTCTTGATGTACGTGAAATGTCAGGAAAAAATCCCCATTGCTTAAGAATTTGTTCTCCCATTTTACTTAATTAAGGAGATTTCTCTTTGACTGGACTAAGTTGTTATGGAAGTAATAGTGGTAAGCTTGTAGTATGTGAATGATGAACATTCAATTTACAATCAGAATTCTTGATATGAGATTTAGGTTCGTAGTGATATCTCATATACATCTTTAATTATTATAATATATTAAGTTTGAGATAAATTATTTATTATATATTAAGAAAACCAATGAGTTTAATTAGGGGTAATTGGTAAAATTGTAATATTTGGTAGAAAAATTACTTGTTCTTTTGACTTTTTATAAGGATTTTCAATTTTAATGAATTTTCCTCTTTAATTTTTCTGTTTTTATTCTATTGTTGATTATCAAGCAAAATATCAGATATTTTAAGTATAAATTATTTATCTAATTTATCTAATCAAATTTAAAAGGATCTAGGGTTTTCAATAAAGTTCATATAAACTTGTAGAAACCAAGAAAAAATTGTATATTTATATAACCTTTTTTTAATTTTTAATTGATAAGGTCACTTTTACTTTTCGTAAAAGATTAAAATGATAAATAGTTTTAATATTTTTAGGAAATTTTTAATTTTTAGTAGCAGGTTTAATCATTTTTCAAAGAGACAATCATTTCTGATTAATTTTAATCATCTATCAAAATCTAATTACAAATAAATGCCTCCCTTTGAAAAGTTAATTGGATTTTAATTAAATCAATACAATTTTTGGAAAAAAGATATATTTTGAATTTATCATGATAATAGATCAAGAAGCAATTCAAATACAAAGTTCAAGAGAAGACCATTAAAACCAAGATGGTTTTTGATATATTTTAATATATTTATAAAAATGAGATAATTTAAATTTAAAAAATCCATAATAGCTCTATTTGTTTATGAAGTCAATAATAAGTAAATTCACATTTTAGATGAATTAATTTTTATTATAAGTAAAATATTCTCACTTAAAAAAAATTGTAATGAAGTTTTACTGTAATAAATGATTCATAAATTATATTTGTTTGTTATATATATTGAGACATAGTTTAAAGATATTATATAATATATGAAAAAGATTGTTAAAGGTGGTGATTAAATACTTCTTCTTAATAGATGTGATTTAAAATTATATGAAATAAATTTTAATAACATAGAATTGCATCTATAATTCAGATGATGATATTTAAATATATGAGAATAATTTTTCAATACTAGTATTTGTGTTTTATTATTTGTATAATTTTATAAATATTTATTTTATAATTACCTGCTTCAAAAAANCTGTATGGATTTCCTTTCTTGATGTACGTGAAATGTCAGGAAAAAATCCCCATTGCTTAAGAATTTGTTCTCCCATTTTACTTAATTAAGGAGATTTCTCTTTGACTGGACTAAGTTGTTATGGAAGTAATAGTGGTAAGCTTGTAGTATGTGAATGATGAACATTCAATTTACAATCAGAATTCTTGATATGAGATTTAGGTTCGTAGTGATATCTCATATACATCTTTAATTATTATAATATATTAAGTTTGAGATAAATTATTTATTATATATTAAGAAAACCAATGAGTTTAATTAGGGGTAATTGGTAAAATTGTAATATTTGGTAGAAAAATTACTTGTTCTTTTGACTTTTTATAAGGATTTTCAATTTTAATGAATTTTCCTCTTTAATTTTTCTGTTTTTATTCTATTGTTGATTATCAAGCAAAATATCAGATATTTTAAGTATAAATTATTTATCTAATTTATCTAATCAAATTTAAAAGGATCTAGGGTTTTCAATAAAGTTCATATAAACTTGTAGAAACCAAGAAAAAATTGTATATTTATATAACCTTTTTTTAATTTTTAATTGATAAGGTCACTTTTACTTTTCGTAAAAGATTAAAATGATAAATAGTTTTAATATTTTTAGGAAATTTTTAATTTTTAGTAGCAGGTTTAATCATTTTTCAAAGAGACAATCATTTCTGATTAATTTTAATCATCTATCAAAATCTAATTACAAATAAATGCCTCCCTTTGAAAAGTTAATTGGATTTTAATTAAATCAATACAATTTTTGGAAAAAAGATATATTTTGAATTTATCATGATAATAGATCAAGAAGCAATTCAAATACAAAGTTCAAGAGAAGACCATTAAAACCAAGATGGTTTTTGATATATTTTAATATATTTATAAAAATGAGATAATTTAAATTTAAAAAATCCATAATAGCTCTATTTGTTTATGAAGTCAATAATAAGTAAATTCACATTTTAGATGAATTAATTTTTATTATAAGTAAAATATTCTCACTTAAAAAAAATTGTAATGAAGTTTTACTGTAATAAATGATTCATAAATTATATTTGTTTGTTATATATATTGAGACATAGTTTAAAGATATTATATAATATATGAAAAAGATTGTTAAAGGTGGTGATTAAATACTTCTTCTTAATAGATGTGATTTAAAATTATATGAAATAAATTTTAATAACATAGAATTGCATCTATAATTCAGATGATGATATTTAAATATATGAGAATAATTTTTCAATACTAGTATTTGTGTTTTATTATTTGTATAATTTTATAAATATTTATTTTATAATTACCTGCTTCAAAAAAGATGAGTGAAAAAAAGTTTTAGGAATTAACTGATAAAAGACAAGGGCTTGAAAATGAGTTAAAAATATTAGAAAAGCAGATTTTTGATTTGGAAACTAAATATTTAGAAGAAACAGCTGCCACTGGAAATGTAATAAAAGGATGGGAAGGTTATACTACAATAAAAAGTGGAAAACTAAATGGAAATGTTCCAAGAAAGACTAAAGCAAATGCTAATGATCGTATTTTTTCATAAAGCAGTAAAACATCTCCATTTGTAAAATTTTTTATTAATGTGAGTACTAAATTACAGAAACTGTAGTTGAAGAGCCAAAAAGCCCCAAAAGCCCATAATTTAGACCTAGAAGAATGAAGAAAAAGAAGCATTATGGATACAAAAAAGAGTAATTATAAGAATTAAGTTAGTGATGTTGTAGAAAATTCTTAGGGTAGTTCTTCAGAGGATTTTTAATAGGATTAAGTAAAAAAAGTAAAAGGATCCAAGAAAATATGAAGTAATATTTATTATTTGTGTTATTTTTACATAATAGTTTGCAAATAAATATAAGTCATAAAATTAATAATAGAAATTATAGTATTCGATAATCACTAAGGTAGATTTATTAATTTTGATCTGTTATTTTCAAATGCAAATTAATTATTGTGTTTCCCATATAATTTATTTGTTAAAAGATAATTAAATACATAATAAATATTAAAACTTTGAAACCTTATGAATTTTCTTATATAAAATAGTATAAATATGGAATTTTTGAGACAAGAATGATTCATAAATTGAATAACCTTAAGTTCTAGATTATTTTATAAGTAATATTATGAATTAAATTTTTTTTAGTTTAATAATTATTACATTTACTTTAGCTTGCTAGCTGAAATAATTAAAATGTGAAGACTTGCTTGATAAGATTTCATGTGATTCTGTAACATCCCATATGGCAAAATGTTAATGGAATTAAAACACTAGTTAGTGCTAATTGTTTAAAGAAAGTTTTTTTAATTAAGAATAATGCAATTTTTAGAATGAACATGAATGGGATTCAAAATGTAACTAGGGAAAATTCATGTATTTTATAATCATATTTATTTAAAGTGAAGAAAAAGTATCTAGTTGTGAAGATATTACTTCATTTGATTAGTGCATTAAATTTTATGCTAATGGTTTTGGATGCACTTGGTAACATAATAAATGCATAAAAATATCATAATGCAGTGAGATCAATGATTTGATGTAATGTAGAATTTCTAGATTAAAAGAGAAGTAATAAATTTGATATAATGTCAAGATGTTAATTAGTTATAAATGGTGAATCATCACATATGGAAAGATAGTACATTTATATAGCAAATTTGTTTCAAGAATACGAATGCCGAGCAAAGGATTGTAAATTTAATTTATTTTGGAAATGTGAAAATTTTGTGAATGGGAGAAGGTGTTTCTAATACTTTAATGAATGCACTTAATGTTCATATCTCACAACTATATAATCATGTTTAGATCCAAATTAATGTACTTGGCAAAATAATGTTTGCAGAAACATATTGTACTTATAATTTTAATTAAAATAGATGTTCTGATTTAAAAGGTAAATAATAATGTTAACTTAAACCATTTTGTTAATTTAATGATAAGAATTTATAATGTGAAACAAGAACAGACAATTAATTATATTGCTATGCATATGATATACCATCTGATCCAATAAAATCAAAAAAAAAAGTTGAAATTTGATTATTACTTAAGTGTTTATAGATTTATATTTATATAAAGATATATTTTTTAGCATTGATATTATGAAAATATTTATAAAATAAAGATGGTTTTTTTTAAATTAAGAATTTTTAATATAATTTTTATCATCAAGCTTTTAGATGAATCTATAAAATATTATTTATGTGAAATTTAGTTATACATTTAATGTTTATATATCATATTGCTTTCAGATATTTTGCAATTTATTTATTGAATATTTACACCAATTTGAATAATTTTTGATTTAATAATAATCTTTTGTAAGTTCTCTTATACCATTTATACAAAGTTTTTTTCTTTTTTATTTTCTAGATCTAAAATATTTTATATAAAGTAAATATTAGTCTTTAATTATTTCTATGAATTTTCATTAAAGCATTCCATACTTTTTTAGTTGTTAAGGTTGGTTATTTTTTTACAGTAGAAGATGTTTTAAATTCACTAACAGAATATTTTGGTGATTTAAAATTGTTGCTAAAAGTAGGAGAAGAAATTAACGACTAACTCATTTTATTATATTTGTATTATTTACTCCATTTAGATAATGCTTTCATTAAAATTTTCTAGTTGTTATGCTCTTGAATAATCTTCATTTTCTAAGTTTCAATTTCAAGTTTTTGATGAATTTATGTTAATGCGAATTTTAGTAATTACTATCTAATTTTATGAAAAGTTGCTTCTAATTAAAAGAAATATTCTTTTTTAAAGTGATTTCGTCTTTATTCTTTAACTTTGAAATATGATACATGGCAGGTTCTTGGAATTTAGCGAACAGGTGATTTTGATCTTGAACGTATAATTTGATTAAAATTCATTTAAACATATAAATTTTGTTTCCTGAACATAATGTAATCTTGTCAATTCAAAATTGTATTTTTCTCATCTTTCAAAGCTTAAATCTATGATAAATAAACTAAAAAAGAATTTTCATATTTCTATAGTTTTATATCTATTTCTTAATATCATAAGAAATGATAATAATAAATAGAGATATGTAATAAAGAAGGGAATGTTTAAATATTACAATTATAAATTAAATTTACCATATAAGAGCACAAATATTTATGGTATTGAAATTTAATAGCAATATAGTTTATATTATCAGAATTCCTATCGAATTTTTTGGTTTATAATGTATTTTTAATATATAAGAATACTTCTAATGTTAATTTAGTTTTTTTACTTAAGTTTATTAAAAAGAGTATTTTATCAAAATCCAAAAAAATAACTTAATTAAGGAGATAACTCAATTAAATATATGAATTATATAAAAAATAATTTAATAATCAATATTATTAATTTATTTGTCTCCAAGTGAAAGAAATAAATTATAAGTATTTTGATCTAATTCTAAAAATTAATCAACAGAATATAATTAAAATAGCATACTCAAGAGAACTTAAGATTAAATAATTCTTAAACTCAAATGACGATAACTTTTAAGTTGATTAGAAGAGTATATTATTAGTAAATGTCAATGAAACTATTAAGGTGATGGCTCGTTTAAGTGGAATATATCAATTATTTTCAGTTCTGATTTGGTAAAGAGTTAATAAAGGTATATTCAATTTAAAAAACGTAAAATTTTTTGATCCAAATCTCTTATTAATATTAATTATCAATGATGTTTCTCATTCCTTTAATTTTACTATTTCAACCTAGCTTTAGTTTTCGTAGTTTTGGAGCCAATTTTACTAAAGCAAACTCAAATTTTAGTTGTCCACAATATCACTATTATTAACCAGACTTAATCCCTCATACATGCGTTGGTATATATCTTTCATAAAGAAGGGTACATTTCTATATGTAAAGGAGTTACTGAAGTAACTATAAAGATATAAGATAATTAAGAAGTGCTATGTCATCCAAGGTTTTAAGCATTTTATTTAATGCCTTTATCTTCTAATAATTTTATTGTTCGTTGTATTTCCCCTTTTACAACAACTTACCAATATGATTAGAATGGAGATGTAACTTATTCATGCTAATGTAAATTGAGAATTAATTGTTTTTTAGAAACAAATATTGGATATTGCCTTTTAGCTTAAAATTACACTACAGTGTTAAAATGTTAGTATTGTTATGGATATGCAGCTGGGCCATTGTGTAATACATTATTACCTGGTATATAGAGTGGAATATTTTAATGTAATAAAATTTTGATGTTTGATTAGAATGTCCATTGAATTGTAAGGATTGTGATGTATTATTATAATACTGTCTAAGTTGTTTAGATGGTTATACAAAAAGCAGTCTAACTGATACAAAATGCAGTTATTGTAATAAAATCATTAAAAATTAGAATGCAAATTAGGAGATGCAAGTTGTTCATATGAACCTTTAACTGGTACATATTTAACTTTAAGTTGTTCAGTTGGGTATGAATAAACAATTGTTGGTATTTCAATAGTTTGTAAAAGTAAAATATAATATTAAGATAATTAGAATGTACTGATTATTGCAATTTATGCAGAAATGGTGTATGCAGTTCTTGCATTACAGGATATTAATTAGTGAATGGTAGATGTTTTGGAGATCCAAATTGTATGAAATTTTAGTAAGTAATATAATTATTAACATAGAATTGTTTATAATTCAAATAATTCTCCTACTGGAATTAATTGTTTAGAGTGTGATTTTGGATACTTTAAAAAAGGTTAGATTTGTTAATGTAATTAATTATTGTTTATATAATAGTGTGTTCAACAATGCCTGGTTTAGAAACATGTTTTTTATGTAATTCAGCAACAGAATGTAAGACATGTTAATCTAGATATTATTTAAATGATTAAAAAAAGTGTGTACCTTTTGATGGATGTGATGTAAGATGTAATACCTGTTTAACTACTAATCCAAAATTTTGTACTACTTGTGATTACATTAATTTTAAAAGAGTATCAACAGGTGATGGTAATTGTGTTTGTGCATAAGCATAAAATTATGCTGAAAAATATGGATCATGTGTTTTATGCACAGAAGGATTTTGTAAAACTTGTACTCTTAACTTTTTTGAATGTACATCATGTGATCCAGCAAGAAATAGAATTCTAGTAGATAATAGTTGTCCATGTTTATAAGGATATTATGAAACTGAATTAGATGATAAGAAATGTTTAAGTATTAAATCTTTAATGAATTTAGAATGTCATGAAACTTGTTATAATTGTGATAATCCAACAAAGAATGATTGTACTGAATGTGATAGTCTTAAAAATAGATATTTATTTCAGGGATAATGTTTATGCAAAAGAGGATATGTTGAAATCTTATCAAATGGAGCTTTGGTTTGTTTAGGTTCATATATCAATATAATAAGAATATAGCTTGTCATTCAAGATGTGAAAAGTGTTCTAAGCCAAAAGATACTACTACTAATTAATATTGTACTCTTTGTATTCCAGGTTAAAAGAGGATGTTGACAGATAAATTTAAATGTGAATGTATGAAAACATATGGGGATAATAATGGTCTTGTAGATATTTGTTATTGTAATAATGAAAATTATATTATAGAATGTTATTATACTTGTGGGAGTTGTGTTGGTGATTAAGCTACTGATTGTAATATGTGTTTGGAATCATCTTATAGATATTTGACATTAACAAATGAATGTAAATGCAAAGATAATTATTATGAAGATGGTATCAATAATAGAGATTGCAAAAGTATTATTTATTAATTATATTAAATTAGGATGTCATTATTCTTGTTATAATTGTGATGGAAATTCTAATATTGATCAATGTATCTAATGTCCTCCAAGTAGAATACCTGATGGAATAGGATCTACTTTTAAATGTTTATGTTCTGATCCTCATACATTTGATGATGGATAAAGTTTAATTTGTAGTTAATGTCATTATTCATGTAAAACTTGTAATGGATATGATGAGAGTGATTGTTTAACTTGTGATTTGAATTATAGATAATTTGTATTTTCAAAATGTGAATGTCCAACTGGATATTATGAAGTAGGTTAACTTTAATGTTCATGTAATATTTAAAATTATTATATAAGAATGTCATTTTACTTGTCAAAATTGTTATGATAAGAATTAAGATAATTGTATAACTTGTTCAGCTGATTTAAATAGAATTTTAATGGGAAATACATGTTAATGTAAGAGTGGTACATCAGATTATAATGGTACTTAAGCAATGTGTGATAGTAATAATAATATATATTAATAAATAATATTAGAATGTTCATATCGTTGTGCAGATTGTACTTAAGTTGATGTTAATTAATGCATAAGTTGTCCAGAATTTTCATTTAGAGAATTAGGATCTAATAAATCTTGTTCATGTCCATCCAATTTAATTGATATTCCCAAAAATCCAATATGTCAAAGTAATCATTTAATATTATTAATCAGTTTGTCACTTTACATGTTCTTCATGTTCTGGATTTAAATCAACATAATGTACATAATGTAGTGATTTATAATAAAGACAATTAAATAATCTAGGAGAATGTGAATGTAAAAGTCATTATTATGAAATTGGAAGTGCAGAATGTCAAAGTTATTTCTATTATTATAATTTTTAGTTTGTAGTAAATTTTGTTTGGATTGTTATCAAACTGCTGATTCATGTACTTCTTGTTAACCTGATAGATATTTGAATAATGCTAGTACATGTCTTTGTAAAACAAAAATATAAGGAATTAAGATTAGTACATTTTAATTCTCAACCTAAACATCTTGTTCTAGTTGTCATTATTCATGTTTAACTTGTGATGGATTTTCATCTTCAAATTGTACTTCATGTTTAGATTCTGAAAATAGAATTTAGACTGGAAATACTTGTGGATGTAAATCTAATTATTTTGATTTTGGTTCTACTTCATGTTAATGTATAAATTTTATAATTAACATTTAAAAGAATGTAGTTACAAATGTGAAACCTGTTTTTAAAGAGAAGATTATTGTTTAAGTTGTTCCCCTTCTAGTTTAAGATAACATAATAATTTATTGAAATTATGTAATTGTCCAAATGGCTATTATGATGATGGAATAAATTCAATATGTTAAAGTATTTAATATTATAATAAATAATTAGAATGTCATTATTCATGTTTAAAATGTTAGGGTATATCAACTAATTGTGAATTATGTTCTGACATATCTAAAAGAATATTGGATGTTAATTTATTAACTTGTAATTGTATCTAAGGATATTATGATGATGGAGTTGAAATTTGTAAATAATGTCATTATTCTTGTTTGTCATGTAATGGTTAAGGATCTAACTCATGTAATTCATGTCTTACAGTAACTACTACATTTAGAGTATTTTATAATAAAACTTGTAATTGTTTATCTGGATATTATGATGATGGATCATCTATTAATTGTAAGAAATGTTAGAATTAATGTTTAACATGTTAAACTTATTCATATCAATGTTTACTTTGTCCAATTACAAGACATTTAATTGGATAGAGTTGTATTTGTGATTAAGGATATTATGATATTGGTACATAAAAGTGTAATGAATGTAATTCTAATTGTTTGAGTTGTTAAATAACATCTATTAATTGTACTTCATGTGATTCTACTAAATAGAGAGTTTTGAATATTTAAACAAAAACATGTGTTTGTTAAAATGGCACTATAGAAATAAACGGTATTTGTTAAGAATGTAATGCTTCATGTAAAACTTGTTAAAATTCAATTTCATAATGTACATCATGTTAATCTATGAGACTATTAATAAATAATGAATGTATTTGTATAGATGGTACATATGAATCCAGTATTGATAATAAATGTCATTTTTGTTATAAGACTTGTTTAACATGTGCTTATTAAGATACTACATGTTTAACTTGTTCTGATGCAGATTTTAGAATTATGAAACCAGGAAATATATGTGCATGTTTTGATGGATATTTTGAAAATTCAATAACATTATCTTGTAATAAATGTGATAATTCTTGTAAAACATGTGAACTTATAGCAACAAATTGTACATCTTGTGATGAAGTACTTAATTATAATATATAATTTAATCAATGTGTTTGTAAATCTGGTTATTTTTATAATGCTATAACAAAATTATGTGAAGGTATTATTATTAATATTTATTATAGCTTGTAATTTTACATGTAAAGAATGTAGCAGTTAGTTAAATTGTATTGAATGTGACTTAAATACTAGATATTTTGATGATCAAAATTTTAAATGTCTTTGTTAAGATGGTTATTATGAAGTCAATCTTAATTAATGTTAAAGTATATTGATATTTAATAATTATTAGTATGCAATATATCATGTTAAACTTGCATTACATCTTCAAATAATTGTACATCATGTGAAACACTTCTATATTATAGAATTTTAAATAATAATTAATGTATATGTTAGGATGGATATTATGATATTGGAATATCAATGTGTTAATAATGTAATGGTGTTTGTAAAACATGTTAATTATCAGCATTTAAATGTTATTCATGTTATCAAAATGATCATATTAGAATACTTGTTAATAATTAATGTATCTGTCAATCTGGTTATTTTGATAATGGAACTTTAGTATGTTAAAGTAATAGATAAAAATTATAATTAGAATGTTCAAATGAATGTCTTACTTGTAGTGGATCAGAGAATCATTGTACTAGTTGTGATATTAATTAAAAAAGAATAGATTAATCAATTATTTATAGATGTCCATGTATAACAGGCTTTTATTCTGATGAAAATAAGATATGTTAAAGTAATAAATAAATTTAATAATAGAATGTCATATTAAATGTGCTTCTTGTCTTAATTAAAGTGATCATTGTTTGAGTTGCAAATTCTTACCTAATAATAATAGATATACACTTTCATAAAATTGTGATTGTAAATCTGGTTATTATGATGATGGTATTTAATTACAATGTTAACAATGTAATCCTAGATGTAAAACTTGTATAAATACATCAATTTATTGTTAAACATGTTTTGATAGTCTAAGATTCAACCCACCTTAATGTGATTGTATTAATGGTTATTTTGAAAATGAGTAAAAATAATGCTAACGTATATAAATGTATTAATCTATTATTAGCATGTAATCATTAATGTAATACTTGTATTAATGAATCATAGAATTGTTTAACATGTAAACCTGGTAGAATAACAAATTTATGTATATGTTAAGATGGTTATTTTGAAGCAGGATTGTAAGCATGTTTAAGTAATTAATTATATAATTTACATAGAATGTGATATTTAATGTAATACATGTAATGTAACAACCTCAAATTGTTTAACATGTAAAGGTGATCGTATCAATCCACCAAATTGTACATGTTTATAAGGTTACTTTGATGATTTTATCAATGATAATTGTTAATTATGTGATTCATTATGTAAAACATGCAATCGATAGGGTTGTATCTCTTGTGCAGGAAATAGAATTTTATCTGAAGAATTTACTTGTGATCCACCTGAAAATTCTATATGTAATGATATCACTCCTTGGTGTTCAAGTATATATTATAATATATTATTTTTAGCATGTGAAGTTGCAGTATTGAATATTCAAATATCTGATGATTTGAAATCTATAATTGTTAAATTTGATTTCCCTTTAAATCCTTAAAGTATGTCTAATTAAGTTTAACAAAATTTGTGTTATTAAATACTATCCAATACTAATTTAATTAAATTTGGACTCAATCCTTAATGTAAAATTGATGATATTGATAACAAAATTCTATATTTAAACTTTGGTAGTAATCCAACTATAATTGAAGGAGATACTATTGAATTCCTTCCCAATACATTATAATAACAAGATTGCAATGTTAAGTTATCAATATTTATATTAAACAATGTTAAATCACCATAAAATCCAGTTAGTCCTATTTTAGAATTCAATGTACCTGAAATTTAATTAAATCCTTGTGATAATAATATTATTACACTAAAATCAAAATCTAATGATGGTTTTAGAGGATTAAAAAATATTATATGGACATATATTGTTTATGGATCTTTTGGCAATGGAGATCTTGATATTTTTGTATAATAATAAACAAGTCTCTAATTACTAGATTTAAATATAGATGCTCTTATATTACCAAAATAATCTAATATTACATTTACAGTTAGATTTTCTAATTTTATTGGTTAATAATCATAATAAATTATTAAAATATTAACTCATTCAGGTGCTGAACCTTCAGTTAATTTTAATGTTAAAAAACAATTTTATTCATTTTCAATTATAAATATAGCTTTTACAATATAAAAGATTAATTGTTCAACATAATTGATTGAAAATTCTAATTATTAGATAAGTTTATAAGAGAATGCTAGAACATTTGGTTCACCTTCAGAAATTGATTACAAAACAATTTCAAATCAGAAAGAATTTAATATAAAAATTCCATCTTATAAATTAACCCCAAGAGCATTATATACATTTTAATTAAATGTTTCTGATTCATCAATAAATTACTTTTCCTCATAATAAACTATAATTGAAATAATTCCTGCAGGATTCTTATGTAAATTTAATGGAGTCTAACCAATTTAAGATTACAAAAAGGATCTAAAAATATTAATTGAATGCTAAGATTTAGATACAAAATATTTACCTAATTAAGATCCTGATTTAACTATTAATGTTAATTGTACTGATTTATCTACAAATAATATCTGTTTGGACATAAAATCTTAAAAAATTAAAGTTAATAAAACAGATTATGAACAAAAGATATTGAAATATTCAGTAAAATCATTTACAGTTTAATCATGGAAAGTAACTGCATACAAAAATGGATCAAATTAAACTTTTGAATAAGTAGTTGTATTCTTAGAAGATAATTTTAGAGAATTATAAATGAATTATAGTATGGGTTATAATATGAGACCAATAAATAGTTATGAAACTCTCAATTTCACTTATTTAATACCTTTCAGAGATTTACCATTGATTTTAGAATATAGTATAGGAATAATATATGATTTTGAAGTTTTGGCTATATTACAACCAAGTTGTTATTAATATTAATTTAGATTGTTTGATTATTATAGGTAATTTAATAAAGGAAATTAAATTAATCTTAAATTTTTAGTCTAATATATTAATGATATAATGCCAGCATAGTATAATTTAAAAATAAATTTAAATTAACCACCTTAATGCACAATTTCTATTGATTCTAAAGGTAATAAAGCTTTAAGTTATATCAATGTAATAACTAATTGTCTATTTTCAATTGACACTCCATATAAATATTAACTAAGAATCTTACTCAATGAAAAAGATTATGTAGATTACAAATAAACAAAATCTGATTATTCATTAATATTATACTCATTTTAGAGTTCAAACAAATTCTAAATTTTATTACCCTATTCTTAAATATATGTGATTGTATAAATTATGGATGCAGATGGATCAATAACAAATATTGAATAAGAAATAATAATAGATAAAATAGATTAAATTTATTTTAATTGTTCAACACTTTCATATTAGAATTCCACTTTTAGATATCAAATTGCTTTAGCTTTAGAATTAATTCTTAATAATAATCAAAATTAAATTTGTTTATAAGTTGCAAATTAAATCTTATCTAATATCAAATAATTAGCTACTACCTATAAATTTGAAGATTAACAATTAGCTTATAAATTTATCAAAGTTTATACACATTATTACTTAAATATGAACTATACAAACTCTACTAATTTAACTTAAAGAACACTACAAGAATCTTCAATTAATAGATGTTATGACAATACAAACTAGAAATTCATTATTACAAATTTAAAAGATTCTAATGAACCATAATATAATTACTCTTATTTATAGACAAATGTGAATTAATTGAAAATTAATATAAATCAATTAATAAAAGATAAATTTTAATTAGAATTATAAATAAATGAAGACTCTTTAATTTTATAAGAATCACTTTATTAACACAGAGAATTAATATTAGAATCATTAAAAATATCAATACTATTCATTGATGATGCATTTTCAATATTATCAAAAACAATCATAACTAAGGATAGTGAAAAAATATTAATATATAATATTGGTGAATAACTTTTATAATTAATATAATCAATTTCTGATTAAATCAATAGTCAAGCTTAAGTTGATGGAAATGAACTTATTATTTATGGACAATAATTATCATGGAAATTAAAAAGATAATCAAAAACTAATTTCAATAAATTATCTAATATTGAATTTGATTTCACTGATCATTTCATTGCCTTTATTGAAAAAGCTTAAACATCTATCTCTTATAATTTCTATCATTTATTAATTGATTATTAATATTAATTACAATAATAATTAAATTATTCATATTTGTAGATAGATTAAAATAATTTAATAATTGTAAGTCTTAGAAATTATAGAACTATGTAAAATTATGTAAATTAGGATAATTTTTCTTAATAATATAATGTTCAATTAGAATAATTATAATATTGTGAAGAGACTTAGATATATAATTAAAATGACGTTTATGAACTCTCTTGTATTTAATTATCTAAAACTAATTTATTTCAGATTTGCGATATTAATTCCATTCACCAAAATTCTTCTGTTTAAGTACTTTGTAATTGTAATTAATTTGGAAATATATTTTTAATTCAAATACCTATAAATTAAACAAAAAATTAGAACAACTCTGAAATTTCAATAGATCCTATAATTACAGAATAGAAAAATCTCTATATTTTTGAATAACCATTTATCTTACTTTAAAGCATATTAATTTGCTTTTCCATATTAATTTATTATTAATTGTTTACTATAGAAAATAAACCTAATGAATAGATAACTTAAGTGTATTAAAATATAGAGAGTTCTGATGATTTAAATAAAATAGAGAAAAAGGATCAATTAAAATGTTATCCAGGCGATATCTTTATTATTAAAGAGAATTATAAAGTATTTTATTGTATCTATTTTAGTACATTCATTAATTTTTTTCGATATTCTATTGTGATGATATGATTTTAAAGAAGAGTTATAGGTTTCTACAATTTTTTACAGAACTTAGTTTTCTGAATCCTATGGCAATTTGTTTAATAACTGTATTATCAGATGAATTGCTATTAAAAATGGTATTCTTCATCAATTTTTCGATTATCTTATTAATGAGATTTATATTTAAGTTATTTTAAGCAATATATAGATTTGGTGGAAGGTGTGCTCTACTTATAGTTTTTATTTTGATATTGCTCTAAATACTTAATTATATATTGTTCATATATGCACTTATAAATAAGTAATATATATTATATATATATTAGTAATTAAAACACTGGATATATCAATATACAGATATTATTGATTTCAGGAGGAACAATAGTATTAACATATTTCATATATGATCCTGTAATAATTTTGGTCAGAATACTTTTATATAAAATAATAATTTAAAGTATTAAAAGTAAGTAACTTAATCCACTATATCATTTTGTCTATTTTTTCATACAACATTATAAGTTAGATGAAATATTTGACAAATATATAATATTTTGATTTAGAGTTAAATGAATAAAAATGATAATATTTTTAATCATATAAAAAATAAATATAAAATTCTCTAATATTATTATAATTTCAAATCAAATCAATTTATATTGAGATAATTCATTCTCTAAATTTTCATGGAATATAAAAAAGTATAATAAGTGATGCAAAGGATTTAATTAATTAGATTTAATACTTGGTAAAATCAGATTATACAAACATATTCTAATAAAAACAATTAATGGCTCTAAAATAACAAACAAAACTATTAAAAAACTTAAAAAGACAATAATTAATGTTACTCTATCCAATTCTGTTATTGAACTAAAAATTATTAATATATAATTTATTACTTAAAATCAATTATATATGCAATTGATGGAGAGAATAGCAATACTACTTAAATTATAGCACATATGATTGTTATCAATATTCCAAATCGAGATAATACTCTAAATATTTTCAGTATTCCTCTAACAATTTCAAATAGAATAAAATTTATTAAAATAAATAGTCCATATATCCAATTATTATTAATTTATAATATCTTAAATTCTAACAAAAAAAGTAATAATGATAAACTTATTAATGAGAAGCTACTTATGATTCTAGTACTCAATTTATTATGATTAATTTCATAATAAAAAAGAGATGTTATCTAATGCAAATACTAAATAGATAATAAAATATAATTACTTTCAATTCTTTCTTAAAAATATATACATTTCCAGGATATAAATGTATAATAGATTATCTATTAGTATTGATTTCACACTATTAATTAATTATACCCTATTTATGTATTTTTATTTCTTGATAAAAATAATATAAATATGCTATTAAAGTAATTATACAATAAATATTAATAACAATGTAAAGAGGATCAATAAAAATATGATCAAGTTAAATTGTTGGATTTTATTTAAATTTTGGAATATCAATATTTTCTGTTTTATTATTTCCTATTATTTATTTTATTAAGAAAATCTCTCCTAAATAATTACATTAACATGATATTAATGTTAAATTTAAAGATTCATCATATTATTATATTAGATTACATTTTTTAAGTTCATGATTAATTGTTTTGGTTATACAAATTAGATCAAATTCTTGGATAATACTTAAATCACTTTTACAAGTTGAATAATTATTAAAATTAATGATATAATTATCTAGTTCTTCAATTAATATAAAGGGTTTCTTCTAGAAATAATTCTTTAAAGATACTATTTTAATAGGTTAATTAGTTATTTCAATTTGAGAATCATTTGAATAATTTAATGATTTAAAAGAAAAATTGGAAGAAAATAGATATGGATTTAAGATTAGATTCATTTACTATAATTAGCAAAAGTATACTAAGAAATCAAAAAAATTGATATCTAAATTAAGTAATTTATTAAAGTGTTTTCTGCTTATTCTTTTTAATGTCAAATTAAATGAAACTCCTTTAAAATCTTAATGTATACCATCAACTATTGCTTTTTCTTAAATAATTGATACAATTGTATTAATTTAATCTAACAAATACATGCTTTGATTTAACATTTCTTAATCAGGTTAATTAATTAATTATATACTTTAAAAGATGTCATCAATTAAGATTAAGGATGATTATAATGAATCAATTTAGAAATCTTTATTTTATTCTAATAATTGATCCCAAAATAATGAATTATCATTTAATTACTTAATAATAGTTTAGATATCTAATAACGATGAAGATATTAAATTTTTGATTAAAAGTACATTTTAGATAATTGTATTCTTTATTTATATTTAGGTATCATTTTATTATTAATAATTTCCATAAACAATAAAATGTTTTTTAATTTAATCAAAGCATTCATTTATTCCTGATTATTGTTATTCTTCCATCAATCTAACTTATCCTTTATCTATTTTAGTAGATGTTTATATTTATTTAAATAATTTAATAGAAGATAAAATGAGTTATTTATCTTGGTTTTTAGTTGTATATATCATTTATTTTAAGTTGTTGTAAATAATAAGTGATAAATTATAACATTCATTATTATACGATTCGAAAAGTAAACTAATTTTGATTTTGAGACTTAATGATTAATTAAAATTAAGAGTACAATTTAATTTGTTTTTATTTATTTTAAACTTTTAATATATATTAGTTATTGATCCACCTAAATTAATAACTTATACTAAAACATTTATATTTGATGAATTCATTGAGGATGGTAGTGATAATTCAAATTTATTAGAAGTTTAATACTATTAAAATGTAATGGAATAATCAGATTCAAATTTCATATATTGATAATAATCAGATTCTCTATAGAAATACTTTAATTAATATGAGTATGGGAAGTTGTTTGAATAATCACAAACTGCAGCTATTGTAAAGTGATTAACATTATTTAATAGATTTATTTAATTAATTTATAATTTTTAACAAGGAACAGGTTAATTGAGATTTAGATTTAAATTGTATAGGTTAGGCATAATATTATCACTAAATTATGCATTAAATCTTAGATTAATTTAATTACCTCTATTCATTTGAGTAATATAATCAAAAAGTCTAAATTGGAATGTAGTAAAAGTTGGTTAAATTATATTGATAATCTAATAATCATATACAATTCCAACTGAATAATCAATCAACTTTTATTATTATTCTTCATTAAATATAAATGAGAAATTGAGTAATTCAAAATTATTGATATCCCTCATTAGATAACCACTATTAAAATCTATTTTTTATATTTTAAATTCATATTCTAAGAATACGATTATTTATTTAAAATGATATTCTGTTGTTTTCTTAATAACTTTAAGAGACCACTCTTGAATTGTAAGTGGTTCAACACTAAATTTCTTTACATGTTATAGTTTTTCAGTTTTATTAACAGGTATGATTTTTTTATGTATGTCAATACATTTTTGATTTCTTGTTAATTCATAACATGATATCTCTGTATATAGATCTGGATCTTCATTCCAATCAAATTATACATCTAAATCTTTGCATTTAATAAATAAATTCATATCCTTTGCAAAATATTAGACATTTAAGATTCCAAAAAATTAACATACAATACCTGCTGAAACAATTTAGATTGTAAAATTCTAAATTTAATTTTGTTATGAAATTTGATTAGTTACATTAATTTAAAAAGTATAATTAGTATTTGGTGATAGTTGATATTACGGTATTGAAATAGAATGATCTTCTTAAGATGTAGTAATATTATAATAAACATTTGATTCTGATGCATCTTATGAACTCTTTTTTATTTGTAATAATTCTATTGTATAATTTTATAGTTGAGAATTTGACACATCTTTTTTGTAACATTAAATAGTTTAGATTTTAAAATTAAGATTTATCTTTTGATATGTAAAATATCTTCTAATAATATTTAAAGAAATTGTAGGTGAATCTCCACTATTAGTTGTAATAATAAAATGTTATTCTTGAGAAGTAGACAAAAAGTTCTAGAATTGAATGAAGAAAGTAATTTTAGAATCGATTGGTAAAGTAATTGAAGGTATGATTAAATTGAAATCCTTTATGGTATTTTGATAATCAATGAAATCATCTAATTCTTATGTATTACCATTTGAAGATGTATATGACCAATAAGGATTTGTCAATTCTCTTTTTCCATTATTTATTCTATTAATTTAATAGATCTGAATTTCAACACAAGGATTGATTATATAATCTGGTACATCAAATTCTATTTAAGGTTATAATAAATTTTTGGGAGGTTTAATGTAATTATTAACAAAAATTGATAATGATTATTCACAATTGAGATGAGAAAGTGAGTTTATATTGAAAACTAATTCATCACCTACATTTATAATAGGATAATCTCCTAATTAAATAAGTAATTCATGATTATTAGATGGATTTATTAAACAAATAGGATTTCTTCCAAATTTATCAATTGATATAATTTCAAATATTTATTCACATTTATTTGATAATGAGTAAGATTGGAATATTTTACCATCTAAAGAAAAGTCAAATAATATTATTAGACTATCTAATTCATCAGAGAAATAAATATTTAATACAGCTACAATGCAATCTTGAAATAATAGATATTAAATATATACTAGAACACCATGGAGTATCTTGATAACACACAGAATTTGGTGGAGAATCACATGTCATTTCTTAAGATAAAATTCTGTTTCCATTACAAGATATACATCCATTAATATCACATGAATCACAAGTTTAATGACATTGTTGACAACTCTCATTAATATAATCATCATAATATCCATTAGGACATTTACAAATAGGTTCTTAAATTCTGTCACCCTTACATGAAGTACAATTATATGAATCTTGACTACAAGTTAAACATTGAAATTAACATTCTAATAGAATATAATAAAGTTTAATTACAAACACAATTAATTAAACCAGCTTCAAAATAACCATCAGAACATTCACAATTAGGTCCAAATCTATCTGGTTTACAAGATAAACAATTAGTTGGATTTGATATACAAGTACTACAATGATGTTCACAAGCTAAATGTAATATAATAATAGTTAATACGTTAACATGTTAATTATTCATCTTCAAAATATCCATTAATACATTTACAAAGAGGAGGATTCTATCTAAAATTATTATTGCAAATTAAACAATTATTTGAATTATTTTAACATAATTTACATTAATAACTACATTTCTAACATTAAATTTATGTTCCATCATCATAATATCCATCTTTACAATTGCATTAATATGATAAAGAATAACGATGTGAATTAACTTGATAATTACAACTAATACAAGTTTCATTTGTATATATACAATCATAACATTTTATATGGCATTCTTAATATGATTATTTAAAATACTTTGACAAATCTAATTTTAATCTTCATAGAATCCTGTAATACAAGGACACTTCTTTTAAATAGAGTTATCAATTCTTTTTTAATTTACATCACAACTAGTACAAAAATTAGATTGAATTTCACAAGTTTAACAAGAATTTGAGCATTCTTTAAATAATATTATATTTTACTTTCACAAATTAATGATCCAGAATTGAAATATCCATGTTAACAAGTACATTAATCTAATTATAGTATTCTATGTTATTCAGACTCATAACATGATGTACATTTAGTAGAAGATGTCTGACAAGTTTTGCATATTTCAGAACATTTCTAACACATTGAAACACCAACATCATAGTAACCTTAAATACATTAACATGTATTATTATTAAGTAATCTAAAGTATAATTGACTACAAGTTTAACAATTAATTGATGTATTCAAACAAGTTTAACAAGAATAATGGCATTCTGAATATATATATTATTTATACATTAACATTGTTCTGTATTAATTTCAAAATATCCATTTCTACATACACATTTCATAGATGAATTGTCATATTCTCTAGTAAGTGTATTACATGAAATACATTCATATTGACTTTAACATTATAAACAACTAAAATGACATTCTATTAATAATAATATAATAATTACATTAACATAATTTAGTAATAACATCATAATAATATTTAGACATACATACACATTAATTAGATTGAATATCATAATGAAGACTTGAATCACAAGATGTACAATGATTTGCATTATATTTACATGTTAAACATGTATAATTACATTACATACAATGTTAATTTGTTAGATTTTCATAATAGCCATCTATACATTCACATGTAGTTCCCCATTTTAAAATTCTGAAATCTCCACTTATACAAGATAAACATTATGTTGCAGTATATATACATGTTAAACATGAGGGATGACAAAGATAACATTATTTATCATCATAATCTTCATAATAACCATCATTGCATTTACAAATAGATCCAATTTATATTCTATCAATTGGACAAGTTGTACAATTATCTTATTAATTAATACAAGTATAACAAGTTATATTACATTATTAACAAACTCCATTTAATTCAAAATATCCATATTTACATACACAATTATTCAATTCTAAATTTAACATTCGATTTTATTAAATATCACATTCTATACATTTTGTTGATGATTTAAAACATCTATAACAATTAGCATCACATTTTGAACATAAATCATACCCAATATCATAATATCCATTTAAACAAGCACAATTTTATTATAAGTTTCTAGTTTAAGGACAAGATGTGCATTAATAAGAATAGGATATACAAGTTTTACATTAATAATCACATTTCTAACAATTTGCTGAATATCCATCATCATAAAATCCAGGTAAACATATACACTAATTCAAATACAATACTCTTTTTGATACTATCTAAGATATACAACTTAAACAATTCTAATAAGTATTACAACTTAGACAAGAATAATGACATTTTTGACATTACTAAATACCTGAATCATAGTATCCTTGATTACAAGGACAATTAAATATTAAATCATTAAGTTATCTATGTGATGAGACTAAACACTCATTACATAATGTACTCAATTTAGAACATGTAAAACAAGAATAATGACATTCTAAATTTATTTAATGATAATATTACTTTAACATAAACTATTTTATCCATCATCAAAATATCCATCAGGACATTAACATATCTTTAAAATCTAATTTAATATTCTAAGACTATTCTCCTCACATTCTAAACATGTATCATTCTTTAAGATACATAATTTACATTTTATACTACATTCTTGAAATTTATATTATTTATTAATTACTTAAACAAATAGCTCTACCTACTTCATAATATCCATCCTTACAAATACATGTAGATCCAATCTAAATTCTATTCTCAGTATCAAGACATGTAATACATTAATTTTGTGCAGAACTCTTTTAACATGTTAAACATGTATAATGACAATCTGAATGATAGATTATTATTTTTACTTTAACATTAAAGTACTCCCTTTAATTCATAAGTACTTATATGATATCCCTATATTTTTGTTTAACAAAGACATTTATTTCCATCCAAATATCTATCTTTTGAACAAGAAATACAATTATCATATTAATCTACACATTCTTAACAATATGAACTACATTCTATAATTTATAATTTATTAATACTTTAACATTCTTAAACTTCCATTTCAAAATAACCCTTCATACAAATACATTCATTATTTATTAATTTTCTGAATTTATTCAAATTACAAGTAGTACATGATTACTCAGTTCCATCTGTGCAAGATTAACATTTAAAATGACATACTATTAATAAATGTTGATAATTAAATACATTTGCATAAAGGATTTTCAATTTCATCATAGTATTCTTCAGTGCATGAACATGAATTATCTGATCCTAATTCTCTTCCTGAATTAGAAGGACAATCTAAACAATAATCATTAGTATCCTTGCAACTTTTGCATTTATATGAGCATTCTAAAAATATATAAATAAATCACTCACTATCACAAATTGGTTCACCAACAATATCATAATATCCTTCCATACAAATACATGTATTTCCAATCTAAATTCTATATTATAATTCTTTAGAACAATCTAAACAATTATCAAAATTCACATTATCACAAGAATTACAACTATAATGACAGTCTAATTAATAATAAAGTGCATTACTTTAACATTCTAGAATTCCAATATCATAATATCGAATAGGACAATTACATTATACTTCATCATATTCACGATAATTTGTATCACAACTCAAACAATTATACAATTCTGATCCATCACATGTTAAACATGAATAATGACATGGTTGGCATTCCATAGATCCCTCCAAATCAAAATAACCATTTTCTTAACAAACACAAATAAAAGTAGATCCAGCAATAATTGATATTCTTGTAGAAGGACATTCTGTACATTTATCAATTCCAGAATCAAATAAGCAATGTTTACATGAATAATGACATTCTAATAAATTTATTTAATTTACATTAACATTCCATATTAACATTATCATCATAATATGAATCTGAACATAAACATTCCCTCTAATATGACAAATATCTATGAGAATTTACTGAACATTTTACACAATTATTATATAATATTCCTTAACAAGATGCACATGTATAATAACATTCTTGAAAATACATAAATGAAATAAGTTACTATAACAAATTTCCTAATTTGAATTACCACTATAATTCTCTTTACATACACATTCTAAATCATCTGATAATTCTCTATTTTATTCATCAAAACATTTTGTACAATATTATAAATCAGTACCAGGTTTAGATTGAATACATTCAGCACATAATTTATAACATCCTAATTAATATATATGTATTTATACTAGCACATGCACGATATGGAAGTATTTACTGCTTTTAATTATCAAAATAGAGTTCATTTCCATATCCTTCTATGCAAACACATTCTCCTTTAACTGTTAATTAACGATGATAAGAATTAAGATTTCCACAATCTAAACAATCATTAACTGAAATCCCATCACAAGCATAACAAGTTTGATGACATGCTATAATATAAATTAATCAATACATTTGCAAACTAATGGTCGACCATCAGTTCTAGTTTTGTCAAAATATTCAAAAAATAAAGGTTTACAAACACAAGAAGTTCCTTATAATACTCTATTATTAAAGCCATCACATGAAGTACAAGAGAATGGAGAAGGATCACAAGAGTTGCAATATAATAGAGTACAACTTTAGCAGCTACCATAATAATCACCTTTATATCCATCAATATTGCATTCACATTCACCAGCACTTGTTAAATATTTACCCATTCCATCATTGCACACTGTACATATATTGGGATCATCCAATTAACAATATAAACAATGTCGTTTTACACAAGTGAAACTTATGCATTTTGAATTCACTAAAGTAAATCCTGGACGACAATATAAACATCCTAATTCATTACATACTGGACAATTCTTTTTTTAACTGCAACCTAAATTTATAATAATATCAATAACTTGAGCATTAAAGATTAGTAATATCCCAAAAATAACCATAAAGACATTCCAAACATAATGTACCTATAGGAATCCCATTTTAATCATATAAGATTTCTTATTTAAAACAATTCATATCTCCGAAACATTTGTTGTTTATTAATACATAAGGATATCTACATTTTAAACATATTTCAGTTTAAGTATTCAAATCTATATCGCATTTCGAGCAATATGTTATGTTACAAGCTTAAATTTAATTTATTTTTTACAAACACAAATAATATCCAATTAAAGAGCACCATCATCTACACATGGAAGCTAATAAACTATATTATATGTGGGAGCAACATAACATTTAGTATAAGGAAAACACTCTAAGTTAATTAGGACAAATTACTTTATTAACAGGTTTAATCTTCATATCTTGTCTTTCCATTTCCTGGATAGCATATAGCACAACTACCATCAGTATTTTGTGTTTGACATTCTATATTACAAATTTTTGTATTACTTGATGTTAGTGAAATAGATGTATAATTGTAGTTTTCACAATTCTCTCCATAGTAATTATCATGGCAATATAAACATCTATATATTCCATCTTTAATATATGCATAATAACAGCGAATTTTATCTTCAGTAGTTTCGTCTAGTTATATCATCTTAAAATATTTTTACATTTGCATTCAAAAAAATATTTCCCATCATCTTTAATTGACATTACCAATTAACCTGTTTAATTTCCGCAACTAAAATAAGTCAAAAATGTAGAGATTTTTTATTTAATTGCTTAGGATCCAACTTAAACATCTGGATGACAAAATAAATCGTAGTAAAAATTTTTTGATGTTCTCTTTAAAGATGGTGTTGTAACTCCAGTACATTCGGGAGTTATGCCTCTTGATAAGACAAAATATTTTTACTTATGCAATAATAGGGATAAATAGGAAAAAAGTAATGTAGTGACTAACCTTGATTACAATTTATTCCATTATATATCTAATCTAATTCAATTTAATTTCTGAATGCTATAATGAAATTTAACAATCCTAATATTACACTCCCTTTAATGAAATAGTTAATCATTGATTTTATAATTTAATTAAATATCTTTTATATTCTCTATATTATGATTTCAGACTCTCCAATATTTTGTGAAGCTCTAATATAAAATTAAATGTTAATAAAATTATATTATCATAATAAAAACCTTTAACACATATATTAAATTAAATGTTGTTTATCAAATTATATAAAATTATAATCAATTAATTTCTTTATCAATTTTATTTCCTTGAAATTTTCTAATCAAAATTTATTTTTTTATCCATTATATTTTTATATATTGATATTTTATAATAATAATACTTATTACGTTGTATTTCAAATTAAACTTTTTTTTTTCAAAAAAATTTATAATATTGCTGCTATTATTGATATTTTTAACTTAAAAATTATTTAATATTTTTTATAATTTTTATTATTAGATTTTATAATAAGCATAATTGTATATATATATGGATTTTCTAGCATTTTTTAATAAATGAAGCCTACCTTCCATCTATAGCGATTCTCTTATTCTAAATTGCTCTAATATATTCGTTTTCTTCTTAATTATCATACAAAAAAGGATTGAAACTTGTTACAATAGTATCTTATAATAAATAAAATAGATTTGAACTTTAAATGTAAAATCTATATGATTGAGTTATATACTGCATTATTGATATGTTATAGCTTATTTTTAAATTTCCATCCTTTTTCAATTCTATAATAAATATGCTAGGAATATCAATAAATCTATTCCAACATAATTTGAATGATTGGATATTTTGATTTATTAATATATTCTTCCTTCCATTGCTATTTTATATAATTTGTTATGAACTAGAACCATAATTTGAAATCTAAGAGCCAAATCAATAATTGATTAGTTCAATTCATTAAGTACATTTTGATTTATTTAATCAATGTTAGTGTCTTCTTTATGACTAATTTTAAAGTACTTTAAAAATGGAGGGTAATATAATAAGATTATTGAATTTTTGTTTGATTTTAGTTTTTTATTATTTAACAATTTTAGATAATAGCGCAAAAATGAAGTAGTATTTGTATTTAAATATTAAATTAAGCAAAGAATGCAGGTTATCAATGTGTAAAATAAACAAATAAAGAACTTTAACTTGGACACCATAGTAAGAAATGTATGATTATGAATTAGAATGCTGTCTATGATACACATCTAAATTATTCAAAAACTAGATCAATTAATTGCAGTCACAATTTATTAGGATCAACAGATGGGTTTTCTTAATTCTAATGTCTTTACAATTTAGATCTTAGTCATAATCGTATTAATTAGTTCTTTCAATTGACTTCATCTTTAGTTGAAATAAATTTGGCTCACAATTTATTGGGAAGTGTGTTTGATGATTTTTAGAAATCTTTAAAATCATAAGGTACTCGTTTATATGTAGGATCATTCTTATCAAATTTAAAGAACCTAAAAATCATTGATCTTAGTTATAATAACATATCATCAATCAGTTCTAATATATTTGATAGTAACACTCAACTTCGTAAAATAAATATGAGTAATAATTAATTATCAGGTCCATTGTGGTGTTTTACTAAATTAGAAAATCTGGAGATGTAATATATATAATATATATATATAATAGAATTGATGTTGGACATAATTAATTAAATATTAATGATTTAAAACCATTAGAGAAATTAAGATTAGAAAGTTTGAATCTTCGATTTAATCCATTGGAGAATATAGATAAATGTGAAGAGAAACTAATTAAACATTTACTTTATACAAGAAAGATTGAATTATCATATACACAATTGGAATAATAAATAATGATGAATTCTAAACAGAGTTCTAAATTGGATCATAGTATCAATAGTAATGATTCTATGTAATAATAAACTACTGAGAGATCAACTATGAGTCGTTTAAGCAAAGTTAGTAATAGACTTGCAAGACCTAAAACACCTTAGAATACTAAGAATGATACATATTAAATAAATAAAACTCCAGTGAAAGTGTAAAATTAATAGGAAGTTAAGAAATGTAAAGGTGAATTGAAGAAGAATATAAGTATAACTCCAAAGAAAAATAATGTGAATAAGACACCTAAATAATAAAGATAAGTTTGTATGAAAACAGTAGATTAACATGATGAATAAATTAAACAAAGAGATTCATATTAATAATAGAAATCAACATCAAAAATACCTGCTTTGAATTTACAAATGTTAAAAGTGACTCCTTTTTAATTAAGTGAAGTTAATTCAGAGAGGGATGATTTTCCTATGTTATTTGAAGAAGATGATGAGAAATAATTACTTGAAGAATTGAAATTTTTAGGAGAAGCTTTAAAATAAAAGAAATAACATGAAATTAGTATTGAAAGATAAATAACAATGAACAAGAATATGATATCATTAATGAAGATTATGATAAAAGGAAGTATTTTAATATATATATATTAATAAGTTTATCTATATGATGTGAATGAGTATAATTAAGGATTTGATGAAATGATGATAGTATTATAAAAGGAATTGGAATAAAAGAATCCATAATTCCAAGATCTCAAATTAAAATTGATGAGATTCAACAAGGAACATTACGAATTAAATAAAATGTATAATAGTTTAGAGTAATCTGAAAGAGTGGTTGATAATATCAAGCAATAATTAATTTGAATTACTAAAATTATGGTTATTACAACTATCTTGGTTGTTCTTATTTTAATTAAGTCTTAAATGACTTTAATATTTCTTATGTCTTTTCAATCATTACACTTATTAAATCTGATTCATTTGATTGATTAGTATTTTTTATTTTGCTTTTTTCTAATTGTTTTTTATGCTAAATATATTTTTACAATCCTTAGATAAAAGGATTCAAATATACATAAGCAGAATCTCCTCTTTAAATATCTTTGATCTAAACCCATCTTTTATATTTAGAGTATAATTTACTAAATGGATCCAATTTCATAACGAGTACTTGTTGTAAACTTATGATCCTCACTTACTCCACAAATTATATACATTCTTTAAGGTTATCCAGTATCTTCACAAACAAATTCCAAATAATCCTATATAATTAAATTCACTTAAATACTTTATCACTAATTTTCTTAGAAATATCATAACCAACCTCTTCCCATACTTCTCTTATTGCACATTCAACACCAGACTCATTTTTATTAACCTTCCCTTTTGGAAAACTGTATACTGTTTAATTGTAATTCATAACAAGTAATACACAATCCAAAGTTTCATTTAACAATATTGCACCATATAAAGGAATATGTTTTTGATATTGTTTAAATTGTTTAAGATAGCTTTTTAATATTTAGATAATTTACTGTTTAAGATTTCCTCTGATTTCATTATATTCAGATAATGGATTCAAAAGCCAAGAATAAAATTCTGTTTATGACATTTTATCTTCTGGATTCAAGAAATCTAAATAATACCAATAAGCATTTTGTAAATGAAAAAATAATCTATCAGGTTTCTTTTCCTCTTAATCCAAATTTACTATGAATCTACATAATAAACTTTCTCTAGTTTAATCCATTATTTATAATTATTATTTTATTAATGCAATAATATCAATCATAACCAGCATTTAATCCTAAACATTTGTTTACAATGAAAAAGTATTTCAATGGATATGTGTAATAAAACAGATTTTTTCACAAAAAAACTGAAACCAAATCAGATAGTGGAAGTGAAGTATTTAAAGAAATCTAATAACTACCCTAAATTGTATAAAGAATAGATAGAAGAATTGAAAATGTGAATTATAAATATAAAAGTGCTCCAATGATAGAAAAGAAGAAACAAAACTCACGTAAACTCTCTTTTCCAGTACTCAAATATTCTCCAACCGAGAATAAGGTACAATTATAGAAGATAAAAGACTTGATAGAATAGCACACCTCACGTGTAATTGTTAAAGATGATATGCTTAAACATATGATTGGTTATAGCAAGATTTCTTAGATGATTATTTGATTATTAATCATAATACTCTTAATTCCACTCTTTTTATTTCTATTTAATTTATATTAATATATAATTATATATAATAGTTGATAAATAATCTTCTATATATATATATATTTATAAAATTCTTAGCTATTGTTATTAATAATGTCATTCAAAACAATTATATATAAATAGTGACTATATATTGTTTATCAATGATCAAGCAATATATTTAAGATAAATATTATTCTAAAAAAGAATTATTAATTTAATAATGGTTAATTTCGATTAACTCTTAGAGGAATCATTAAAAATGGGTTCATTTTAGAAAAAATCTCTATTAGTTGTTTCATTAATAGATTTCTCAGATGGAGTTGAAAAGACTATTATTGGTATTATGTTAACCATATTATCACATGAATGGAAATTGGATTAAAGTGAAGTGTCCAATTTGGCAAGCATTTATTTTATTGGAATAGTAGGTGGCACTATGTTTTGTGCATTCAATACTGATACAATCGGAAGATAGAGAACATTAATGTTAAGTAGTATGATTGGTTTTGTTTGTATGTTATGGATGAGTTTAGCATAAACATATTTAGAAATGTTCTTATTACGTTTAGGATTTGGTTTTATTTTTGGAACTACAATACCTTTGGGACATATTGTTATAACTGAGATAATCCCAGCAAATATAAGGGGTTCAGTTATGACATTTGTGGCATCTGTATTCATAGTAGGTAAGATATATTGTACATTTTTATGTATGGCTTTATTGTAAGGATTTGATGAAGGACATTGGAGAATTTTGGTGGCATTAAATTCTTTACCATTACTATTATGCTGTATAGGATCTGTTATATATTTGAGAGAGTCACCTAGATATTATTTAGTTAAATAATAATATCAATAAGCATTTGAAGAAATAGAATTGATTGCTTTATAAAATAATTCTTAAAACTTTTAATTAACAAATAATATTAAAGAAGGCTTAATTGAAAATTCATAATAAATAATAAGATCAGAGACTAATTTTAAATAACTATTTAAAGGTAAATATGAAGGATTCACACTTAGAATGTGGATAGTTTTTATATTGACTTCCTTTATAGAATGTTCTCTATATATTTTAATGCCTTTTTGGTTACATCAACATAATAAAGGATTTGAAATCATATTATTTATGATGATATCTGAACTGCTTGCTAATATGTGTATCTACAAAGTTATAGATAGTAAACTATTTGGAGGTAGATAGAAACTTGTGATTTATATAGCATTGATAATTGGTGTAATTTCATTGATTACTTATATATAAGGAGAAGAATTATTAGTTTTTGGTATGACAACAATTTCATTTTTTTTAAAGATGATGTTTACAACTGAGATGGTTATAATGAATGAGAATTATACAACATAATTTAGATCAATGGGAGTAGGTTTAACTTAAACAGTTGGTAAATTTACAGGAGCAATAATTCCATTTATTATATTTCCAATATTTGAAATAGATCCATTCTTACCATTCCTACTATATTTTATATGCATGTTAATCTAAGCTATTTTTGCATTCTAATTTCCTTTTGATATGACGCAAGTAGAATTGGACTCTGTTAAAGTATTTTCTTGATTAAAATTATTATATATATATAATGTTTTCAGAAATAATACCTTCATTAATGGATTATTCACAACATCTAGATCGTACCATAAAGGAAGTTTAATAGCAAATTTTATAAATGGAAACTATAACCAATAAAACAAATTCACATAAAAGACCACTTGAAATGAAATATTTATAACATAAATCTTCAGTTCCATCAACTCTTCCTGATATTAACAATGATATTGATAAAATCCTATTAACAGCTGAATAATTTTTATCAGATCCAAATAAAACATAAATTGAACCTAAAAAATAAGAAAAATAAGATTTTGAATAACCAAAAAGAAAAATAGAATCATACAAATAACCAACCAATAAAAAATAAATTCTCTCTCGTAAAGTTAGTCAAAAAAAGTTATCACCTTCTAAAGTTTCAATGCACAAACGATCTGGATCATTATATAAATAAGAAGTAACACCAAAAGTTACTTAAGTACAACCTAAATTTCCAATTCAATAAAGAGAATCTACTAAATCATTTAAAGATCAAAGTAGATTAATTAAATAATCACCCACTAAATCAATTCATGAAAAAAATTCAATTCTTATAGAAGATTAAAGTAAAGTTAAACCACCTATTCCTGCTGTTCAACCAATTCGAAAATAACCATCCTAACCATATTTATAATTGCAACCCATTCCATAATAATAGTAATAATAATAAAATTTAAATTCCTCATATACATAAGCTCCTATCAATAATAAAATGGAGAATAATTAATAACAATAATAAAATGCATTAAAGAAATTTGATTTCAATGGATATAAAGAATTAAGTAGATTAAAAAGAATGAAAGATGCTATTTTTGTTGAATATTAATAAAGTTATACATATTTTAGAGAAAAAGAATAAAAGTCAAGAGCTAGATTTCTCACAAAATTCCATTAGCATATGAATGAAAGAAAGAAGTTACTTTAACAATCTGCTTATGGAGATAGGCAAACTTTTTTCTTTCTTAGTGATTAAATTCATCCATAATACTTTTCTTTTATTGAAGAATAATTGACTATAGGATAACCAAAGACTCTTTTAATTCTTAAATATTGTGAATAAATTTAAAAAACAATTGATTCTATTGAAGTAAGACTATTCTCTCTATATATAGTTTGATGACGAACTATTAAAGAATTTAAAGAGAGCCAATAAATAAAACATTTCTAAAATATCCTTAACTGAATTGGTTGAAGTCTTTAAATTGTGGAGTCAAGTTTAAATCATTCGATAAAATTATCAATAACTCACATAATTTATTCAGCCTATTCCAGAATTAACTTATGATTTAATTTAGTGGATTTGTTTAAGACCTAAGATTATAAAGAAAGACAAAACACAAATACAATTAAGTCAAAAGGTTATTCGTTATAATCAATTTGCCTCATCTTAAGAAGAAGCTCTTGAAACAAATAAACTTATTATAAAAGAAGAGATCTTTCGATTTCTATGGGATATTATACAAAAATTAGTATTTTCATAATAATAACTTGAAACTTCAATGGCTTTATTCAAATCCATTCTCAAATTCCTCACTAAAAACAATTGTAGTGTATATGTGTATAAGAATTCAGATTTATTTATATGACATTAATATAAAATGCATAATTAATTACTAACTAATAGATCTAATGTCAAATCTGATCGTATTTCCAAGATCTTATCAGCCTATACTGTTGAAAATGAAAAGAATAATCAACAAAGTTTTAGAATGTTAAGCTAGAAAATTAAAAGCAAAGTAAATATCTGAGATATAAAAAGATAGGAAATCAAATTAGTGATCATCAATCTCTCTATCCTAAACCAGATATAAAAGACACTAAAATTGAAATCTCTAAATTTTTTAGTGATCATAAAAAAACTCAAATCTAAATCAGTGTTAAAGATTTACTTATGCATAAAAGTTAAATGCAAAAATCACTATCCAAAAAATCTAGAGATTCCAACCAACGATAACATGAAATCATTGAAAAATTGAATAAAACATAAAATGAAATCTATAAGAATTACATTGCCAAAAGAGATTCTAATGGATCAAAAACATATAGAGACTCAAGTAATTTCAGCCTCTTTACTTAGGGGATTTGGATATCCGTATCAAGTTGAATGATAAAAGTACTTAATCCCAACAAGCCTTACTCTAAACACTCATCAATAAGAGCAATGAAAAAAAGTCAGTTGAACCCAGAGATTCCCCAGATCTATGTCGCACTCCATAACATAATATGCTTCAATCTACTATTTAAAATAGCTTACTTATACGTTCAGGAAGTTAAGGCAACGTTGCTAGTACCTCGAAATTAAATAACAAAATGCCAGATTCTAAACTTAATAAAATAAAAAACTATCTTGAATAAGCTAAAACTCATCGACCAATCACTGATTCTTATAAATTGAGTCAAGAAATTGATAAAGTTAAATAGAGTAAATTAGTTTAAGTTGAAAGAAATAAACTTCTATCCATACTAAAAATAGCATATCGAGCTAAAACTAAAATAGATTAATTTAATGAATATTTGAAATAATAAGAAAAAATTTCAACTGCAATCTAGAGTTTCTTATTAAATGAATGTATTTATTAAATCTTATTTTAGTATCACCTGAAAATAGTATTGAATCAATCTTATCTTTGGAATGAATGTTCCATATTTATTCATTAATAATAAAAATACTATTATATAAAATTCATCTTCTTTATTTACCAAAATATAATCAATCAAATCTATGGATTCTAATAAAGAAAATTCAAATCTCTTTTGTTATTTAAACAAATTAAATAAGAATTTTTATTTATCTTATATAAAATTCTAAGAAAATTTAAAAAATTAAATATTTACCAAAAATGTTTAACAAAGAAATTAAATAAATTATTTTAAGGATTGTTTATTTTTAATCTTATTGTTTTATTAACTTTTCATTTATTATTATTCTTATTCTTATAAATATTATGTTAGGCTATTTTATTATATATAAAACATAAGATAATTAAAATGGTATCCTAAAATTAATAATACCTTTTATAATGAATTACTCATCAATTTTTTGATACAATACATATTAGTTAATAATAAAAATTTATTATATATTGAATTATCATTTTTTGCTTAATTATGAATTATTTAGTTTATCTTGATTTTTATTTTAAGATACATTATTTATGGTTTTATCAAGATCTTATTTTTAGGTATTGGCATTATCTTTTTGTTTTTTTAATAATGCTGACTAATTTTCTTCTTATTCCTCCTCAGGTACAAGACTAAGCCCTCTATCAACTTATTTGCTACCAGGAGCTTATTAATCGATTTCATCAAGTCTTGCCATGATTTAATCTTTTAAACCAGGTTTAAGATTTTCAATTGCATCAACCATTGTTCTTATTTCCACTCCAACAAATTGATATAAAGCTGCTATCACTTCAATACTTAAGAGTCTAATTTCATTGGCCTAATGAAAAAGACAAGGAGTAGCTAGAATGAAGAAGATATCTTGATGATTAAATTATCTTTGATCGTATCCAAACTCTTAAAGTACATTTGATACTATTTCTAATCTGGCTTATATAATTCTAGTAGGCTATTTGTCAGGTGGAACAAATAAGGTAGGGAAATTGGGATCCATAACCATCTTATCAAAACAACATGAAACCTATGTTATTATAGATTTAATACAAGCATTCCAAGATTGGCAGCAGGATGTCTATAAATACTTAAGAGAGTGTGTAAACTTATATCTCTAGCTCTAAAATTTAATTCACTAATTTTTTCTATAAGAATTGGAGTGAATTCTTTTAAAACTTTATTAATAATGGCAGGGGATACATCAGTTCCACAAACAGGAGGGGCTAATGCAGTTGATAATATTTTTAATCCGATAAAATATATTGATAATATTTTATCTTCCATACAGATTTTAGCAAATTCCATAGCAGCAAGAAACAATTTTTTAGTTTTACCATTTTTATATTTATCTGGTAGTGGCATTTCTAAGAAATTCAATACTGCTTAAGCACAAGCTTCTCTTATTCTCCAACTATCACTATGAATACCTGTCCAAGCTTTGGCTCCAAAAACTGTTAGATATCCTAATTAATGTAATCTTCTTAATATTTCTAATGGGATATCAACCATCTTCTCTCCTGCTTATGCTAGTAAAGGATTAAGATACAATTCTAAATCAACATCTCCTTCATTAAAAGCAAAAGGATTATTGAAATTTAATAGTGGTTCATCATCTTCTTTCTTTTCTTTCTTCTTCTTCTTTTTAATGTTTCTATCATCACCTCCTTTTTCCCACCATGGTGTTTTATCAATTTTATTGTCTGTACTTTTACCCAATAGATTTTATTCTTCTTAAATCATTCTTCTTCTATTTTATTCTTCTAATTCTCTTTATCTTCTTAAAGCATCTGCATTCATTTATTCTTACATTTCCAAATACTCCAAATGTCTCATATATTCAGCTGTTGTAGGTCTTTATAAATTGATCATTTTCTCATATCTACTTGTTTCATACAAAGCATCAAAAGTGTCTCTTTTAGCCTCTAATCTTTTTAATCTATTTCTTAATTCCATTGCTCTGAGATAATCTTCCTTAGCAACACAAAAACTTAACTCTCTTTTTAATTTCCAAATTTCCTTCCCTATTTCAAATATCAACTTCATATCTCTTTTTAATTCCTTCAAAAATTCAAAATCTTCCACTCTTCTTGCTGAGTCTCTCTTTAATTTTAAATCATTCAATGTATCTCTAGATTCATCATCAATTGGAGCATATTAATAATTTCTATCATCGTCTTCAAACCAGTTGATCATATCCACAGGAATACCCAAATCAATCAACATCTTATCTACTTTAACTATAATTCTATACCTATATTATCCTTAGCACCATAGACCTCTTCACTTTAATCCACAATGTTATAACTTCTTGGAATTCCCCATATTTTTAACAGTGAAATAGAAACTTATCCATATGGGTTTTAAGGAGCTCTCTTTGGATGTTCAATTATTTTAATCTTCAAATAATTCCCTATTCCTGTTAATTTCACTTAAAGAGGTTTAACGTAAATATTCTCGCATTGTCCAGCCCTTCTATATTCAGCATCATTCCATCCTCCATTTAATCCATCTCCTATATATATATTCATTTTTGGAATCCCTTTATCTGCTTTACTAGCTATCAATAAATGATCAACTTAAATTCTGGTATGAAATCTCAGGATTATTTCAACTGGATAGTCTGCAGTTCTACTACATTCCCAACTTCGTTGTTATCCATATTATTAAGTTGACAGGAAGTCTGCAGGACTATTGAAATCCTCACTAGAACAAGCTACTATATGAAATGGAACCCAATTAAAATCGATTCTATTCATGTTAATTATAGTATGTTAATTATTAAATAAATAAACAAATAGCAATTCAAAAACTCCTTTTCATTCAAGTGACCTTACTAAGAATAATTAAATCACTCTGAAAGAATATAGTATCTCTTAATATGATTGATATTTATTTTATTTTATAAAGTATTTAAATCTTTTTAATAAATTCAATTGCAACTATTAAAATATCTAATAAAATCGAGATTAATATAATAATTATAAATGGTTTAACAAACTTATCTTATGTAATTCTTATAATTATATTTAAATTATAAAATAAATGAATTATATTATAATTATCTTATTATAATTATTTAATCATATTCTCGTGAACTCATCAAATATATCTTCTAAACTGCTATGCATTACGAAAAAATGTATCAAATGAAATACAGGGTTAAGTTCCATATTTTTAATACTGGGGGCTATTAATCTATATAATAATATTCTGATATATATTGTGATTGGTTCTAAAAGTGCTTATGATATAAGTATATTCCCTCCAAGGATTATAATAATTAAATATTATTCGGATTACATTTAAATTCTAAAATAAGATACTAAAATACTTGAATATGTACAAAATAAACAATATAAGATTTGGTGCTATCAATAAGATAATAAGAAGAAACTAACTAATAAAACTAGCAATTCTTTTGAATCTATATATTGCTTCAATTATCTTGTATAATATTCTCAAAATTAAAGTGATAAAAGGATTTGCAAATATAAATAAACAAATAAAAAGAATTTAATTGTTTAACAAAAAACATTCAAGAATTGTTAAACTTAATTATACATTGAATTAAGAAAACACTTCTAAAATCCGAAAACTAAGTTGAATGTTTTTGTCTTTATAATAAAATATAGATATGCTTTAGTGGATTAACTAATAATAATATTCAATATTACTTTAAATTATAATTTGAAAACCTTTGAATTCCCTTAATACGTTAAAGAACTTTTATCCTAATTTTAACTACTTGGATCGCTATCTAATTTTTCTTCTTCTGTTTAATCTCTAATAAAATAGGTAATATATATGGTCAAAAAAATAAATGTCAAGGAACATGTACAAATCATCAAAATCAAATTATCTTAAAATGTTGAATCAATATCATCATTAATTATTTGTTAGTTAGTAGAGTTTTCAACTAAAGAAGTAATGTTATAGGAAGTTATTAAAAAAATATCACCAAACTTATTACATTCACAGGTCAATTCAACAATATCATTAATTTATACAGTTTGTAAGTAACATTAATAAAATTTACCAGATGATGTTATCATCATACATTATAATTAATATTTCTATATAGTTGTTGTGTCATTTGAACAAATAGAATATGACCCAAACTTCAAACTGTAAGTGGATATGAAATCTTCAGATGAAATATATCTACTTCTGTATACATTTTTTAATTAAATTTAGTAATAATTTTCTGGGAAAACCTTTATTGTTTTGTCATTAAATTATTATTAGATTCTATCTTCTAGATTTGAAATAAATCTAAGTGGATTTGTTTTAAGATAAGTGGATTGATATTGGATAAAATCTATAAGATAATCTACATCAGTTGGTTCAATAGTAAATTATTAATTAAATATTTATTTAGTTCTTTTTTTAATTTGCCAGATAATCTCTTTACCCTAAAGAATTAATGGGTTTTCATTAACCATAATTATATTTTATATTTCTTCTGTAATCAAATTTGTGAAATTCAACAATTCAGCAATATTAGTATAAATTGTGTCATTTTTTGTATTTACTCCTATAAAATTGAAATAAATTTCATCAACATAGTGTATTAGATTTATTAAACATAATTATGAATTTTACAGTTACTCAAAAAGTTCTTAATTCCACATATTATTATTTTCTAGAAGTTATTCTTAACATTGTTGCTTTATTCTACTAAGATATTTCAGATTTGAATCTACTTTCTATATATTATTCTTGAGTTCCTCAATCTTTTGTGTTTGATTAACTTAAGTCACATTGGAAATTTATGTAATAAATAAATTGCTAGAATTTAAATCATAACATTTTGTTTAATTGGATTCAATTAATAATCTATTTTAAGGTTTACTTTATCCATATTAAAGTAAAAACTACTTATATAATTTTATAGCCTAAAATTTAAGCGTATTATCATTTTAATCTGGTAAAATTTAAGAGTAAAGCAAATCAAGATAAATTTAATAATGTAACTCATTACATTTTTAATTCATTGCTTCAAATAACAATGATATCTTGTTTTATAAATTCAAATTTTAAAATTATATTTAAGAGCAATTTATGACAGCAGGTTTTGAAGTTATCATTTCATAAATATTAGTGATTGATTCTCCACTGTCAAGAGCTTATAATAAAAGTCCAATTTTTGAAGAATCGACAGAAGTAGGAATTTAAATTGAAAATTGAGTTTAATACTGAAATGAATAAAGAATTAAAGAATTATCTGATGATCCCTTAAAATAATCTGTTAAATCTGATTCTCTCAAAAATACTCTAAGCTAATATTTATATGGAGAATCATTTGATTATTCACAACTAGTTGCAACTATCATATTTGTAAGTGCTACATCATTTGAACGCGTAATACTTAATTTTGAACAGAAGGGAGGTTAATTTATCTTAAGTTTTAAGCTATTTAGACTAGGCATTATATTGTTTGTATATTATTCTGTAAGTTTAAGACTAATGCTATCACAAAAGTTTAACTCTTTAATACTATTAAATAATTTAAATTAATGAGAAATGTATTTTGGTTAAAGTATTTCTATTATTTCATAGTTATAGATGATTGCTATTGATAAATCTAATAAAAAAGGTTTTTAATTAAATGGGATTAGGAATGTAAAATTAAGTTATTCATAATTATTTACTTTTCTCATTAAATAACCCTAATTGAATTCTAAATCTAAAACAGGGAAATCATCCTCAAGATATACAATAATTTAATTAAATTTTTAAGTTTATTAGAATTTGGTTACTGTGACTGACCATTCCTATACAGTAAAGACAGAAATTGTATTCTTCTTGATATATTAAACTGAATCAGTTACATTTACATTAATCATTTATTTTTATTAGTTTAAGCAAGAATTATTTAATGTTAAGTCCTTATGCATTCTANAGATTTATTAAACATAATTATGAATTTTACAGTTACTCAAAAAGTTCTTAATTCCACATATTATTATTTTCTAGAAGTTATTCTTAACATTGTTGCTTTATTCTACTAAGATATTTCAGATTTGAATCTACTTTCTATATATTATTCTTGAGTTCCTCAATCTTTTGTGTTTGATTAACTTAAGTCACATTGGAAATTTATGTAATAAATAAATTGCTAGAATTTAAATCATAACATTTTGTTTAATTGGATTCAATTAATAATCTATTTTAAGGTTTACTTTATCCATATTAAAGTAAAAACTACTTATATAATTTTATAGCCTAAAATTTAAGCGTATTATCATTTTAATCTGGTAAAATTTAAGAGTAAAGCAAATCAAGATAAATTTAATAATGTAACTCATTACATTTTTAATTCATTGCTTCAAATAACAATGATATCTTGTTTTATAAATTCAAATTTTAAAATTATATTTAAGAGCAATTTATGACAGCAGGTTTTGAAGTTATCATTTCATAAATATTAGTGATTGATTCTCCACTGTCAAGAGCTTATAATAAAAGTCCAATTTTTGAAGAATCGACAGAAGTAGGAATTTAAATTGAAAATTGAGTTTAATACTGAAATGAATAAAGAATTAAAGAATTATCTGATGATCCCTTAAAATAATCTGTTAAATCTGATTCTCTCAAAAATACTCTAAGCTAATATTTATATGGAGAATCATTTGATTATTCACAACTAGTTGCAACTATCATATTTGTAAGTGCTACATCATTTGAACGCGTAATACTTAATTTTGAACAGAAGGGAGGTTAATTTATCTTAAGTTTTAAGCTATTTAGACTAGGCATTATATTGTTTGTATATTATTCTGTAAGTTTAAGACTAATGCTATCACAAAAGTTTAACTCTTTAATACTATTAAATAATTTAAATTAATGAGAAATGTATTTTGGTTAAAGTATTTCTATTATTTCATAGTTATAGATGATTGCTATTGATAAATCTAATAAAAAAGGTTTTTAATTAAATGGGATTAGGAATGTAAAATTAAGTTATTCATAATTATTTACTTTTCTCATTAAATAACCCTAATTGAATTCTAAATCTAAAACAGGGAAATCATCCTCAAGATATACAATAATTTAATTAAATTTTTAAGTTTATTAGAATTTGGTTACTGTGACTGACCATTCCTATACAGTAAAGACAGAAATTGTATTCTTCTTGATATATTAAACTGAATCAGTTACATTTACATTAATCATTTATTTTTATTAGTTTAAGCAAGAATTATTTAATGTTAAGTCCTTATGCATTCTATTTAAAGATTTAAATCTTTTCTTATACTTTAAATTCCTCTGTTATTAAATTAACAGATCAATCCAGCTAACGGAATATTAATACTCACATTTTAGTATTAAGTTTTATTAGTATTTAAATTAGTTGCTATGACTTAGAAAGTATAAGTTGAATTTGGACTTAATGTATATTTTGTAATATTTGCTTGTATTTTTTCAAATGGATTAGCTTCTAATGATGTATTTAGTCTCGAAGGAAATGACTTTTTAGGATATCTATTAATTTCACTAAGTTAGATGAAATTTAATTATTAGATCTTAAATTTTATAATGGCATCACTAGGTAATGTATTATTAGGTTATAAAATAAGTAAAATTGCAATTAAAGCGCACACATTAATTGTTTTTTGCTATGAATAAAGTTAAACAAGTCAGAAAAATTTTTTGTAATTTAAATTTTGTCATATATTAAACAATACTCTATAATATCACTAGCCTCTAAATATTCAGTTTACTATTACTGATGCATTTCTTTTATTCTTCAGAGTAAAAATATCCTATGTCGCATTAAGTACATGATATTTAATTAAATTTTAATATAAATATACTATAACCTATTGATAATATCCATATGTATCTAGTGTTGTTAAATCTGTAAGTATTTATTATGATTAAGAGATTAATATCAATCATATCTATTAAAGTCACAACTCTCATGCCTTATACAAGCAATATGATCTGGACCATCTTGTTTTACTTTGAATCATAATTTATTTATAATTATAATCGCTAAACCCTGATAAATTATTTTTTATTATAGATATAATTCAAAAGGTTGTTTTGTCTTTTTAATTTAAATAATATTTTTATATTAATTAAATTTTAATGAGTCATTATTGATTATTAATTAATTTATATTAATACTAAACTATTTAATTATAATAATTATTATAACATAGACCACAACCTTAATTAGATAACATACTATAAATATTTATATATATATATGAAATATCTGAAAATATTGTTTAAATTAATTAAATATATAAATTCAAGATCTTGATTTTTGATCAGCCATTTCTTATTCTTTAACATCAAAACTTTCATTATAAGGAGCAGTTGAATCAACAATTTTTTTCTTCCAAGTTAAAAAGGATAATTTGTGACCCCATTTTTTAAAGCATACATACATAAAAATAATTAGCCATACAATAATAACAAATAAAACATAAATTGCAATTGTATAATATGCATATGTATAATAGTTTCCAGGAATCTAAATAATAATAATAATATATACTTCAGTAGTTGTAAATGTAAATGAATGAGTAATATTACAAAGTGTAAATTATGATTACCATACATTAGGTGTTTCTTCTTTTCCTTAACAATTTGTAGAATTTAATAAAACAATATATTAATTAACTTCAGCATCTTCAAATTTACATTCAACAATAGGATGATTCATTTTGATTGTCATAAATTTGAATTCATATCTAGCTATTCCTACTAATAAACGAATATTCATATTTTCTTATTCTTCATATGAGAATTCTTTTAATTTAAATAAATCTGGATCTTAAAAGGATGTATGTGATAATAGTTTTTCATCCAAAAAACCTTATAATAGATTTAAGAGTAATACCTGAATAAATTGAATGTTAAATAATCTTATGTCCATCATCTCCAATTAAAACTGCATAGTATTCAAATACATTAACATCATTAATAGTCATTTCATCAATATAATAATTATTGAAAAAGTAATCAGCATTTTAAAAATCTACAAAGACTTCAACTGCAAAATCTTAATTATTAACAGTTTTAGCAACAATAAAGAAAGTGCTTTCAAAATGATCAAAACTTTTAGTTTTAGAAATGGTAATAGTAAAAAGATGAGCAACTTATCCATTTTCTAAATTATAGATTTTATAAAATCTCAATCCTGTTTCTTTATCTAAAACATATAATCTATCATCTCCATTAGAATCAACATCAATAACTTATCCTTATGGTATTCCCAATTAAATAGGTGTAATAGTAGATACAAATATTAGTTAATTATTTTAAATTTTATAGACATCTAATCCATCATGACCACAAGCAACATAAATCAATTTATGTTTCACATTATAATGAACATTAAAAATGTAATCTTTCTTTTTAACTTCAGTTTCTAATCTAAATTCAGCTAGTTCTAATTCAGTATCTGTATTTAAACTTGCTCCACCATTAGAAGTAATAATATAGATTCTATTTTCACCCATATCATCAATAAGGAATGGATGATTGAAATCATCCTCTGGATCATACTTCAATAATGAAGCAAATGATTATTATTAGCTATCTAAACTAATACCAAAAAATCCTCTCTATAGATTAATAGAGAATATTTTAAAGTCATTTCTTACTACATATATTCTAGAAGAACTTTCAGAGGTAGCAAGATCTGTAAAATAAATATCTCTAGTAACTCCTGTCTTATCTAACCATAATTTTAATTAGTATGAAATTTCTAAATTTTATTGAATGGCAAAACATCCATATTCACCTAAAATATCTTCTTCTACTTTTTCAAAATCATCTAGATTGTAACTTTAGCTTCCAATTTATCCATTAACTCTTTTATGTAAATCAATAGCAAATACTCCTGGGTATCTAATTAAAATGAATCAATAAAAATAAATACGCTCCATATTGTATAGACAACTTTTCTTAAGCTTAACGAGTGTAATTACCTGGATCAATAGTTTCATTAATGTATCTACAAGATGGTTGTTTGATTTATTTAGCTTAGATGCTTAGAAATAGGAATATACACAATAACATGTATAAAATAATAATTAATCAATGTTTTTTATTTTAATAAAATTTGGTTATCTTTTGAACATTAGGTAGTTCACTAATTGATTCTTCATCTTCTTCTTTAATTTATTCACATGGTAATATCTTTTTTAAATTTGTACTAATTTAATCTGTAGTTTATCCCTTTAATTATTTTCGAATAGTTGAGAATTCACTAGCTAATTCACTCTATCCATCATTTATATCTTCAAAAGGTTTTATTTTACAATCTACAACACACCAATCAAAACAATAAGGTCCTAATTTAATAATTTCTTACTAGTTTTGTTGAAACCTTCTTTACATATTTCTTTCATTTTACCATAATTTGGTTATTCATCAAATCTCAATCCTTTAGAATGATCATAAATTTTTTTAAGAATTGGAGGAATATTTATTTCTAACTAACCTGATGCGAATTTCTGTTTTGCATCAAGAATCTTCATAAATTTCTCTTATCTAGTTTAACAATTGAAATTTTGCCAAGGTAATTGACCATTATAAAGATACAGAAGTACATAACACATGGCTTCTAAATCATCTCTTCTACTTTATTCAGCACCTAAATGGGAATTGATACTGGTATATCTAGCTGTGCCAACCATTCCTTTATTGTCTGCCTGTTAAATATGAATGCCTTGATTATTGTATTTAAAAACCTTAGGCATCAACAAATGGTTTGGCTAATCCAAAATCAATCAAATAAACTGTATGATGATCTCCAAAACTACCTACCAAGAAATTTTCAGGTTTGATGTCTCTATGTACATATTTTCTTTCATGAACAGCTTCAATGACAGAAATAAGACAATATGCTAATCTAATTATGCATGATTCAGAGAACTTCTCATGAATTTATTTCTTTCTTAGTTCTTCAAGATTACCTGAAATAATAAGAACATTCATACCTGAACCATAATAAGGCATTATGATTAATTTGTAATCTTACTGTTAAATTAATTGATAAGGCTGGGGGACTTGAGGGATTCCTTTCAACTATTAGAATGTGTTATATTCTTTAACTAGTAAAGATTGTTAATTTTATTATCTTGTATCTTTGAACTCCACTTTGCATGCATGTAAAGTCCTAGTCAAAGTATTGTAAATTTTATAAATTTCTCCAAAACTTCCTTGGCCTGCCTTTTCTACCAATTAATACTCAATTGGTAATTCAATTAATGGACTTACTACTTTTTTTACTGGATATTCACTCTAGAATCTCACTCTTGGTAAAGTTGACTACATATATTATTTATATAATTAATAATGTAATCATATAATCCAGCCGTCTCTCATAAAAGAAAAGAAAGAGATATAGCAAAACTAATGATGTCTAATTATCATGTTGAATAATGTGCTTAAAACCCATACAATTTTAAAGTTAATATAAATGGGTAAAAATTATAGTAATTATTATAAAGACCATCTGATTCTCTCTATGCTGGAGGAGTCTATACTATTAATGTTCTTCTACCTGAATAATATCCATACAAATCACCAAGTATTGGTTTCCTTACTAAAATATTCCATCCAAACATAGATGAAGCGTATTTAATACTATATATTTATAGATCTGGTTCTGTCTGTCTTGATGTCATTAATTAAGCATGGTCACCTATGTATGATCTCATGAATGTTTTCGAAGTCTTCCTTCCTTAATTACTCAATTACCCTAATCCTAGTGATCCTCTTAATCCAGATGCAGCCAGTCTTCTCATCAGAGATAAACCTAGGTATTCCTCAATCATATATATCTAGATATGAGAAGAAGGTCAAAGATATGGTTCTTAAATATGCCACTAAACACAACAAGGAAGTTTAAAATATCGAAATTATAAAAGAATCAAAATAAGATGATGAAGATAACGTTTCCCTTATCTCCTTAGACAATGTATCATAATTATCAGAACACTCTTATGGACATGCTGAAATTCAAAGTTTATTTTGAATTTTTAACCAATTATAAATATATAATAATTCATTTTTAACCTTTACTACTCTTTTATATAATTTAAATTACAAGAGAAGTTCTTTTCAATTCTATGGATTATATAATCAATTCTCATTAATGTTTAAAGAACTAATTGATAGATATTTACAATCTTCAATCTGATTTTTAATCTCTTTCAATTATTCTAAATGATTAAGTGTATAGAAAATAATCAATTATTAATATACACATCTTATTATAATATTATTTATATCATAGACAATTATTTTAAATAAATTCATAAAGACTATTAATATATATATATATTTGTATTAATAAAGATACATATACTCTTGAAATAAAATTTATTGTATTGATTATAAAATTGAATATAAAAATTTTATATAGTCATTTATAAATGTATAAAACAATTTAGAAATTAGGAGATGGAGTTTTTGGAAGTGTAACTAAGGCTCTTGATGAACGAACCTAAGAGTTTGTAGCTATAAAGTCTTATAGAGACAATTCAGTTAGAGATGAAAGTAAAATAAAAGAGATCCAAATATTAAAAAAATTAAACCATCCCAACATCATAAAATTAAGAGATGTGATAAAATAAAACAAAACTATAGCTATAGTACTTGATTTTTCTGAGAGAAATTTATTACAATACTATAAATCAGTCAAGGAGAAAAATAGAACTTTATGCGAATAATAAATTTAAAGCATTGTTTATCAAATAGCAAGTGCTTTAAATTATTTACATACATAAGGTTATTTACATAGGTAACAGAATAGTTATTGATTGGATAGAGACTTGAAACCTGAAAACATTATGATTTAAGATAATGGAATAGTGAAATTAATAGATTTTGGACAAGTCACTTATTAAAATGAATAACATACTGATTATGTATCTACAAGATGGTATAGAGTATTATATTAATTTGATTATTTAAGTCTCCAGAACAAATAAAATAATTATCATATAATCATGAAATAGATATTTGGTCTTTTGGTTGTATTATTGCAGAACTTTATTTATTGACTCCATTACTACCTGGTACTACTGAAATTGATTAACTTTATTAAATTTAGAATTTGAATCTGAATCAATATTCTAATATTATTCCACCTCAACCATTAAGACTTATTAAGAGTATGTTGTAAGAAGATCCAAATTAAAGAGTGACTGCAATAGAGATTTTATAGAATAATTGGTTATAACATCCATTCAAATTCTTACCTAAAGAATTAGATATTTAAGATGATTCAAAATATTTAATAAGTCCTGCTTAAACACCAGCAAAAGTTTAGAAATACTTTGAGAAATAGGAGAATAATTAAAATATATTGAATCAACATTCTACTGGAATGTTCAATTTTATATAACCAATAATGTAAAACAATAGTAATTTCGATGAGGATTTAGATTGTGGTTATATTCCATCTTATGCTACTTCATTACAAGGAACATAGAAAAAGAGAGTGATACCTCAATAATAATAATAATAATTTACAAATGAATAATAGATACAAAATACTATAATAGAATAGGAACCATAACTATTATATGTAAAAACAACAATTAATTAGCAATAATAGAATAGATTGAATAAAAATTTCTTTTCTAAACCGTATTAATTTATTATTAAATTTTTAGATTGCTAAATACATAAAGAAAAAATAATAATTAGACTGAAATATATTGAAAATAATTAAGGATTTTAGTAAATCATGATTATATAGCCAAATGCTTTTTAAGTATAACTACAATGTCATCAGTAATAAATGATTCTTTACTAAATTTTAATGGTTTAGTGAATTCAACTGGCCAAAAAGAACTACAAGCCTTATTAGATTCTAAGAGTCCACATTTCTTATAGGCTTTGGCTACTAATTCTGAACAAAAATAAGTGTCATTTTTCTTTGAAGGACTTAAACTCTTTTATCTGAATAATTTGCTTAATGTCACTTCATATTTCTTCCCATGTACTTATTATAGAAATTCAATCATCTTTTTTTCAATTTCAGATCTATTAACATTCATTAATTTACGTATAGCCAATCTAAATATATAAATTTGATCTTACTTTTCATATAAATCATTAACTTCTATGAATTATGACCATTCTAAAAATGTTACTCCAGTATCAGCATTTGCATCAAAAATGAATAAATATTTATTAGCCATTTTAATAGCAATAGCAACATGATCATATTTTGTATTAGTGAATATTCTCTATAATTTAGCACCTGTATTATTAGTTTCAAAAAGTAAAAGATCACCTGATTCAACAATTTTTAAAAAATAATCTTCAGAAATCACTTCAACACCTAAATATCTATGTACTTCTTATAATTATAATCTATTTTTTGGATAATTTCTATGTTTATCAAAAACAATATTCAAACTATTTACCCACATTTTTGCTTCAACAACATCTTTTGCTTAATATAATATTATTTATTTAAGATGGTTAAATGTTATCTTAATTAATTATTTTTCTTATTCAACAATGAACTCAAATTCTTTTAATGACAAAACTCTTATTAATTATTATTTTTATTCATCATTGTATTCCTTAATAGATTGTCTCGTTAATTAAACATAAACTCTTTTACTCTAATATAGCCAACCTTCTTTCACTGTTTAATTACCATCTAAATAGATTTCAAAATCATCAACATTGTTCCTCTCTATACAACGAATCTAAGATTAATTTTCATATATCTACTGGGGAAGTTAAATTTATAGTTTATTGAGATTTCTGAGATTTTCGTTTTAATCTCTCTGGAGAACATTCTGATCTAAAATAGCAATCAATTAAAGGATTCTAATTATTTTAAACTGAAATGGATCTTAATCTTTTCTCTAACATCTATTTCTATATTTATATATATATATATATATTTTAAAATATTAAATCACAAAATATAATTATCACCATTCTTTTTTCTTTTCCTTATAATAATCAATCTTCTTTTACATTCCTTAATAAAATTCAGATTACAAATTTTCTCCTTAAATGGCCATCTCAATATAATATTATTATAAATGAATAATACTCTAATAATATATATATATTTATTTATTTACCTAAATTAATTACTCTCTACACTATTCACCTTCTTAAATTAGAGCTTATAAGTCTTAATTTGATGTAGTCTTTTCATCAAACTTATCATAATTACAATTAAATTCTAATGTTTTACTATCAATATCTGCTAATTATTGAAGATATTTATAAATTTTATGTGATTATTAAATTTACTAATATAATAAAGTAATATCTATACTTAAACTGTTTAAATATTGTGTTATAATACTTTATTTGCTGATGCATCTGTCTAATTTAAAGCATTAAAAGTTTCCTATTATTATTTAAGTTAATCATATTTAGGTTATAGAATTGATCTCAACTTTTAAATAAATTGTGGATGAAAGATTAAATCCCTTTCCCATCTTTTTATCATAGTGTAAGCACTCTCCAAATCCTTTATATCATCCACAATACAAAAGTCACCTAATAATTTTTTGAGCTTTCCACCAAATGCTTTCAGAAATGGATTGTCTTACCTTCTTTATTAACTCTCATCTAATATAATTTGATGTATTAAAAATAAATATATTCTTTTCTTATCTTTCCTTGTTTAAGTAAATTCATTTTCAATCATCGAAGAAATTTATTATGCACTCTCAGGATAAGCTGAACAATAATTAGCAGTCTCTTTGAGTAAAGAATTAAAATACTTATAATTTAATCTTTAGCTTCTGTTAATTACTAGAGTAAACATTCTAATTAGTTCAAGTCCATTAGATAATTTTATTATTATATAATAACTAAATTTTAAGTATGAAAGAAACTCATTACTCTTAATGTTTATTTAATGTTTCCAAAGCACTTTTAATATGCTTTTATAAAGAATCTATTTATGTTTTTTACAATGCAAATGCTATATAGAATAAAAATAAATTGAATACTTTTTGCAAAATTCTTTACTACTTATTATAAATCATCATTTTTCCTTACTCCAAGTCTTCCAATTTTATTTTTAGATATTCGAACATCTAAAAATAATATAGGCTCTTCATTTTCTTCTCTCTCTGATAATTTGAATTCTTTAATTTCTTTATTATTATTCACTTTTTCTAATTAAGATTATTTTATTTCATAATATTTTTCTTTATATTCTTTCTCATTTTAGGCTTTCTACATTCTTTTTATTGTATTTTCAAATCCAGGAATTTAATCCACCTTTTAATCACTTTTTATTAATGTACTCTTTATCTCAGGCTTAAATGTACATTCCTTATCCAAAACATCTTTATTAACAACCTATTATTATTGCTTTGTTTATAAAGCTTTTGAATCATTAAATAATCTTTCAAATACTTAATCTCCAGAAGTCTTTTTAACATTTTTTTAAAAAGATAACATTTCATCATTCTCTTATTTTAATTTTAATAAATATCCATGTCGAGCTTTTTCTTATAATTATTTAGAATGATTATAAAGCATTTCACTTCTTTATATACCTTTAGTAGATGTACTACTTTTTGTGGGTGTATATGATTTATATGCTTATAATTTAGAGAAACTATCAAAAGGTTTCTCTTTGATTTTAGCTTCTCTTAATATGAATGCAGGATGAGGATTATTAAGAATTTAAGACCTAAGCATTTTAATTACTTTCTCAAATTAAGGTAATCTATTTTCAAATAATAATCGATCCAAATGTGCCAATGATCTATAATTGATAACCTTTTCTAAGTCTTAAGCTACTTAATCATCAAATTTCTCAACACATGAAAATATTTAACCTAAAATCTTAGCCATTCTATCATATGGAATTACTTATTATTAATACCAAGTGTCTTCAGTCTTAGATTAAAATTGAATAACATTTACATATGCTAACATTAAACAAAAATTCCAAAATTTGGAATCTACAAATAAGTATAGTTAATTCATCATTTGACTCAATTCTTATTCTGAATAGGGTTTGACATCTACAAAAGATGAGAATGTCTCTTTATCCACAATAATGTCGTACTCTATTTATTCTGGAAATTGTATAATTTGTTTATACCTTTGATTATAATGAAAGAGTTCTAAATTAAATATTTACAATCTTACATTATTCTCATTTCTTTTTCTATCTGAGAATTACGGAGTATCTGGACGTTCAATTATGTCTTTCAAATACTATTTCTTGCCACTTTCAAAATCATTTATAAGGTTGATTTTCTTTTTTATAAGCTATTCATAATTGTTATTCTGTTACATATTAATAATTATGATTATGGATGATAAAATCTAAAGAATTTTACAAATGAATGACTTCTAACGTTCCTCAGATATTCGTAAAATCTCTCAATCACAATTGACTGAAAATACTAATAAGACTTATTCTATCACAGTTACAAATCAAACCAAACCAAAAAGAAGAAAGGTTGTCAAATTAAAGAATCATTTACTCTAATCACATGTAAGTCCAGATATTTAAAAATTATATTATTAAACCAAAAAGAATGAAGATTCTTGTTAATAAAATCAAATTGAATAACAAAAATCAAATAACTTACCCACAATATCTGATCAATCTTCTAAAACTAATTTGAATGATTTGATTACTATTGTATTAGAAATATTCCCTCCTGATCATTAACTATGGATAGATCTATAAATTAAGGATTAATCTATAGAAGAAGTTATTACATAAAATTAAAATTATTTCTCTGATCTACTAAGTAATCATATTTAACTTATTTTTCTAAGTCCTATATATTCAAGAGATGGAAATTCGTCAACTCAAAGATAAAAAATAATGTTATAAAGGCAAATATACTACTTAATATAGTGAAGATTTTAGCGATAAAGTAATTAAAGATAATACATCAATTAATAAATGGATTTATGATCGAATCAAATAATCAAATACATTTCTTTAAAACATTAGTACTTACAATGTAAATTTTATAGAATTTATAGAAAGTAACATTACATTCCCAAACGTTACGACAAGATTGGCAACTTCAAACCAGATCATAAACCAAATTTAAATGAAATATCTTGTCTTTCCTCATATTCTATTAATTATAGAGACTGGAAGAAATAATATCATGGTCTCATAGGTCCTATTAATGTTTCTAGTGATTAGAAATTACCATTTATTGCTGAAACTAATTACACTAGAAATTTTGTCACTCAAAAATATGAAAAACAAGATCCTATCATCCCTAAATAATTGTACTACTTATATTAATATATCTAGAGGACCATTTCCATTACAACCAAGAACATTGATTCGAGATACTACACATAAATCTTAATTTTCATTGCCTTAATAAGATAATACATAAATTTAAAATATAGTATATAGTCAAAGAACTAATCATATTAAAAGTTTTGATGGATATTAACCACATTATAATAAATAATCTACAATTTCGAATCAGAATGATGAATTTGCTGATCGCTTTTATTAATCTTCTATTGTTTAAAAATTAATGAAGAATAATAATTAAAAATAATAAAATAATTGATATATATCAAAGTATATTTTATGATATGTCACTATTATTAAAGCAATTTATAGTGGAGAAGATCTTTTTATATTTACATTAGTTAATTTAATGAATTTTCATTTCTAGAATAGTAACTGTTTAAACGATCTAATTCTTATTCAAAATTTGTCATTTTTGGTCTAATCTTATAAGGATAGTATAATGCAACTCGTTCCCACTCCTCTTCTTCAAGACGAGCACAATTTGATTGATTAAATTTAAATGTGGATATATTCATGAGTATTTTATGTTCTATTTCAGGATTAATCTTTTTTAATTCTTATTATATTTATTTAAGATCCATTTACATTTATTTTGAGGATGGCAAACTATTGTTTCTTTCACTTTATTGTTTATAATATTAAATACATCGATTTTGTTTATTAAACAGCACTTAATTGTTATTTTCTTTTTGTCTAATTAAGTTCCCCCAACATTCGTTTCGCTTTTTCACTCTTCAATGAATCCAATTTATACAATTTTACAAGTGTTTTTTCATAATTTACTTAATTCTTCTCCAAATAGGCTCGAATTTTATTGTCCACTTTATCAAACAATTAATTATCATATGTAAGATCTTTAATTTTATTGCTCATGCTTCTCTTCTCTCTATTACTCAATCTATTTGTTTTATGAGGAGAAATTGTATTCTCAACAACATCAATTGTATTAGATGAGACAACTGGAGTCACACTTTTCATTATAAAAAATTAATATTTTGTATTTATAAAATTTACAATATTTAAACTTTAAGAGTTTGATCATTTACTATAGAAATGAAATTAACTATGCATAATTATAGATATAATAAATCATAATTTATCTAGAGTTTTAATTTTAAAACATTTTGTAAATAAACACAGAATAGGAATCTATAAGAATCTGTTGAAATATAAAATTAATAAAAATTCAGATATTTATCAATTAAATAAGTGTAAATATATTAGATTATAAATTAAAAAATAAATGGAATTTACTAATAACGCTACTCATATATTTTATTCAAAACAAATTTAGTAACTAATTTTTGGTGGAATAAAATTATTTTACTTTCTTAACGGCTTTTAAATAGCATATGAATAGAATAATGACATATTATAATGCTTATTTCATAAATCAATTTTCAGAATAAATAAATAATTTAATGAAACTTAATTTTATTATAAATCAGTATTTTTTTTAGAGTATTAAATGCTTACTTAATTTCTTTAAATTAATTAATATTAATCAATCGATTCTTAAAATTTAATTACTAATTAGTATTATAATGTTTTTAAGTTATTAGAAATATTGTTTTTAAAACATATATAAAATACCATATATAGTATATTATCAAATAAATAATGAAGCCTATGGTTATAATAGTAAATTCAAGAAGTTTCCCTTTAAAATAAATTAGCTAAGAACTAATATAGAGTCTTCAAATTTTAGAAGACATAAAAATTACATTAATTAAAAAGACAAAACAACCTTTTTGAATTATATCTATAATAAAATCTATATCATTAAACAGGGTTTAGGGATTATAATTATAAATAAATTATGATTTTATGGTTCATCGTGCTATAGATCATTACAGATGTTCTGGGGTATAGAGATTAGTATTCATACTCAACGGTTTTAAACATGAAATAAAATTTTTGCCCTGATTTGCATGTTATGGTCCCTGATATGGATCTACATATATGTGTTTGTAAGAGTTTGTTTTAAATTTAGCTTATGCTGAAATTTGTAAGGATGTGCCTGAAGTAGATATATTAGTTGCTTAGAACGGAACTTAATATATATGCCACCCTAGATTCTAACCATTTGCTCCAGGAACACCAACTATAGATTTCTTTGGTTCAATAAATTGTGGGTATGAAGAAGGAGTTCAAATGGTAATAGAGTAGTTATCTGATTATCATCTTAAATTTTATTGCAAATGTGAGTAAATTAGACTATTAGAATAGTTATTGAAGGTGAAAATTACAAAAATTGTTTGGCGACTGAAATAGTAAATGGCTATCAAAGATGCGCATATTGTAAAGCACCTTTTGTTGGAGAGTCCTGTCTGAAATTAACATAAGGGTTTTATGATTGGAGATATTTTAATCCCCCTAAAAGTAAATAATCACTTTTTATTTAATAGAATGCGAAAGTATTACTTGCATAGAATGTGATAATCCATCTTCATGTACCAAATGTGCTCCTGGTTATGGTTCTACAACTCCAGCAAATACTTGTGATAAATGTATATGATTTTATATATATTTACAGGGTTGGATTCTACACCTCCTTGTAAAGAAGGAACATATCTAGAAACAGTGGATAAATGCTTTTGTATATATTTAAATAATTACTTAATAGTTTGTCCTGAAGGTTGTTTAAGTTGTAGAAAAAGGTCAGCAAGTACTTAACCATCTGTAACTTGTGATGTTTGTGATTCTCGTTACTTTAAAGTAAAATGTAGACAAGATGATCCAGATTGTTACTTTTGTTTTATAGGAACTGTTTGTGACTTTGATAGATAATAAATACTTACAGATTACACAACATTAAATGCATTAGGATAATATCAATACGTTATATCATGTACTTAATGCGATTTAGGATTTTTTTATTCTGAAGAAAAGAAGAAATGTGAATATAATATTCAATAATATTTTGAGATTCTGAGAATATTCAGAGTTATTGTTTAATTTATGACCCAATTATAAAAAAATGTATGAGTTGTAAACCTGATAAAATATTATATTATGGGAGCTGTTCAAATCCATGGTGTATTCCAGATTGCAAAACCTGTTCAATTCTAGATCCAAATTTTTGTACAACTTGTGATTCCTCTCTAGAAAAAGGAGGAGTTATCAAAGAGAAAGGTATTTGTTCGTGCAAATAAAACTTTGGTTTGAAAAATGATGTTTGTGAACCATGTTCTGATGGTTATTGTTAAGAATGTGAACAAGATGATTTTTATTCATGTACATCATGTGCTCTTGGAACAAATAGAATATTAGTTAATAAATAATGTATTTGTTAACCTGGATCATTTGAACCTGAAGATGGTGGTTTAATATGTATTGGTAAATTTATTATATTATTAATTAAGTATGTGATTGGTCTTGTTAAACATGTTTTGGTCCAACAAATTATGAATGTACTTAATGTCCAGATGAAATTATTTCTAATAGAATTCAAGTAGGCAATTCTTGTCCTTGTAAATTTGGATATTCAGATTATGCAATCTAAGAATAAAGATGTGGAAGTATTTATTTATCATTAAATATATTCAGAATGTCATCCAAGATGTTAAACATGTTTTTAAGCAGAAGATGATACTATAAATTAATATTGTCTAACATGTATACCTGGATAAAATCGTATGGTTAATGATAATTTCAATTGTGATTGTATAGAAAATTATGGTGATATTAATGGAACTAAAGATATTTGTTTTAGTATTTTAATTAATAAATTATATATTTATAGTTTGTCATTATACTTGTGGAAATTGTGATGATTTTGGTTCTAATAATTGTACTTATTGTTCAGATAGTTCATTTAGATATTTAACAACTTCACGAGAATGTTTATGTAAAACATCATATTATGATGATGGAACAGATAATATTGAATGTTCAAGTAATATTAAATAATATTATTAGAATGTCATTATTCATGTTTAACATGTGCTAATAGTACTGAGTCTAACTCATGTATAGAATGTCCTTCAACTAGAATACCTAGTGATTCATCAGCAATTTAATTTGAATGTCCTTGTTTATCTTCACATTATTATGATGATGGATTATCACCAACTTGTATAGAATGTGATGTATCTTGTTAAACTTGTTTTGGTCCTCTTTCATCTAATTGTTTAACATGTGATCCAATCTATAGATAACTTGATTTATCATCTTGTATATGTCCAATTGGATATTATGATGTTGGATAATTAGAATGTGAAAGTAATTCTATTTAAAAATATTATAAGAATGTCATTACTCTTGTTTTTAATGTTTTGATAATACTGCTGAAGGTTGTATTGCATGTTCAATTGATCTTCATCTTAGAGTTGTAAAAGGAAATACTTGTAAATGTATTGATGGATATTATGAAGAATCAGGAACAGCTAAATGCAAAAGTAATTACTTTAATTATATATCTATTAGAATGTTCATATAAATGTGAAACTTGTGTGGATTAACCTGAAAAATGTTTAAGTTGTCCTTTCAATTCTTTACGTATACTTGATATAGATAAAGGTTGTTATTGTGCAGGAGAATATTATGAAAAAGAAAATGAAATATTTTGTCAAAGTAATATTATTTTATATTAAAGGATGTCATTTCAAATGCAAAACTTGCGATGCATTTAGTGAATCATCATGTCTTTCATGTGATTTAATAGCATTTAGAGAACTTAAACTTAAATAATGTAAATGTTAACCACATTATTTTGAAATGGAAGTTTAAGAATGTGCAAGTAATCATTTAACTCAAAATTAGTTTGTAGTGCTTATTGCTATGAATGTATTAATAATTTTGATAATTGTACTTCATGTTAAGATGATAGATATTTGGTTGGAAGTACATGTAAATGTAGTTCTAAGTTTGAAGGAGCTTAGATAAGTACATTTGAATTTAATGGATAGGTTTAATGTTAAAGTAAATCTTTGAATAATTATTAGAATGCCATTATTCTTGTGGAAAATGTGGAGGAGTAGAAGAAAATGATTGTATAACTTGTATAGACACTGATCAAAGGTATTAAGTAGGAAACACATGTGTTTGTAAAGAAGGATATTTTGATGCAGGATTACCTGTCTGTTAAAGTATTCATCAATTTTATTTAATAGAATGCAGTTACAAATGTAAAGGATGTATGAAATAATCTGAAATATGTACTTCTTGTTAAGATAATACCCTAAGATAATTGGTTTCAGGTTTCAATACATGCCAATGTATCTAAAGATATTATGATGACGGATAAAATGAAGTCTGTTAAAGTATTTATTTTATTTAAATATTCTAAGAATGTCATTATTCATGTCTTAGATGCAATGATATTGACACAAAATGTGAGTTATGCTCAATTGAATCAAATAGAATTTATAATGATCAATTATTTACTTGCGATTGTGGTGTTGGATATTATGATACTGGTGTTGAAATCTGTTAAAAATGTCATTACTCTTGTTTTAGTTGTAATTCTGGAGATTCTAATTCTTGTAATTCATGTGTTGATTCAATGATTTCAAATAGAGTATTTTATAATAATAGTTGTAAATGTCTATTTGGATATTTTGATGATGGTTAATCAATAAAATGTTAAAAATGTGATATTTAATGTTTAAGTTGTATTAATCAATCTTACTAATGTTAATCATGTCCATAAACAAGAAAAATAGAAAGTAATTGCAAATGCCAAAAAGGATATTATGATGTAGGTTTATAACTTTGTTTAAAATGTAATTCAAATTGCTTTACATGTTAATCCACATCAAATAATTGTACATCTTGTGATTCTGATTAATTTAGAGAACTTAATTCAATAACTAAAACTTGTGATTGTTAAATTGGTTATCTTGAAATTAATGGAATCTGTGAGTAATGTCATTCAAGTTGTAAAGCATGTTCGCAATCTTTAAATTTATGTGCTTCTTGTGGTTAATTTCGATATTTACAGAACAATGATTGCATTTGTATTGATGGAATGTATGAATCGATTGTAGATAAATAATGTAAATTATGTAATAAGAGTTGTTTAACTTGTGCTTATTCAGATATCTATTGTTTAACATGTTCAATTGATAATTTTAGAATATTTAAATCTGGAAATAAATGCGAATGTAAATAAGGATATTACGAAAATCCAATTACATAATAATGTGAAGAATGTGCAAAATCTTGTTTAACTTGTTCAATTACATACGATAACTGTTTATCATGTGATACAAGTCTGAATTAGTCTATGATTAACAACAAATGCTTATGTTCATAATCTTATTATTTTGATTCTTTGACTAAATCATGTTAATGTAATATGTTATATTATATAATTATTTAGAATGTCACATTACTTGTTTAGAGTGTTAAAATAATAGTGAATGCACATCATGTAGATAAACAACTAGACATTTAGATGAAGATTAAAAGAAATGTTTATGTAATGATGGATATTATGAAACCAATTAATCAAATTGTTAATGTATTTAATTATTATAAATTATTAGAATGTCATTTATCATGTGAAACCTGTGTAACTATCAATACTAATTGTTTAAGTTGTATGAGTATATACTAAAGAACATTAAAAAATAATAAATGTCTATGTATTGATGGATATTATGATGCAGGAATAGAATTATGTTAAAAATGTAATAATACTTGTAAGACATGTCAAAATTCTGCTTCAACTTGCCTATCTTGTTATGAAATAGAATAAAATAGATATTAATTAGGTGACAAATGTTTATGTAAATCTGGATATTTTGAGTTAAACACAAATATATGTTCAAGTAATCTATGTTTATTTATATTTTAGAATGTTCAAATGAATGTTTAACATGTTAAGGCTAAGCTGATTATTGTACAAGTTGTGATATCAATTCTAAAAGAGTTGATTAATCAATTATCCATAAATGTCCATGTATAATTGGATTTTATCAAGATCAAAATTAGATATGTTAAAGTAAGTATCTATAACTATATTTTTAGAATGTCATAACAAATGTTAAACTTGTATAAATTAGAGTGATTAATGTTTAAGTTGTAAGTTTGAATTAAATTCAAATAGAAATTCTTTATCTGATTAATGTAATTGTAAAGAAGGCTATTTTGATGATGGAATCTAATTATAATGTTAAAAATGCAATCTTAAATGTAAAACTTGTTTAAATGATTCAATTAATTGTGTAATTTGTTCAAATTCAATACGAATAAATCCACCTACCTGTAATTGCATGGATGGATATTATGAAGATGAATAATTCACTTGTTAAAGTACTTTTTATTTTTAATTAAGTTTGTGCTTATTAATGCAGTACTTGTGCAATATCACCTTAAAATTGTTTAACTTGTAAACCAGAAAGAATCGGGAATGATTGTAAATGTACTGATGGATACTTTGAATTCGGATNTGTTGATTCAATGACTTCAAATAGAGTATTTTATAATAATAGTTGTAAATGTCTGTTTGGATATTTTGATGATGGTTAATCAATAAAATGTTAAAAATGCGATATTTAATGTTTAAGTTGTATTAACCAATCTTACGAATGTTAATCGTGTCCATAAACAAGAAAAATAGAAAGTAATTGCAAATGCCAACAGGGATATTATGATGTAGGTTTATAACTTTGTTTAAAATGTAATTCAAATTGCTTTACATGTTAATCCATATCAAATAATTGTACATCTTGTGATTCTGATTAATTTAGAGAACTTAATTCAATAACTTAAACTTGTGATTGTTAAATTGGTTATCTTGAAATTAATGGAATCTGTGAGTAATGTCGTTCAAGTTGTAAAACATGTTCGTAATCGTTAAATTTATGTACTTCTTGTGTTTAATTTCGATATTTAAAGAATAACGAATGCTTTTGTAATGATGGAATGTATGAATCGATTGTAGATAAATAATGTAAATTATGTAATAAGAGTTGTTTAACTTGTGCTTATTCAGATATCTATTGTTTAACATGTTCAATTGATAATTTTAGAATATTTAAATCTGGAAATAAATGCGAATGTAAATAAGGATATTACGAAAATCCAATTACATAATAATGTGAAGAATGTGCAAAATCTTGTTTAACTTGTTCAATTACATACGATAACTGTTTATCATGTGATACAAGTCTGAATTAGTCTATGATTAACAACAAATGCTTATGTTCATAATCTTATTATTTTGATTCTTTGACTAAATCATGTTAATGTAATATGTTATATTATATAATTATTTAGAATGTCACATTACTTGTTTAGAGTGTTAAAATAATAGTGAATGCACATCATGTAGATAAACAACTAGACATTTAGATGAAGATTAAAAGAAATGTTTATGTAATGATGGATATTATGAGACCAATTAATCAAATTGTTAATGTATTTAATTATTATAAATTATTAGAATGTCATTTATCATGTGAAACTTGTGTAACTATCAATACTAATTGTTTAAGTTGTATGAGTATATACTAAAGAACATTAAAAAATAATAAATGTCTATGTATTGATGGATATTATGATGCAGGAATAGAATTATGTTAAAAATGTAATAATACTTGTAAGACATGTCAAAATTCTGCTTCAACTTGCCTATCTTGTTATGAAATAGAATAAAATAGATATTAATTAGGTGACAAATGTTTATGTAAATCTGGATATTTTGAGTTAAACACAAATATATGTTCAAGTAATCTATGTTTATTTATATTTTAGAATGTTCAAATGAATGTTTAACATGTTAAGGCTAAGCTGATTATTGTACAAGTTGTGATATCAATTCTAAAAGAGTTGATTAATCAATTATCCATAAATGTCCATGTATAATTGGATTTTATCAAGATCAAAATTAGATATGTTAAAGTAAGTATCTATAACTATATTTTTAGAATGTCATAACAAATGTTAAACTTGTATAAATTAGAGTGATTAATGTTTAAGTTGTAAGTTTGAATTAAATTCAAATAGAAATTCTTTATCTGATTAATGTAATTGTAAAGAAGGCTATTTTGATGATGGAATCTAATTATAATGTTAAAAATGCAATCTTAAATGTAAAACTTGTTTAAATGATTCAATTAATTGTGTAATTTGTTCAAATTCAATACGAATAAATCCACCTACCTGTAATTGCATGGATGGATATTATGAAGATGAATAATTCACTTGTTAAAGTACTTTTTATTTTTAATTAAGTTTGTGCTTATTAATGCAATACTTGTGCAATATCACCTTAAAATTGTTTAACTTGTAAACCAGAAAGAATCGGGAATGATTGTAAATGTACTGATGGATACTTTGAATTCGGATCTACATTTTGTGAATGTATTTAATTTCTTTAATTTATATAGAATGTGCATTTAAATGTTCTACTTGTAGTACATAAGCTATGAATTGCAACTCTTGTAAAGGTAATAGAATTCAAGAGCCTTAATGTATTTGTCAACCAGGATATTTTGATGATCAAATAAATGAAGATTGCTAATTATGTGATAGTGCCTGTTTAGAATGTAATATAAAAGGATGTTTATCTTGTAATGCTAATAGAATATTAAATGAAGAAATGGATTGTGTTCCTCCGCCAAATTCGATTTGGTATAATGATACCCCTTGGTGTTCAAGTAAATTAATCCTAATATTTCTTATAGCATGTGAAGTCGCTGTTGTTAAAGCATATTTATCAGATGATATTAGTAAGATTATTATTCATTTTGATTTTCCATTAAATTCAAAAGGATTTAATTAATAATTCGAACTAAACAAATGTTTGTAATTATTTGAGTTGAAATCTTTATAAAGTTTTGGTTAAAATTCTTAATGTTTCATTAATCCAGACAATAATCATGAATTGCTAATATCTTTAGGAGAAAACTCAAAAATAAATGTTGGAGATGAAATACTATTTATAAGTAATTCTTTATCTCATATCAATTGTGAAACTACTTTAAACAAGTTTATCTTTACAACATTATAAATGCCAATAAAACCATTTGCTCCATAAGTTGAATATCATGTCCCTCTTCATTAACTTAATCCTTATGCGGAAAACTCAGTTTATTTGAATTCAATAAGAAACTATGGAAATAGAAAATTGGATAATATCATTTGGAATTTTTAAGTAGAAACAAACCAAGACATCTAAGCATTAAGTGATTTCATAGATCAAATAAATTTTCTATAAGAATATAATTTATTGATACCAAAATTTACATTACCTAGTGATGCCATTCTAAAATTTAAGATCGAATATTAAAATTTCATCCATATTCAGTCATATTCAGAATTTATTATATATACCCATTCGGGAAATCTACCATAAATTGATATTAGTGTAAAACCTTCATATTTTGTATATGAAACAATTACTATTGGATTATCAGCTGGCACTTTATTTAGACAGTATTAAGTAGACAATTCTAAATATATGGTCTAACTTAGTGAAATTAATAGACATCCTAAAAAGTCGTCTCCTTCAAGATTAAATACATCATTAGAAACTAATCCATTTGAAAAAATATAAGCAAATATTACAAAATATACATTAAGTCCAAATTCAACTTATACTTTCTAAGTCATAGCAACTAATTTAAATACTAATAAAGTACAATATTAAAATTTGAGTATTGATATTCCATTTGCTGGATTGATATGTTAATTTAATAACAGAGGAATTTAAAGTATAAGAAAAGATTTAAATCTTTAAATAGAATGCAAAGATTTAGATACAAAATATGATTGGAATAATGATCCAGATTTGTATATTTATGTAACTTGTAAGGATTTAACATTAAATAATTCTTGCTTAAACTAATAAAAATAAATGATTAATGTTAATGTAACTGATTCAGTTTAATTCATCAAGAAGAATACAATTTCTGTCTTTACTGTATAGGAATGGTCAGTAACAGTAATCAAATTCTAATAAACTTAAAAATTTAATTAAATTATTGTATATCTTGAAGATGATTTCCCTGTTTTAGATTTAGAATTCAATTAGGGTTATTTAATGAGAAAAGTAAATAATTATGAATAACTTAATTTTACATTCCTAATCCCATTTAATTAAAAACCCTTTTTATTAGATTTATCAATAGCAATCATATATAACTATTAAATAATAGAAATACTTTAACCAAAATACATTTCTCATCAATTTAAATTATTTAATAGTATTAAAGAGTTAAACTTTGGTGATAGCATCAGTCTTAAACTTACAGCATAATATACAAACAATATAATGCCTAGTCTAAATACCATAAAACTTAATATAAATTAACCTCCCTTCTGTTCTAAATTAATTATTACGCGTTCAAATGATTTAGCACTTACAAATATGATGGTTGCCACTAGTTGTGAATAATCAAATGATTCTCCATATAAATATTAGCTTAGAGTATTTTTGAGAGAATCAGATTTAATAGATTTTTTGAAGGGATCATCAGATGATTCCTTAATTCTTTATTCATTTCAGTATTAAACTCAATTTTAAATTTAAATTCCTACTTCTGTCGATTCTTCAAAAATTGGACTTTTGTTATAAGTGCTTGACAGTGGAGGATCAATAACTAATATTTATGAAATGATAACTTCAAAACCTGCTATCATAAATTGCTCTTAAATATAATTTTAAAATTTGAAGTTATAAAACAAGTTATCATTGTTATTTGAAGCTATGAATTAAAAATGTAATGATTTACATTACTAAATTTATCTTGATTTGCTTTACTAATAAATTCTGCCAGATTAAAATCATAATATGCTTAAATTTTAGGCTATAAAATTATATAAGTAATTTTTAATTTAGTATGGGTAAAGCAAACCTTAAACTAGATTATTAATTGAAGCAAATTAAAAAAAATGTTATGATTTAAATTCTAGCCATTTATTTATTACATAAAATTCTAGTGAGAGTGATGTTAATTTATCAAAAAAGATAGACGACTTAAAAGAAAACATCCATAATTTGGACATAGTTCTAAATTATTTTAGCAGCATTAAACAATAATGTGAAGAGAACCTAAAAATACATTAATATTTATGGGATGAAGAAATCTTCCAATAATATTAAAATTCCTAGGATAGCTTAATAAATCTATTATACTTTTTAGATTAAATATATTCAGATTTTTCACAAGTAAACATAATAAATAATGTAATTTATGAAAAAATTTCTGAATTGTTACAATTTATTACTTTGATTGCAGAGGAAGCATAAAATACAATTATCGTAAACGAAAAGCCTTTAATTATTTAAGGCAAAGAGATCTTATGGTAGATGAAAAGAAGAACCAAATAGATATTTAATCACTAATTTAATATTCAAACAACTGATGAAGATTATCTAATAGATTTTATTCAATATGAATCTACCTATCTTAAAACCAATCCTATAAGATTTACTCAAGATCTAGATAATATACTCTAATCATAATTTGATGACAAAACAATAAAAATTTTCCTCGAAAATTACTACTCAATTAAATTGAAAAATTTATATCACAGTAGATTTCTAATATTTGAAGATTTTTCAGCTTCATACACTCTAAAGTTTGGATCATATTAAGTTTGTTCAGAAAACAGTGTAATATTATAAAAATACCAAATATTATGTATAATAAAAACAACATTTGGAAAATTTTATAAATGTATTTTAAAAAGTTAATTAATTGATGACCATATTGAATTAACTTGTGAATGTAATAAGTTTGGTGAAATTTTTTTAACAACATCGACTAATTTTAGTTATGGAATTGAAAACCAAACTACTTAATCAATATTTTAGCTTGATATTGCTTCCAGACCTGAGGAATATTTGGTTTTAATAATTTTTACAAGTTCTTTGACATTTTTTTTTATGGCAACATATTTTATTAATCTATTTAGGGATTAAAAAAATAAGGAAGAAAAGTTAGATACTGAACCAAATAGCATAAATTCACCTCATAATTTAAATAACAAATCACTTCTGTATTCTGGTAATTTTAAACTTTTCAAGCAAAAGTTCAAAGTAACTTTTAAAAGTATAATTAGTTCATCCATTAAACCGTATCCTTATTTTATTATAAAGACAAAAACATTCATATAAGCTATAGAATTTTAGATGTTGTTTCATAATTCAATTTATAATTAACTTTGGTAATACTTGAATGTTTTTTATTAAATAATTAAGCTATTTTCATATGTATATTCATAATAACAAACCCTATACTTATTTTTATTTTGAGAATTTTATTCAAGATCATGGAAGCAATTTATAGATTTGGAAGAATTGCTAGTGCTGTTAGTTAGTCCTTTTTAATAATACTTTTGGTGCTTCCGAATCTAATCCTAATTATTCTTTACTAATACAGGTATCATATTATATTAATTTAGTATCATATTGAAATCAGAATATTATGTTTTTTACATAATTTACTTAGGGAATACTATAATATCATAAGTTCTTATAGAACCAATAACAATCTTTATCAGAATATATATTTATAGGTAGATATCTTCTAGTTTAAAAAATATGGATCTTAATCCGAAGTATCATTTAATGCATTTTTTCATAATACATAGCTGTTTAGAAGATATTTTTGAAGAGTTCACAAGGATTTGATTGTTTTTATAATATATTATATTTAATTTAAAAAATAAATATATTATCAAATAATTGAAATAAGGAAAACTTAGCTTCCAAGATTAGGGATTTTTTTTTCTTTTTATTTTCTAAAAAATTGTTTGAACATCTGAGTATAATTGTATAAAAAATAATTGTAAAAAATACTTTATTTTAACTTAAATTATTAATCATTTGGTTTACCAAAATAATTCTCTTAAGTAATCAGTTCAAAAATATTTTCCGCATTTTAGATTTATTTTATCTAGGAATATAGATTTGATTAATAAGAACCAGTTTTTCAAAAATTATTTCTCGAAATCATCTTGAAAACTTAAGAAAATAAATGATCTCAAATTACCTCAATAATTAATGATATTGTCTTCATATTGTACAATTTGAGTGACTTTGGGAAAATATGAAGAAAATTTCATTATTCGAAAGGTTAAGAAATTTTAGTTGAAAATATCCATTTGATGATTTAAGGAAAGATCTGAGAATTTTAAGCAATATTAAAAATCTTAAAATTTCCTAATATTAACTTTAGAGGTTTTGCAATAATAAAAGTGATTACTAACTGTACCAAATTAAAAAAAAAACTATAATTTGGCCTTCTTTTCTTAATAGTTATTGAACATCTAATAATTCTAGTAGGAAACTCATAAAGTTTTATGATTAAAAATTATATCAATTTGTACTTTAAAATCATTAATCCCACTATCCAATTACTTTAAATAGTTAATGGCCTTATTAACTATTTAAAATATTATTTTAAATGGCTTCGGTTTTTTGAAAATTTTCCAAGCAATAAATATTGTTTAATGGAATTTAGAATCTTTTTTTCAGAGTTTATAAAATAATTCGAGCAAATGGCTTATTATAAGTAAAAGAATAAATTCTGCCTTGTATTTTTAGCCATTACTATTGTTATTTCTTTTTGTGTTGAAATAAGATTGCTTTCGATTAGCCAGGGATCAAATGCCAGGCCAGTTTTAAGTTTATAATTAAAATTCGAACCTTAATTTCAGCTTGGATTAATACTAATGATATGCTTAATTACTTTTATGTTTGTAATCATATAAAATCAAAAAGAAAAAAATTTCCATCATAAAGTATAAGGTAATTATTCAAAAATTTAATGTTATTTTTAGATTTTAGAATCTGATGAATGTAAGATTCCTAGATTTGGATGAGAAATCAATAACTGATTGTCGTATAAATATTCGAGAATTTTATATCATCTTATAGAAAAATAAATAAGCCTGTTAGAGTCTTGTATTACCAAATTTATTTTTGCAATCTGATAAAAATTAAAGGATATCATCGCAATTTTTAGATTACTATAATAATAATATAAATATTTAGTTTGAATTAAAAACACTCTTGCAAATCTTTATGAATTCAAAAAGAAACTAAAAAAAAGAATAGTTAACAAGGTTCCTCTTCCCAATCTATATAAAATAATGCAACAAAGTAACTCAGTTATGGAATACAAATATTCTAGAGAGCACTTCAAGCAAATTTTAGCCTCTAATTGTATTTAAAATATTAAAGGCTGATAACTTTGAGAGTCTTCAGTTTATCAATTTTAGCAAAATTATGAATATCAAAAATATTTTAGAGCTAGTTTCATTATAAAAAATTTTCATAGCTAAACAAAAAAAAGAATACTTAAAATAAAAAGCACAGTTTTTTCAAAATAAATAGACTAATAAATTTAGTTCTATTGACTCTTCATTTGAAAAGCAATTGACAATTCCAAAAGGATAATATTCAAATTCTTCCCAATAATTAAAATTGATTTAGAAAATCAATTTTAACAATAAAAACATAATAGAAAATGCACTTAAAATATCAAATTTCATTAATCTAGAAAATTTGGTATTAAATCTGCTTAAATCAGGATCTTTATAAGATCATTATATGAATGTGAAAAAGGAGAATTTAAGTAATAATTTGCTAAGTCTTAAACAACAAAGTTCTTTAAAAGAAATGAAAACCAATTCGACTTTTGATACAAGATAACTTAAATAATGTATAAAAGTAAATTCTCAAAAAAAATGATAGATTATTAGAAAATTTGGCTTTAATAAATATTTAAGAGCTATTCCAAAACTGCAAAAAGGTCTTGTAGTAAAATAAATTCTTCAATTTAGTTTTGTTATTATATGTTTCAAAAATAAAAATTATTTATATATCACACTATTTATATAGAAATATCTTGACTTCATTTTACAATATAAACAGTAGTAGAAACATCTAGATGAGCAGAATATTTCTAAAATTTTCTGGGAATATATTGAAATGTAGATTTTTAGAAATTTTATAATATTATTATTTATATATATATAAAACTAATTAAATATCAACCTACTTCTCCATCAACAATTCCTTCAAAACTTACCATTATATTTCATTTTTGTGGCAAAATAACAAGGTTGAACTTGATTCAAGCCAAATCCAATAATTAAAAATTAACTGATGACATGCTAACTTTTAGAAAATGTGTTATACTGACTTTCAGAAATATATTATCTCTTAAAAAATTTTTTAAGATTTTTCACAAACATGTCTACGATTTATGCTATTTTGAATAAATGATTAACTTACTTGAACTAATAAATAATTTAACCTCTTTACCATCCTCATCCATAAGAAATTCTTAACGGCTTTATAAAAATATATTTTTCAGAAAATTACTAAACTACCTCATTAAAACAGTTGTAATACTTTAAATTGCAATAAATTTTAACTATTAAATTATATATTTGAACTAATAAACATAAATTGAGAAAATAAACAGAAGAAAAATAATCTGAAAAAACCAGAAGACTTAACAACATATATTCGATTATACTTATGACTTAATTAGATAAGGAGACTTTGAATTTTTTAAATCATATTAATAAATAAGAAATGATTATAAGCTTAATTTGGTTGTTGATTATCACAAGTGTTGTTGGGTTCAGAGAGTATTTTCGAGATTATACTACTGTCTATGGATATGTAAATGATTAATGCCCTGAATTGCATGCACTAAAGCCTGATATGCATCCACATCAATGTGTTTGTAAGTTTAGAGAATATTATAGCTTACGCTTTGATTTGTAAGGATGTCACAGAAGTAATAGTAAAAACTGAAGTAAATGGAACTTAACATTTATGTCATCCCAGATTCTAACTATGGGGAGCAGGGAGTCCAACAAAAGATAATACTACAGTTCATTGTGGTTTTGAGGGAGGTGATTAATTAGTAATGGAGTTATAAGCAGATGGACATTATAAATATTATTGTAAATGTAAGTATTGTTAAGTAATAGATTAGCTATGACGGATGATAAAAATAAACGATGTTTGATAACGGCTCTTTAATAAGGGCTATTTAGATGCCAATTTTGTAAGCCGCCTTATTATGGAAATGACTGTAAAAAAACATTATATGGTTTTGATTAAAGGTATACAAATCCTCCAAGATGTATAAATTATATCTATTTAAGAATGTTCTGGATATTGTTTGGAATGTGAAGACAGCACAAGTTGTACTAAATGTATTCCTGGCAGAGATAACCTAATATCTAGTGATAAAACATGTTCAATGGGTAAATTATACCCTAATTTTTTTTAGAATGTTTAGGATTTACAAGTTGTTCTTTAGTTTCTAATTAATATCAATATAGTGGTATTTGCATGTAGGGAACTGTTTTAAACTAAGACCGCTGTTTTAGTAAAATTTTAATAATAGCTTATAGGTTGTCCGGAAGGTTGTCTAAGTTGTACTTAAGATCAAATGTACACTTATAAAAGGTCTTGTGATGTCTGCGACCCTAATTATTTTAGAGAGAAGTTTAGTAGTAATGAACCGAATATGTATGCATGTTATAGAATAAATTATTGTGACATCTCAAGATAACTTAAGGTTTCTTTAACAACTCTTCCAGACGGATTATATATTTATAATATGAGATGTACTTTATGCGATCCAGGATATATTTATGATAACATTAGTGGATAATGCTTATGTAAAACATAATTAGGATATTGCTTTAGGGCTTCCAATAGTAAAATAAAGTTGTTTATTTTTGGACCCATCAGGAACTAATTGTATAGCTTGTTATCCTTGGTATGGATTACAATAAAATGGAACATGTTAACTTATAAGTTGTAATCCAGGTTGTTTTACATGTTTGGATACAAATCCTGAAGTTTGTACTACCTGTGATGGCTTTAATAATAAAATACTTGATAACGGTAACTGCATCTGTAAACCAAATTATGGTTTAAAAAATGATGTTTGTGAACTGTGCTCTAATGGTTATTGTTAAGAGTGTGAAAAAGAAGATTTCTATTCATGTACATCATGCACACTTGGAACAAATAGAATATTAGTTGATAAACAATGCATTTGTTAACCTGGATCAATTGAACCTGAAGATGGTGGTTTAATATGTACTGGTAAATTTATGATATTATAATTAAGTATGTGATTGGTCTTGTTAAACATGTTCTGGTCCAACAAATTATGAATGTACTTAATGTCCAGATGAAAGCATTACTAATAGAATTCAAGTAGGCAATTCTTGTCCTTGTAAAACTGGATATTCAGATTATGCAATCCCAGAAGCAAAATGTGGAAGTATTTATATCTAATTACATATATTCAGAATGCCATCCAAGATGTTAAACATGTTTCTAAGCAGCTGATGAGACTACAAATTAATATTGTTTAACCTGTATACCTGGATAAAATCGTATGGTTACGGATACTTTCAATTGTGATTGTAAAGCAAATTATGGTGATTTTGAGGGTACTTCAGATGTGTGTCTAAGTATTTTTATAAGTTATATTTAGTCTGTGATTATACATGTGGAATATGTAATGATTTTGGACCCACACATTGTACTTATTGCTTAGAAAGCTCAAATAGATATTTGACAGCTTTAGGGGAATGCTTATGTAAAACATCATATTATGATGATGGAACAGATAATATTGAATGTTCAAGTAATATTAAATAATATTATTAGAATGTCATTATTCATGTTTAAGATGTGCCAATAGTACTGAGTCTAACTCATGTATAGAATGTCCTCCAACTAGAAAACCTAGTGATTCATCAGCAATTTAATTTGAATGTCCTTGTTTATCTTCACATTATTTTGATGATGGATTATCACCAACTTGTATAGAATGTGATGTATCTTGTTAAACTTGTTTTGGTCCTCTTTCATCTAATTGTTTAACATGTGATCCGACCTATAGATAACTTGATTTATCATCTTGTATATGTCCAATTGGATATTATGATGTTGGATAATTAGAATGTGCAAGTAATTCTATTTAAAAATATTATAAGAATGTCATTACTCTTGTTTTTAATGTTTTGATAATACTGCTGAAGGTTGTATTGCATGTTCAATTGATCTTCATCTTAGAGTATTAAAAGGAAATACTTGCAAATGTATTGATGGATATTATGAAGAATCAGGAACAGCTAAATGCAAAAGTAATTACTTTAATTATATATCTACTAGAATGTTCATATAAATGTGAAACTTGTGAGGATTAACCTGAAAAATGTTTGAGTTGTCCTTTAAATTCTTTACGTGTACTTGATTCAGTTAAAGGTTGCTTTTGTCCAGGAGAGTATTATGATTAAGAAAATGAAATAACTTGTCAAAGTAATATTAATTTATATAAAAGGATGTCATTTCAAATGCAAAGCTTGTGATGCATTTAGTGAATCATCATGTCTGTCATGCGATTTAATAGCATTTAGAGAACTTAAACTTAAATAATGTAAATGTTAACCACATTATTTTGAAATGGAAGTTTAAGAATGTGCAAGTAATCATTTAACTAAAAATTAGTTTGCAGTGCTTATTGCTATGAATGTATTAATAATTTTGATAATTGTACTTCATGTTAAGATGATAGATATTTGGTTGGAAGTACTTGTAAATGTAGTTCTAAGTTTGAAGGAGCTTAAATAAGTACATTTGAATTTAATGGAATGGTTAAATGTTAAAGTAAATCTTTAAATAATTATTAGAATGCCATTATTCTTGTGGAACATGTGGAGGAGTAGAAGAAAATGATTGTATATCTTGTATAGACTCTGATCAAAGGTATTAAGTAGGTAACACATGTGTTTGTAAAGAAGGATATTTTGATGCAGGATTACCTGTTTGTTAAAGTATTCATCAATTTTATTTATTAGAATGTAGTTACAAATGTAAAGGATGTATGAAATAATCTGAAATTTGTATTTCTTGTTAAGATAACAGCCTTAGATAATTTGTTTCAGGTTTCAATACATGTAAATGTAACTAAAGATATTATGATGATGGATAAAATGAAGTTTGTTAAAGTATGTATACTTTATTATTAATATAAGAATGCCATTACTCATGTCTTAGATGCAATGAGATTGATACAAAATGTGAATTATGCTCGTTTGAATCAAATAGAGTTTACAATGATCAACTATTTTCTTGCGATTGTGGTTTTGGATATTATGATACTGGAGTTGAAATCTGTTAAAAATGTCACTACTCTTGTTTGAGTTGTAATTCTGGAGATTCTAATTCTTGTAATTCATGTGTTGATTCAATGACTTCAAATAGAGTATTTTATAATAATAGTTGTAAATGTCTGTTTGGATATTTTGATGATGGTTAATCAATAAAATGTTAAAAATGCGATATTTAATGTTTAAGTTGTATTAACCAATCTTACGAATGTTAATCGTGTCCATAAACAAGAAAAATAGAAAGTAATTGCAAATGCCAACAGGGATATTATGATGTAGGTTTATAACTTTGTTTAAAATGTAATTCAAATTGCTTTACATGTTAATCCATATCAAATAATTGTACATCTTGTGATTCTGATTAATTTAGAGAACTTAATTCAATAACTTAAACTTGTGATTGTTAAATTGGTTATCTTGAAATTAATGGAATCTGTGAGTAATGTCGTTCAAGTTGTAAAACATGTTCGTAATCGTTAAATTTATGTACTTCTTGTGTTTAATTTCGATATTTAAAGAATAACGAATGCTTTTGTAATGATGGAATGTATGAATCGATTGTAGATAAATAATGTAAATTATGTAATAAGAGTTGTTTAACTTGTGCTTATTCAGATATCTATTGTTTAACATGTTCAATTGATAATTTTAGAATATTTAAATCTGGAAATAAATGCGAATGTAAATAAGGATATTACGAAAATCCAATTACATAATAATGTGAAGAATGTGCAAAATCTTGTTTAACTTGTTCAATTACATAAGATAACTGTTTATCATGTGATACAAGTCTGAATTTGTCTATGATTAATAATAAATGCTAATGTTCATAATCTTATTATTTTGATTCTTTGACTAAATCATGTTAATGTAATATGTTATATTATATAATTATTTAGAATGTCATATTACTTGTTTAGAGTGTTAAAATAATAGTGAATGCACATCATGTAGATAAACAACTAGACATTTAGATGAAGATTAAAAGAAATGTTTATGTAATGATGGATATTATGAGACCAATTAATCAAATTGTTAATGTATTTAATTATTATAAATTATTAGAATGTCATTTATCATGTGAAACTTGTGTAACTATCAATACTAATTGTTTAAGTTGTATGAGTATATACTAAAGAACATTAAAAAATAATAAATGTCTATGTATTGATGGATATTATGATGCAGGAATAGAATTATGTTAAAAATGTAATAATACTTGTAAGACATGTCAAAATTCTGCTTCAACCTGCCTATCTTGTTATGAAATAGAATAAAATAGATATTAATTAGGCGACAAATGTTTATGTAAATCTGGATATTTTGAATTAAACACAAATATATGTTCAAGTAATCTATGTTTATTTATATTATAGAATGTTCAAATGAATGTTTAACATGTTAAGGCTAAGCTGATTATTGTACAAGTTGTGATATCAATTCTAAAAGAGTTGATTAATCAATTATCCATAAATGTCCATGTATAATTGGATTTTATCAAGATCAAAATTAGATATGTTAAAGTAAGTATCTATAACTATATTTTTAGAATGTCATAACAAATGTTAAACTTGTATAAATTAGAGTGATTAATGTTTAAGTTGTAAGTTTGAATTAAATTCAAATAGAAATTCTTTATCTGATTAATGTAATTGTAAAGAAGGCTATTTTGATGATGGAATCTAATTATAATGTTAAAAATGCAATCTTAAATGTAAAACTTGTTTAAATGATTCAATTAATTGTGTAATTTGTTCAAATTCAATACGAATAAATCCACCTACCTGTAATTGCATGGATGGATATTATGAAGATGAATAATTCACATGTTAAAGTACTTTTTATTTTTAATTAAGTTTGTGCTTATTAATGCAGTACTTGTGCAATATCACCTTAAAATTGTTTAACTTGTAAACCAGAAAGAATCGGGAATGATTGTAAATGTACTGATGNTGATGGAATGTATGAATCGATTGTAGATAAATAATGTAAATTATGTAATAAGAGTTGTTTAACTTGTGCTTATTCAGATATCTATTGTTTAACATGTTCAATTGATAATTTTAGAATATTTAAATCTGGAAATAAATGCGAATGTAAATAAGGATATTACGAAAATCCAATTACATAATAATGTGAAGAATGTGCAAAATCTTGTTTAACTTGTTCAATTACATACGATAACTGTTTATCATGTGATACAAGTCTGAATTAGTCTATGATTAACAACAAATGCTTATGTTCATAATCTTATTATTTTGATTCTTTGACTAAATCATGTTAATGTAATATGTTATATTATATAATTATTTAGAATGTCACATTACTTGTTTAGAGTGTTAAAATAATAGTGAATGCACATCATGTAGATAAACAACTAGACATTTAGATGAAGATTAAAAGAAATGTTTATGTAATGATGGATATTATGAGACCAATTAATCAAATTGTTAATGTATTTAATTATTATAAATTATTAGAATGTCATTTATCATGTGAAACTTGTGTAACTATCAATACTAATTGTTTAAGTTGTATGAGTATATACTAAAGAACATTAAAAAATAATAAATGTCTATGTATTGATGGATATTATGATGCAGGAATAGAATTATGTTAAAAATGTAATAATACTTGTAAGACATGTCAAAATTCTGCTTCAACTTGCCTATCTTGTTATGAAATAGAATAAAATAGATATTAATTAGGTGACAAATGTTTATGTAAATCTGGATATTTTGAGTTAAACACAAATATATGTTCAAGTAATCTATGTTTATTTATATTTTAGAATGTTCAAATGAATGTTTAACATGTTAAGGCTAAGCTGATTATTGTACAAGTTGTGATATCAATTCTAAAAGAGTTGATTAATCAATTATCCATAAATGTCCATGTATAATTGGATTTTATCAAGATCAAAATTAGATATGTTAAAGTAAGTATCTATAACTATATTTTTAGAATGTCATAACAAATGTTAAACTTGTATAAATTAGAGTGATTAATGTTTAAGTTGTAAGTTTGAATTAAATTCAAATAGAAATTCTTTATCTGATTAATGTAATTGTAAAGAAGGCTATTTTGATGATGGAATCTAATTATAATGTTAAAAATGCAATCTTAAATGTAAAACTTGTTTAAATGATTCAATTAATTGTGTAATTTGTTCAAATTCAATACGAATAAATCCACCTACCTGTAATTGCATGGATGGATATTATGAAGATGAATAATTCACATGTTAAAGTACTTTTTATTTTTAATTAAGTTTGTGCTTATTAATGCAGTACTTGTGCAATATCACCTTAAAATTGTTTAACTTGTAAACCAGAAAGAATCGGGAATGATTGTAAATGTACTGATGGATACTTTGAATTCGGATCTACATTTTGTGAATGTATTTANATAGAAAGTAATTGCAAATGCCAACAGGGATATTATGATGTAGGTTTATAACTTTGTTTAAAATGTAATTCAAATTGCTTTACATGTTAATCCATATCAAATAATTGTACATCTTGTGATTCTGATTAATTTAGAGAACTTAATTCAATAACTTAAACTTGTGATTGTTAAATTGGTTATCTTGAAATTAATGGAATCTGTGAGTAATGTCGTTCAAGTTGTAAAACATGTTCGTAATCGTTAAATTTATGTACTTCTTGTGTTTAATTTCGATATTTAAAGAATAACGAATGCTTTTGTAATGATGGAATGTATGAATCGATTGTAGATAAATAATGTAAATTATGTAATAAGAGTTGTTTAACTTGTGCTTATTCAGATATCTATTGTTTAACATGTTCAATTGATAATTTTAGAATATTTAAATCTGGAAATAAATGCGAATGTAAATAAGGATATTACGAAAATCCAATTACATAATAATGTGAAGAATGTGCAAAATCTTGTTTAACTTGTTCAATTACATACGATAACTGTTTATCATGTGATACAAGTCTGAATTAGTCTATGATTAACAACAAATGCTTATGTTCATAATCTTATTATTTTGATTCTTTGACTAAATCATGTTAATGTAATATGTTATATTATATAATTATTTAGAATGTCACATTACTTGTTTAGAGTGTTAAAATAATAGTGAATGCACATCATGTAGATAAACAACTAGACATTTAGATGAAGATTAAAAGAAATGTTTATGTAATGATGGATATTATGAGACCAATTAATCAAATTGTTAATGTATTTAATTATTATAAATTATTAGAATGTCATTTATCATGTGAAACTTGTGTAACTATCAATACTAATTGTTTAAGTTGTATGAGTATATACTAAAGAACATTAAAAAATAATAAATGTCTATGTATTGATGGATATTATGATGCAGGAATAGAATTATGTTAAAAATGTAATAATACTTGTAAGACATGTCAAAATTCTGCTTCAACTTGCCTATCTTGTTATGAAATAGAATAAAATAGATATTAATTAGGTGACAAATGTTTATGTAAATCTGGATATTTTGAGTTAAACACAAATATATGTTCAAGTAATCTATGTTTATTTATATTTTAGAATGTTCAAATGAATGTTTAACATGTTAAGGCTAAGCTGATTATTGTACAAGTTGTGATATCAATTCTAAAAGAGTTGATTAATCAATTATCCATAAATGTCCATGTATAATTGGATTTTATCAAGATCAAAATTAGATATGTTAAAGTAAGTATCTATAACTATATTTTTAGAATGTCATAACAAATGTTAAACTTGTATAAATTAGAGTGATTAATGTTTAAGTTGTAAGTTTGAATTAAATTCAAATAGAAATTCTTTATCTGATTAATGTAATTGTAAAGAAGGCTATTTTGATGATGGAATCTAATTATAATGTTAAAAATGCAATCTTAAATGTAAAACTTGTTTAAATGATTCAATTAATTGTGTAATTTGTTCAAATTCAATACGAATAAATCCACCTACCTGTAATTGCATGGATGGATATTATGAAGATGAATAATTCACATGTTAAAGTACTTTTTATTTTTAATTAAGTTTGTGCTTATTAATGCAGTACTTGTGCAATATCACCTTAAAATTGTTTAACTTGTAAACCAGAAAGAATCGGGAATGATTGTAAATGTACTGATGGATACTTTGAATTCGGATCTACATTTTGTGAATGTATTAAGTTCCTTTAATTTAAATAGAATGTGCATTTTAATGTGCTACTTGTAGTTTAAAATCTTTGAATTGCGATTCTTGTAAAGGTAATAGAATATAAGAACCATAATGTATTTGTCAACCAGGCTATTTTGATGATCAAATTAATGAAGATTGCTAATTATGTGATAGTGCCTGTTTAGAATGTAATATAAAAGGATGTTTATCTTGTAATGCTAATAGAATATTAAATGAAGAAATGGATTGCGTTCCTCCGCCAAATTCGATTCGGTATAATGATACCCCTTGGTGTTCAAGTAAATTAATCCTAATATTTCTTATAGCATGTGAAGTCGCTGTTGTTAAAGCATATTTATCAGATGATATTAGTAAGATTATTATTCATTTTGATTTTCCATTAAATTCAAAAGGATTTAATTAATAATTCGAACTAAATAAATGTTTGTAATTATTTGAGTTGAAATCTTTATAAAATTTTGGTTAAAATTCTTAATGTTTCATTAATCCAGACAATAATCATGAATTGCTAATATCTTTAGGAGAAAACTCAAAAATAAATGTTGGAGATGAAATACTATTTATAAGTAATTCTTTATCTCATATTAATTGTGAAACTACTTTAAACAAGTTTATCTTTACGACATTATAAATGCCAATAAAACCATTTGCTCCTTAGGTTGAATATCATGTACCTGTTCATTAACTCAATCCTTTTGCAGAAAACTCAGTTTATTTGAAATCAATAAAACACTATGGAAATAGAAAATTGGATAATATCATTTGGAATTTTTAAGTTGAAACAAATTAAGATACATAACCATTAGGTGATTTCATAGATTAAATGAATTTTCTATAAGAATATAATTTATTGATACCCAAATTTACATTACCTAGTGATGCCATTCTAAAATTTAAGATCTAATATTAAAATTTCATCCATATTCAGTCATATTCAGAATTTATTATATATACCCATTCAGGAGATCTACCATAAATTGATATTAGTGTAAAACCTTCATATTTTGTATATGAAACAATTACTATTGGATTATCAGCTGGCACTTTATTTAGACAGTATTAAGTAGACAATTCTAAATATATGGTCTAACTTAGTGAAATTAATAGACATCCTAAAAAGTCGTCTCCTTCAAGATTAAATACATCATTAGAAACTAATCCATTTGAAAAAATACAAGCAAATATTACAAAATATACATTAAGTCCTAATTCAACTTATACTTTCTAAGTCATAGCAACTAATTTAAATACTAATAAAGTACAATATTAAAATTTGAGTATTGATATTCCATTTGCTGGATTGATATGTTAATTTAATAACAGAGGAATTTAAAGTATAAGAAAAGATTTAAATCTTTAAATAGAATGCAAAGATTTAGATACAAAATATGATTGGAATAATGATCCAGATTTGTATATTTATGTAACTTGTAAGGATTTAACATTAAATAATTCTTGCTTAAACTAATAAAAATAAATGATTAATGTTAATGTAACTGATTCAGTTTAATTCATCAAGAAGAATACAATTTCTGTCTTTACTGTATAGGAATGGTCAGTAACAGTAACAAAATTCAAATAAACTTAAAAATTTAATTAAATTATTGTATATCTTGAAGATGATTTCCCTGTTTTAGATTTAGAATTCAATTAGGGTTATTTAATGAGAAAAGTAAATAATTATGAATAACTTAATTTTACATTCCTAATCCCATTTAATTAAAAACTTTTTTTATTAGATTTATCAATAGCAATCATCTATAACTATGAAATAATAGAAATACTTTAACCAAAATACATTTCTCATTAATTTAAATTATTTAATAGTATTAAAGAGTTAAACTTTGGTGATAGCATCAGTCTTAAACTTACAGCATAATATACAAACAATATAATGCCTAGTCTAAATACCATAAAACTTAATATAAATTAACCTCCTTTCTGTTCTAAATTAATTATTACGCGTTTAAATGATTTAGCACTTACAAATATGATGGTTGCCACTAGTTGTGAATAATCAAATGATTCTCCATATAAATATTAGCTTAGAGTATTTTTGAGAGAATCAGATTTAACAGATTTTTTGAAGGGATCATCAGATAATTCCTTAATTCTTTATTCATTTCAGTATTAAACTCAATTTTAAATTTAAATTCCTACTTCTGTCGATTCTTCAAAAATTGGACTTTTGTTATAAGTGCTTGACAGTGGAGGATCAATAACTAATATTTATGAAATGATAACTTCAAAACCTGCTATCTTAAATTGCTCTTAAATATAATTTTAAAATTTGAATGTATAAAACAAGATATCATTGTTATTTGAAGCTATGAATTAAAAATGTAATGATTTACATTACTAAATTTATCTTGATTTGCTTTATTAATAAATTCTGCCAAATTAAAATGATAATACGCTTAAATTTTAGGCTATAAAATTATATAAGTAATTTTTACTTTAGTATGGATAAAGCAAACCTTAAAATAGATTATTAATTGAATCCAATCAAACAAAATGTTATGATTTAAATTCTAGTCATTTATTTATTACATAAAATTCTAGTGAGAGTGATGTTAATTTATCAAAAAAGATAGAAGACTTAAAAGAAAATATAAAGAAATTAGATTTATCTTTCAATTATCTTCGCACAATTAAACAGCAAAGTGAAAAGGAGCTTCTTGAAAATAATTATATCTGGAATTAAGAAGTTTTTCAATAACTCTAAAACTCTTAAGAAGGGTTAATAAATCTATTATATTATATTGATGAAATATATACCAACTTTATATCAGTAAATACAAAAAATGCTACAATTTACATGAGTATTAGCGAATTGTTAAATTATATAAAATTTATTGCAGAAGAAATATAAAATACAATTATGATTAACGAAAAACCCTTAATTGTTTAAGGCCAAGAGATTATTTGGTAAATAAAAAGAAGAACAAAATAAGTATTTAATTAGCAATTTAATATTGAAGCTGCTTAAGAAGATTATCTGATAGATTTTATCCAATATGAATAAACATCTCTTTAAACTAATCCTTTAAAATTAACTACAGATTTAGATAATATTATCTAATCATAATTTAATGACAAAACTTTAAAAATTTTTTCAGATAATTACTACTTAATTAATTTAAAAAATATTTATAAAAGCAGATATATATCGTATGGAAATATTTCATCCTCTTATAGAACAAAATTTGGAACTTATGAGATCTGCTCAAATAAATCATAAAAAATTGAAGAATATGAAATATAGTGTATGTCTAGAACAGTCTCCGGAATATTCCATTAATGTTATTTAAATACAGCCTAAAATGAAAAAACTATAGAATTAACTTGTGAATGCAATAGTTTTGGGGAAATTTTTTTAATTTCTTCTACAAATTTTAGTTTAGAAGATTTAAAAAATGATACTTCATAATAACATGATCTTTATATCATTTCAGCCTAAGTTAATTTATTGCCTTTAATCATATTTACCAGTTCTTTGTCGATATTATTTTTAGGAACATATTCTTTTTAATTATTTAGAGATTTAAGAGAAAAATCAGAAATTTATGAATAAGATTAAACCATTTTAAGTATTAAAAATTAGAATTATAAAAATTAAATGATTTACAAAGGAAATTAAAGAATCTTCAAAGAAAAATTAAAGGTATTTTTTTATTTTTAAATTAGTTTATACATCAAACCATATCAATATTTTATTATAAAGATGAAAATATTCAATTCAGTTATAGAATTTTAGAGGTCTGTTCTTAATTTAATTTGTTGTTAGCATTAAATATTTTAGAGTTTTTTTATTCTAACAGCAAAATATCCCTGATATGCGCTTTTATGATCGTTAACCCTTTCATTGTGTTTATTTTGAGAATTATTTATAAAATTATTGAATCAATATATAGATTCAGAAGAATTAATGCAATTATTAGTTAATTGTTATTAATAATGATATTGATATTACCTAATCTTATCATTATTACTTTTAACTACCTGAGGTATTATTAATTATAATTTAGATTGTAAATTCAATAAGAAAATTATTTAATGGCCATAAGCTATTTAGTCAATATTTTGATTTCATAAATCATTATTGAACCAATATCTATATTTGGAAGAATTGCAATTTATCGATTGATAGCATCAAGCCTAAAAGAAATGGAACTTAATCCATTATTTCATTTGATGCATTTTTTTGTAATGCATAGTTGTCTTGAAGAAATATTTGATGAGTTTTTAAAAATTTGAAAACATATATTTATGTAGTATAAAGTTATATAATTTATAAAAATTCAATATAATTTTACATGATACTTTAATAAAATATAAATTAAGTATTGTAAAGTTTGAATTTCTTATATAATTAGATTTAATAGATTCTTAATATATTTCAAGTTTTCTAAAATAGATTAAATATAATCCTTTTTTTTAGACGTCGTTAATAATTATATTGTTAATAAATAATCAATTATAATATTAGATAAAATATAATATAAATCTTATTAATAATAATAATATGATTTATAATTGATTATTTATTATATGTATTTGATTTATCAATTTTTTCCAAAGATAATCATCAAAATTTCTAGTATTCTCAAAAACAAAATAACTATATCAATATATAATAACATGGCTGCAATGATATAATCATCAATTGATAAATAATTAGACTAAAATATGGTAAAATAATATTACATGGTTTCCAATAATAAGTTAGGTATCAAATATGANTACTTCATAATAACATGATCTTTATATCATTTCAGCCTAAGTTAATTTATTGCCTTTAATCATATTTACCAGTTCTTTGTCGATATTATTTTTAGGAACATATTCTTTTTAATTATTTAGAGATTTAAGAGAAAAATCAGAAATTTATGAATAAGATTAAACCATTTTAAGTATTAAAAATTAGAATTATAAAAATTAAATGATTTACAAAGGAAATTAAAGAATCTTCAAAGAAAAATTAAAGGTATTTTTTTATTTTTAAATTAGTTTATACATCAAACCATATCAATATTTTATTATAAAGATGAAAATATTCAATTCAGTTATAGAATTTTAGAGGTCTGTTCTTAATTTAATTTGTTGTTAGCATTAAATATTTTAGAGTTTTTTTATTCTAACAGCAAAATATCCCTGATATGCGCTTTTATGATCGTTAACCCTTTCATTGTGTTTATTTTGAGAATTATTTATAAAATTATTGAATCAATATATAGATTCAGAAGAATTAATGCAATTATTAGTTAATTGTTATTAATAATGATATTGATATTACCTAATCTTATCATTATTACTTTTAACTACCTGAGGTATTATTAATTATAATTTAGATTGTAAATTCAATAAGAAAATTATTTAATGGCCATAAGCTATTTAGTCAATATTTTGATTTCATAAATCATTATTGAACCAATATCTATATTTGGAAGAATTGCAATTTATCGATTGATAGCATCAAGCCTAAAAGAAATGGAACTTAATCCATTATTTCATTTGATGCATTTTTTTGTAATGCATAGTTGTCTTGAAGAAATATTTGATGAGTTTTTAAAAATTTGAAAACATATATTTATGTAGTATAAAGTTATATAATTTATAAAAATTCAATATAATTTTACATGATACTTTAATAAAATATAAATTAAGTATTGTAAAGTTTGAATTTCTTATATAATTAGATTTAATAGATTCTTAATATATTTCAAGTTTTCTAAAATAGATTAAATATAATCCTTTTTTTTAGACGTCGTTAATAATTATATTGTTAATAAATAATCAATTATAATATTAGATAAAATATAATATAAATCTTATTAATAATAATAATATGATTTATAATTGATTATTTATTATATGTATTTGATTTATCAATTTTTTCCAAAGATAATCATCAAAATTTCTAGTATTCTCAAAAACAAAATAACTATATCAATATATAATAACATGGCTGCAATGATATAATCATCAATTGATAAATAATTAGACTAAAATATGGTAAAATAATATTACATGGTTTCCAATAATAAGTTAGGTATCAAATATGATATAGCCTCCATATATGATGACACATATAGTACAAATAAATAATTGGAACCAAATATTTCTAACAAATAGACCAACTATGCACATAATCAATAAACTAGCACTTAAAACAAAACATAAATGTCCTTGAATATATATGAAATTATCAACCTAATGCTGAATAATCTGTTTTTGTACGCCATGCATATATTGTAAGCAAAATAGTAATTGCCAAAGTGATAGCGGCTGCAATAATAACTAATTCAACTAATAGACATTTAAAATTGATAATTTACCTCCATTTGATAATAATTCAAAACAAATGATACATGGTGCAGCCACAATAGTACTAAAACATAAAGTGAAAATAATAAGTAATATATAGTTGAGAGGTACCTATTTATGAATATTATAAATTGATTACTCTTCTGGCTACTTTTCTACAACAGAAAATTGCAATTTCTACAATAAAAGCAATTAAAAAGCAAATGATACTGAATGGTGTATATTTAATTGTTTTTGTATCGATGATAGCATTTCTCACATTTTAGAAATAATAAGATGCCAAAATTAACAGAAAGGTGATTGCAAGTTAAAAGCTCATGATGGCATAGACTTTGGCAATAAATCCAGCTCTAATTGTTGAATCAGCAGAGCTTACTAAACCCTTGTATTCATTATCATAAGAATTCATTGGATTGTTAAATGCAGCATGATTGTAATTTCCAATTTGATTAGCAAGTTGTTCTGGTTACCTATTGTTATTATCAAATGGATTTTATTAATTGAAAACTGGTTAATTATATTGAAGTTATTGATTAGGATCATCAGAATAGTATCTATTTGTGTTGTTCATCTAAAAATTATGAATTTAAATATATATATATATTATAATATAAATAACATAACATACTAATTCAATTGATTTATTTTTATTGTAAATGATGAATGGCATCATTAATCATATTACTCATTTTTCTATTCTAAAGTGTTACTTTACCTAATGATCCTAGTTATCTTTCCATTTTATCAACATTCTTATCCTTATCTTCATTACTCATAAGAAGACTTTGAAAACTTAAATAATTGTAATCCTTTCTTAATGAATATTTTTGAATCACCTTATGCCTAATTAGGATATAATGAGATACTATTCCAATTCCTTGATAGTTTTTGAAGATTCTAGAATTGATTTTTTGATATCAAAAAGTTCTTAAAACTTTTATTATTCCAAGATCTTATTAATGGAATTGACTATATCTCTTAATTGATAACCAGCTGTAAAATTCCATATTTCCCCTTATTAATTAACTTTTGGAATAATGAATAACTTTTGCAACTATTGGAAATTCAAATGAATATGGTTGGTGTCTTCATCTGGAAAGAAAATAGCTTATAAATCAGGTTTAAGTGAAACTTGAAATTTGATAAATTTTTCTAACCTTTAATCATTTTACCATAATTTTTTAAGTTAATCCAATTTAGAATGAAATTCTTTAATTAGTTCTATTAGATTATTAATAGCATGATTGTCTGATTACATTCTTCTAGCTGTAGATTATTCAGATAAGCAACTTCTTGAAATTTCATGTTAAGGTATTTTAAGAGATTAATTAGATGAAATCATATCAATAGTATCTTTGCTATCAAGGTTAATTGGTTTAAATTTATTATCAGTTGAGAAATTGTTTTTAGTAGGTGGAATTATATACTTTTTAGATTTCTAATCAGCTTTGATTTAAGATACATAATGACTTACATTATTAAGGATTTTATTCATATCATGTTTAATTTATCTATTGTTTACTTTTGCTATTTCTATTTATTCTAAATAGACATTAATTGATGGTGCTCCAAGACTTTGATTTCTGATTCGATTTAGAGTTAATTTACGTTTAGGTTATAGTTATTCTTAAGATTCACTTTAAAGTTCTACAGATTGACTTAAATGTTTAGGGAACTCTTATTAAAGTTACACATTTTTAGGGGAGTGGAAAGGTTCTTTAGATTTTGATTTAGTTTACTTTATACAATCATTATTATGTATTGGTATATGAGGTGCCTTATAATTAACAAGACTATCTAACAAAGTGAATTTAGAAAAACCAAAGGATTTCATAAATTTATTTATATATATATATATATATATTTTAATTGTGAGATAGATGGAATTACTAAAGAGAGGATTTTAATTTTTGGTTTAGATACACAGCAAATTAATACATAAATATTATCAACATATATACAGAAAGAGAAAATTGAAAACATTCTTGATGGGAGTAGGTAGATATGGAAATGTATAAAATTATAAGGATCTTTGTACTTGCTTAGAAGATTATCACAATTGGCGATGGCATTGACACCTTCAATAAGAATAAATTTACTTGGAAGATATGGAGAAGATTCTTGGGCTGTAGTAACAGGAGGATCAGATGGAATTGGTAAAGAGTTTTGTATTTAATTGGCAAAATAGAAATTCAATATAGCTATAATAGGTAGGAATGCTTAGAAGATGGATTAAGTTTGTTTAGAATTATAGACACATGGAGTATAGACTAAATTTATAGTGGCTGATTTTAATGATGGATATACAGTTGATTTTTATAATAAAATCTATGAATAGCTTGAGTATTTAGATATATCAATTTTGGTCAATAATGCTGGAATAGTAGAAGCTGGACAATTTGAATAAATGAAGATGGAAGATTCATTTATGATGTTAAGAGTGAATGCATTATCTACTATAATGATGACTAGAATTTTAATTAATAAATTATAGAATAGAATTAAGAAATCTGCTGTCATTACAATTTCATCTGGATTAGCATATTTACCTAGTCCATTTGCAAGTGTTTATAGTGGAACAAAAGGATTCACTAATTATTTTACTTAATCTTTAGCTTTGACTTCAAAAAATATAGATTTTTTAAGTGCAACTCCTTTGGGAATAAGTACTAAGATGTTAGCCAATAGAAAAGGTCCTAATATTATTGAATCTAATGAATTTGTTAAAAATGTGATTAATGATTTAAGAGAAGGTAAAACACATAGTTTTGGTTCTTATCGACATAAAAGATTTATTAATCATATGTTATGGAGAAATTAGAATGTTAGAAATAAAGCTAAAATATAATTGGGTACCTATTTGAGAAATGTTAATATTGAAAAAGGAAGATAAGAGGAATTATAAAAATGAGAGAATAAAATAAAATATATATAAAATAATAAGTTAAATGAATTATTTTTTAATTTTAGTGTGGGTAGTACTTTGCTATTCAGAAATCATTAATGAGAAAATCAGTTAATTACCTTCTGATTATAAACATAAATGGTATGGAGGATATTTGAATGAAAATCAAATCTATTATTAATTTTTAGTAAGTTAATCAGATCCAGATTCTGATCCATTATTTATGTGGATGTAAGGAGGACCAGGTTGCAGTTCATTATTTGGTAACTTTTATGAAATTGGTCCATTCTAATTCAAACCTTTATCAAATGAAGTATTCTGATTCATTTTATTTAGTCATTTATCAATCCATATGCTTGGAATAAAAAAGCTAATTTATTATTTCTTGAATTACCAAAAGGAGTTGGTTTCTCGAATCCATCCAAATATTAAAATGATGCATCAGCTGCCTAAGATGCTTTAGATGCTTTATTGGACTTTTTCAAATAATTTCCAAATTATGAAAATAGACCATTTTATATAGGAGGTGAATCATATGCTGGAATGTATATACCATATCTTACATCATTAATTATTAATTAATCTAAGAATACTATAAATCTAAAAGGAATTCTAATAGGAAATGGTTGTACATTAGGTTCTGAATGTACAGATTTAAAATAACTACCGTTATTTACTAGCAAATATTAATTTAACATTTATTTTTAAAGAGGATTTCTTAGTCTTGAAGACAAGTAATAATTATTATAATTATTATAATAGATAAAAGTATGATCAATTATGTTTAGATTTTATATCACCTAGATGCATTGAATTATAAAAATAATTATTAGCTAAAATTTAATATTCAAGAGTAGATATTAATAATTTGTTAGGAGAATGTTATCATAATGATCCTGATGTTTAATAAGGAAATGGTTAAAATAAAAGAAATCATCAAAATAAACATAAAAGATTTTTGCATTTCAAAGGTATTACTGAATTACCATGTAATTATGAATATGGAAACTATTTTATGTTAAATAATAAAACTGTTTAGGATATTATGCATGCTAAACATATGAAATGGAGTTCATGTAGTTCTAGTTTAGACTTTAAAGAAGATGAATAAGGATCATATCGTTTTTATTCTCAATTTTTACATTATGGTCTTAAGATTTGGATTTATAGTGGTGATGTTGATAGTAATGTACCAATTACAGGAACTTTAGATTGGATTCAAATGCTTGTTAAAGAATAAAATCTATAAGAAACTGATCCATGGAGAGCATGGTATATGGAAGGCAAGAAACCTAAATAAAGATAGGTTGGTGGTTTAACTTGGGAATTCAATAAATAACTAAGATTTATTAGTGTAAGAGGAGCTGGACATGAAGTTCCATTTTGGAAACCATAAGCTGCATATGTTCTTTTTGATAACTTTATTTATAATAATACAATTTGAAATCATTATTGTTATCAAAGTAACTTAACTAATTTTTCATAATTATTTTACAAAAAATCAATTATAATTGCTAATTATTCTAAATGACCTTCTTTTTTATTTTGAAATCTATTCAAACCTTTAATACCCATACTTGCTTTTTCTAATTTTGCTACTTATTTTTAAGCTTAACATATTTAAAATCTAAGAACTTAATATAAGACTTCTCTATCTTTTGCATCAAAATGAGGATCACTAAATACATTTTTAATTAATTAAATTTTTCTATTTGAAGTTAATTCATTTTCCATTTAATTTTATTATAAGATTAACAAATCTTAAGTACTTACACTATTTTACAATAATTTTGGTTATCTCTTTAAATATCTATCATAATCTTATCTATCTAATCTAACTTTAAAGACATCATCCATTGATAAAAAGTTTAATACTTATTATATTGTATATTAAATGGCTCTACTCAAATGATGTTTATAAGTCTTATCAAAATGTTTATTCTAAAATTTTCTATCTCTTTCTCTTTATTCATATCGTTATTTAAATTAATCATAAATTGGCTACATAGGTGTTACACTATAAAATAGTTTCTTATTCTCTATAAAATTAGTTATTATTTATTTTTTCATCAATCTAGTTACTGCTGGCTTTGATTTCAATCTATTATTCTATCTAACTGTTTCTGGTTTCAATAATTGTTTATCCTTACTTGCATTACTCAAATCTCTTTTATCATATACTTCTCCTTAACAATCAACATGTCTATTAGAAATGCAATTATTGTAAAAATAAGGACTCTATCTTTTATATTCTGCTCTTTCAGTAATTGGAGATGTAATAAAGTTTGGTTCAGATAGAAGATATTTTCTCATATTCTAAAAATATTATTTATTTTATTCATCAATTATTCCATCAGATGTTAAAAGGAGACATATAATTATTATGAATAGAATTATTAATAATTATATTAATATATAATTTATAACAGATGGAGTTAGCTATCATAATGAGTTAGTTTCAATAAGCTATATACTAATTGTAATGTGCATTACGTAAAAATAAAGAAAATGATATTATGAAATCTATGCTTAGAATTATATTTGCAAATGATATCTATGAAGTTGATTAAGAATAAGTGAAAAACTTAGAAAAGACATTTTATTTAGATACTGATACAGCTAGCATTCTTTAAATCTTATTAAGTTCATTTTAAACAAATGGTAATCATTAAAATTTTTACATTAGGATTCCCAGAATTAGAAGATTATCTAAATCTCTTATTATATCGTATAGATTGTGGAATTTGTTTATTAGAATGTCATTCTTCATATTCTTCTAGTCCACTTCAATTTTACTCTAAATATGAAGTAAATGAAAGAATACAAAAGGAGGAATGCATTAAAAAGAAAATCAAAAAGTAAAAAAAGAAACGCTCATCTAATCCATCAAATAATGATAATTAATGTAATAAAAGAAAAGATTGAGTTACTTACTATTTTTAAATTTTATTAGTATAACAAAATAATATATACAAATATTTATTATAATAATGATATTCTGTAATTTGTATTAAAGATAGTAGAAATATAAATGAAATACGAATATTCAGATAAAATAGAAGAATAAACATGTAAATTAGAAGAATTAATAACATAAATTTAATAAGATTTAATAGAAATAGAATAATATAAAAGTATTTGTTATAGAAAATGCTAATATTGTTTATAAATTCATGATATTTAAAATAAATCATTAAAGAATTGTATCTAAAACTTATTTTAAAGATCAAAATTATTAATAAATAAAAATGAATCTAATCAAAATAAAAATGTAATAGTAAATAAATTTAGAAGTAGAAAATAATTATTATTAAAATAATATAAGAATAAAACTAAATAAACATGGTTGATTTAATAAATATAAAAATGGAATCAATTTTTATAAATTTATGAAAAAACTAAATGTTATCCTGGAAAGATGACAATACATTAAAGATGGACTTTTTATGTTATTAAAGTATATCATTGTTAGTATTGTTTTAAAGAATTTAAATCATTCTATCAAACTTAATATCATATGAATAAATTTTGTAGAAAGAGATCATTTCCATTTGTAGAAGAAGAACCAATAATAAAGAATAAAATTATTAAAACTATTTTTAAATAATTTTGATTATATTAAATTACAATAATTTTGATTATATTAAAATACAAAATATTATATACATAATATATATATTATTAGAAATTTAAATTTATGGATTGCATAATAAAATATTATTATGTATTACAACAACAATTTAGATATAGAAATAATTTTACTTGAAAATAATAAATAAAATAATATTGCAGAATTAAAAAATAAGAAAATTTAAATAAAAAAACTATTTCAATAAGGAATAGAATTGATTAAAAAAGATGAAGTTTTAAAGGATAGTCCATAAATTTATGAATTGGCCAAGAAGAAACTTATAAAGTGGAAGAAATATTTAAATGATTTATTGAAATATCATAAGGAATAAAGGGTGATTGAATTATTAGAAAAGAAAAAAAAGACTTTGAGAAAATATGAAATTAGTGGAATTCATCCAGATTTAATAGTGAAAAAAGGATATTGGGTTATTTTTATGGAATATAGATGGGAATGTAGGAAATGTAATAAATAATTTATGGATAATCTGAAAGCAAAGAAACATATGAGAAAAATATGTTTTAAAGGTGAATATGGATAGAAATCAGAAGAGAAATAAATTATAATAAAGAAGATATTCAAGAGAGCCTGATAAATGTGAATTATTTAGTTAAATTTGATATAGTTATTAAAATAATTAAAATGAAACAGACAAGAGTTCAATCTGCTGCAACAAATTCTCGTCTTCGAGATAATCATTATGATCCTAAGGTGCACGCAAAAGCTTGGATTGCTCCAGGTAGATATTGAAATTTAAATTAGGAATATTCAATTAACTACCTAAATATGAGCATTTAGATTCTGGTCTAGTGGTCATTCATTAAAAGAATAACAAAATGAAAAAATTTAAGGAATTATCAGAATTAAACTAAGAGATTCAGGAAATGTAAAATAAAGATGAATTCAGAAAGTTCAAAGAGTTTGAGAATCTATATAATGGAGATTTAGTAGTGACAATTGAATATTGGTATACATTTGAATAACAGTCTATAGTACAAATTGTGCTTAGCATGCAGGATCTACTAGACATGATGAAGAGAAATATTATACATTCGCCACCAATTTAAAATAGGAACTTATTTAGTAATATCCAACAGCTAAGGTTTACTTGAAACCATTGATATACGATCCCCATGACTATTCCATAGATACACTCTACATTTAAAGAAGAATTGGAGCATTTGAAGTACAGGTATGCTCTAAGAATAGAGATTAAGTCAAAAAAGGCTTAGTATTTTCCAAGTTGAATACTAAAATGTGGCCTAATTATACAGAAGTTATAGAAAGAGTCAGTGATTATTTAAATACTGCTCCATTAGAAATTTATGTCAGTTTTGGTGATAATATTACAGGAAATCTTAATAATATAGAAGTTTCTTTGACTCCTCATAGACAAGATAGACCATAATCAAGTGTTTCAAGGATATCTTCATAAACTAAAAGAACAAATAAAACTGCCACAAAAGAAAGAAAAATTACAGCTAAAACGAATAATCAAGGATATATTAAATTATAAGAAGTCCCTGTTGATGTCTATATTGTAGAAGTTTAAGAATCTAATGACTATCTTAATGAATAATTACTATTGAATATGGTAGAAATGGCTGAATAAAGTAATGATACAATATAAGTTATTGTTAAACTAAGAAAATAAACTCATTCATATTTGGATATTAAAATATTTAATTAATAGGGTTCCAGTTTAACTGAAGCCAAAATTACAATTACAAATCTTCAAACACAAGAATGTATGTTATCAAGAGAAATTGAACCTGGTAGATATGAAGCAATTTTAGAACCTAATTAATATGCCTTTACTATTTAAAAAAGAGGATACAAAGAATTATCTTAAAATATTGATGCAGTCTAAGGAGTCAATGAATTTAAATTAATATTGGAAGTAGATCCAAATGATTAATAACCAATAAAACCACCTTAATCAGCCAAATAATTATAACCAATATAAAAACCAAGTAGTGCTCGTCCAACAAGTGCTTAAAGATCATAATAAGGTAGTAATACAAATTAATCTTAATAATAAATGAATAAATAATAATAATAATAATAATAACAATAATAATAATAATAGTTACCACCAAAACCAAAATCTTAATAATAATCTATGTAATCTTATGAATAACCTGAATATATGGAACCAACCAAATAAGAAGCAATATCAAATCCTAATAGACCTATTTCAGGTTATAAATCTACATAAGTTTTTATTTATGATCCATATACTAATTTACCTATTGAAGGAGTTTAAGTCATTTTGAATGAAGAATCTACAAAATAAGCATAAACATATGTAACAGATTAAGAAGGAACTTGTAGAATTATTTTATAAGGAGTTTTAGAGGGTAAAATGGTGATTCAAACGTATTTTAATCTAATTTATTATTTATTAGAGAAGGATACTTTCCAATAGTTGAAGAATATGGAACAACATAATCTAAAATGAATTTGTATCAATTAAGAGAATTATCATTTCCTTTGATATAACATTTAGAAGATAAAAATTCAGTTATGATACTAGTTCAAACTAATGTTGAAGTAATGCCAATTGATATCAAAATGATTCTACCTGATAATGTGCAAATTGATTAAAGTCATTAAAATGTACTTTATGATTTGAATGATGATTCTGGTTGCTAAAGAATAATAGTACATGATCTTCATACAAAGAGAGGTGTATATAGAATAATAGCAGATATTATTGAACCTGATTATGTACATCCTCAACATTTAAAAGTGTATATCATAACTAATAAAGATTTGAAATTAGTTGATGTACCTAAAACTATTACTTAAGAATAAATTTATTGGGATATTGGTGTAATTTGTGGTAATTAATTTAATTATTTAATATATTAGCTCCAAATTCTGGATTTTTAGAAATTAATACTCCAACTGATGAAATTTTAAAAAGAGATAAATATCTAAAAGATTATTAAAGTTTATTGTAATTTTTAAAGAATTCTAAAAATATGGATTTAAAAACAATTTTAGGATTTAATGATAAGGAGAGACTTGAATTATAAGGAGATATTTTTGTATAAAAAGAAAAGATTAAGAATACTCTTGATAAATATGGTTTTGAGGCAATAACAAATCTTGATTATTTGATATATTCAGCTATGATGTCTAATGGATTGTATAGTTTTAAAAGATTAGAATAAAAATTTGGTAATTTAGATTTTGAATTTATATTTGATGATGAGAATTCAACTAGTAAATAAAAAGAAATGAGTGAGGATGAACCTTATGATGATGATTATGATATATGAAATTATTATTAAATTAAAATGACTGATAAATTATATGAATTTTCGACTCTATTTGGTATATGTTAAATATTGATATGTTTATAGAATACAAATATGAAAATGTAAATCCAAAAGGCAACTATGTTTAAAGATTTCAATCAAAAAATAGAAAAATAACATCTAATCGTCCAGATTATGAATTACCTAATAATTCAATTTAAACTAGTAAATACACTTTAATCAACTTCATTCCTAAACAATTATATGAATAATTCTCAAAATTAGCAAATATCTATTTTGTGGTAATATAAAATTTTGACAAATAGATTATAGGTGCATTATAAATGATTCCAGAAGTTTCAATAAGTTCAGGTGTTCCAACAATTTATCTACCTTTAAGTTTTATCATCTTAATAAGTGGGGCTAAAGATTTCTATGAGGATTACAAACGTCGTAAATCTGACAATGAAGAAAATAGATAACCTATTTTAACATATGATGGCTATAAATTTGTGACAATACCTTCTAGTTCACTTTATGTAGGCTAAATAATCAAAGTAAATTAAGATGAAGTCATACCTGCTGATATTCTAATACTTAGAAGTAGTGAATAGAAGGGAATCTGTTATGTTGAAACTAAATCATTAGATGGTGAAACAAATCTTAAATAAAAGAATGTACATATTGATCTATTATAAACTTACATTTCAGATGATTGTTTTGGTTAAGAGGATAAGAGAATTATTTTAAAATATTAAGCACCTACACCTTATCTATATTAATTTATAGGTGAAACAACTACATCATAATAGAAAGTGTCTGCAATGAATTTCAATAATTTCATTCTTAGAGGTTGTAATCTAAGAAATGTAAAATATGTATTTGGATTGGTAACTTACACAGGGAAAGATACAAAAATAATAATGAATTCAACAATAGCAAGATCAAAAAGAAGTAAATTGGAATAGTAAATGTAGAAATTTATACTAATAATCTTTGTAACCTAATTGATATTGTGTATAATAGCATCTATAGTATATGCAATTTCATTTTATAATAAAAGGAATTAATTAAGTTATTTAGATATTGAATCTTTTGATAATGAATATAATATAGCTTATAATTTTTTTGTAAGATTTGGTAATTGGATTTTGATCTTTACTAATTTTGTACCTATATCTTTATTGGTAACATTAGAGATGGTGAAGTTTATATAAGGGAAATTTATGACATTGGATGATAGATTAAATCAACCTAAAGTACAATCTTCAAATCTAAATGAAGAATTGGGTTAAGTAGAACATATATTTTCAGACAAAACTGGTACATTAACGTGTAATATAATGGAATTTAAATAAATAATTATGTATTAAATTAAATAAATCTAATAAGAGGTAATTAAAATTATGGAGATGTAATTGAAAATTAAGAGGATTACTTAAGTAATGATGAAATACTATCATATCCATAAGTAACGAATGTAGATTTTAGAGATAAAAAACTTATAGAAGCAATATAAGATTAGAATCATTTTATGCATAAATAAGTGAAAGATTGTCTAATTATGCTTAGTATTTGTCATACTGTAATAGCTGATTAAAAAGATAATAAATTAATATATAATGCTACATCTCCAGATGAATTGGCTTTATTAAATTTTGCTAGATTTGTGGGATTTGAATTTTAGGGTTCAGATGAAAATGGTATAAAGAGAGTAAGATTTAATAATGAAATTTTGGAATTTTAATTATTAGAAGTATTTGAATTTACTTCTTAAAGAAAAAGATAATCAATTTTAGTACAAATAAGAAATTCAAAGGAAATAATATTATATTCAAAAGGAGCAGATTCAATATTATTATCAGAAACAAAGTTATCATAAAAAGAATTATAGAGTGAAGATTATCATAATTTAGAAAATAAATTATAAGAATATGGAAAGGTTGGTTTAAGAACATTAGTTTTATGTAAAAGAATAATTGATATTTAAACATATTAAGAATGGAATAAAAGATATTAAGAAGCAGCATAAAGTCTTGAAAATAGAGAAGAAAGAATGTAAACATTATAAGATGAATTAGAAAAGAATTATGAAATCTTGGGAGCAACTGCAATAGAAGATAAATTATAATAGAATGTAGCAGATACTATATCAGCAATTAAATAAGCAGGAATTAAAGTATGGGTATTAACAGGAGATAAAATAGAAACAGCAATAAATATTGGATATTCTTGTTAATTATTAACAAATGAATTAGTTTAACATATAATAGATGAAAAAATGGAATCACTTGTAATAGAAAAATTGAATGAAACAATAGGATTAATTAGTAAATAACCACATAATTAACATGCTTTAATAATATCAGGTGATGCTTTATTACATTCTTTGAAACCACATATAAGAAAGAATATGATTTAAATAGGAGAATCATGTAATGTTGTATTATGTTGTCGTGTAAGTCCAAAATAAAAATAAGATGTAGTTACATTAATTAGAAATTAAAAAAAGAATGTATGTACTTTAGCAATTGGAGATGGAGCTAATGATGTTAATATGATAACAGCAGCACATGTAGGAGTAGGAATAAGAGGTGTAGAAGGATAATAAGCATCTAGAGCTGCAGATTATAGTGTATAAGAATTTTAAGAATTGAGAAGATTATTATTTTATCATGGAAGAGAATGTTATAGAAGAAATAGTACTTTAGTATGTTACACTTTTTATAAGAATATTTTGGTTGTACTTCCATAATTTTGGTATGGTATTTTATCAATGTATTCTGCTTAATCTTTATATGATACATTTATATATTAATTATTTAATATATTGTATGCAGCATTACCTATAATGATATATGGAGTATTTGATGAAGAACATGATGCAGATATACTTACAGAAAATACATAAGATAATTATTATGAATAGGGACCATAAGGTAAATTATTTAATTTAAAAATATTTCTATTTTGGGTATTTTAAGGATTATGGTAAACATCAATTATTTGTTTTTTTCCTACATTTTGTATATCATCTAATTTCATTGATGATAATGGATATATGTAACATTTATGGGCTTAAGGTACAATGATTTTTGGATTAGTTATTGTTGTATGTAATCTTAAAGTACTTATATTCTCAAATGTTTACACACCTGCTTTATTAGTAATAATAATTATTATTAATTTTAGGGAAGTATATCTTTTAGTATGATTTCATATTTAATATCTTGGATTATATTGGATAATATAAGTTAAGCTGAAGCATATGTTGTATTAGAGAGGTATTATAAATTTTATTATTTAGTTTATTTGCTACTCCTAATTTCCATTTTGGTAATATTTTAGTTATTGTAACTATTGTTGCTATAGATTCGGCTATTAATATAAAATTAAGGAAAATGATGGTTGCATCAAAAAAGAAAAATTAACCAATTTATTAATAACCAGAAAAAAATGAATAAGTTATAAAAGTAATTAATAGAGCTAATACTGGATTTGCATTTAATTATTTAGATGTTGATGAACTAGAAAATCAAGAAAAAATTGAATTATATAATTTAGAAAATTAAGTTGTTCCAGAAAACTTTAATAATAACAATATATATTGATTAATTATTATGATATTATATTGTTTTAGTATTTCAATTTATTTTAAATTCAATTTCATATTCTTGATTATTATCTTATTATTACATTTAATCTTGCATTTTCATCAATATAATAATTTAATTAATTCTTTAAATTCTCTATTAAATACATATTCTTTTATTCATATACTAAACCTTATTATAAACGAGAAAATTCTTCAGAAATCTATTTCAATTCATTTTTTAATTATTCTGTTTCCTATTCATATTTTATTTATTATTATTCCATTTATTTTTTTAATTCATATTCTTTTTATATTATACTATGTAATCTATCATTTTCCATACACAACATTAAATATCTCTATTATAATTATTATAATGGCATCAATTATTATTAAGATTATAATTTAACTTTTAATGAATCAACTTCAAATTTCAATTAAGTAACTTATTATTATGATTAACTTAAACTTTAACTAGTAGCATGTATTTATTAAGTTTTATGTGTTATTTCATCTTATAATTCTTTATTAAATTTATCTATAATCTAATATTATTAATCTTTTTATTAAGTCATAAATTAAACTTTTTAATTTATTGTATTTAATGTATTTCTAATTTCTTAATTTTCTAAATTCTTCTCTTCTAATATTGCCTTAAATTTAAATATTTCTTAATCTTTAAATTATAATTATTATCTAAGTAATTAAGTTTCATCTTAATTTTTATTTTAAGAATGACATTAAGATTCTAATTAATGTTATAAATCTTTGATTACTTCTTACTTTATTTTTATTTCTTTCAATTATTATTCAGATACTTTTGATATCTATTCTAATTCATTTATCAATCTTAATTAATCTTAATACATTTTATCATAACTATGTTTTAAATTCTCATAATCTATTGCTTATTAATTAATCTAATCTTTCATTTTTTAATTATGCTATATTAATATTTTTATCTCTTTCTCTTTCTCTGGATCATTTGTATTCTATCTCTTTTATTAATTATATTCATTTCCTTTAGAAAATTAATGTTATGAAGGACTGAAATGTTATTAAGTAGATGGACTTATTCTTAAAGGTGAAAAGATGTTTTCTTTTCTATGCATTAATGGCATAATCTATTAAGATGGTTAAAACACAAGTCTTCTCTCTATTGGAGCTGTATATTACATTTTCTGTTAAATTTTTTAATCTTAAATAAATATTAATTATTATTATTTTACAAATATTTTCTAAAACCATTTTTACATTTAATTTATAAATAACTATTATAAATAACTAAAGATGGAGTTTGAATTAACCAATTAAACCCAATCATCAAATTGCAGTATAGAATAAGATAAATCACAATCTCTTAATACTTTTGATATTTTCCATATTCCTCCAAATTTTTAATTAGCAATAACACATAGAGTATATATAATATATATATGTAGAAATCCACTTATATATAAAAATTAGATTATAATGGTGAAAAATGTAATTGTTGTGGCAGAACAATAGCAAATTCAATTTTACCATTATCAATAGATTTTAAATTAATATCATAACCAGGAGATGGGGCATCTATTTATTTTTTATTATTAAAGACCTTTATCATTTTATTTTCTATTGATTTGTAATCCTTATATAAATTATAATAGTTTTATTTTTGGTTTATATTCAATAATTACAAATACAATTGGTTTTTAATGTAAATTAAGTAGAATATGTGCTAAGAATTTTATCACTTTTACTTCAACATTAAATAGAAATACTCCAATGTATCATATTCATCAATCTATAGAACAACTGATATATTCTATTTACTTTTGTAAATCCTCAGTTAAAGTGCAATGCTATTATATATAATTTGGTATGCATATACAGATGAATACTTTCAAGAAATATTAATATTAAATGATGAAAATATTATTGCAGAATTAACATAATTAGAAGAAATAGATGAATCTATTATTAAACTCAATAAAAATGAAATTTTAGATAAATTTTAAGTATAAAGTCTAGATTATTTATGTTTTGTATATAAAATGAATCATTTTAAGAAAGAAATAGAAAATTAGATCATTAATAAAATTTAATGTGATGGATTGTAAAATTATATATTATTATTAGAAATTTAATAGATGCAATCTAATAGATCTGTAATTTATAAAATGTATTAAGAGATTACTTAAATTAATAGAATTATTTTTAATCTGCTTGTACAATCTTTATTACAAAGCCTATTCTTTAGAAAAATTAAATAGAGAAATTATATTTTATTGGAGGTTATAATGTCAGACCAAGTGAAGTAAATTGGTTAATTAATTAATCAATTTAGAAATCTAAAACTTGCAAATGGATTTTCATTATTTTTGGATATGTAATTTAAATATTAGTAGCTAATTTCATACTTACTCAATTAACATTATTAAATGAACAATAAGAAGATGAAACTATAGATTAAGGAAAAGGTTTAGATATATTTAAATCATTATTAATAACAGTATCTATTATCTTTATCAATGAATTTATGATTATGTCATTAAAACCATTAATAGGTTTATTGAATTTGACATCTTAACATAATAGTTAAATCTTGGTTATGTTGATGCTCTCTATTTTATATTTTATATTATAAATATCTATAGTTGTTGATTTAAATTTATAAAAATAAGAAGGAAATATGTAAAATGAAATGTGGAAATAAGGTGGATCATTAGAAACATATTTTTTTATCACAATTGGTAATGGATTTTCTGCATTATCAGAAACTTATTTTGATGCTGCTTATTTCTTTAATAAATTACTTAGAAAATGGAATCATTATTTTATAAATAAATGTTAAATAACTTAATTTGAATTGAATTAACTTTATGAAAAAGAAAGTGTAACTTGGACTGATAAAATTGCTTTTATGAATTTTTTGATTTTTGCAAGTATTCTTTTTAGCTAATTCCTACCTATATGTATACCTGCATGTATTATTGTCCTATTATTAACATATTACTTATAAAAATATCTGTATTTAAATCGTTATTCAAAATCAAATGATAATAAATATAATCCTCATATCATCATATAATTACCATTCTCTATGATATTATTAAATCAATTTGCTATCATCTAAAGTATGGTTTAATATTTCCTAAATGGAAAAAGACCTTTAGATTTATTACAGAATACTAATTCAAATGATTTATAAATAGGTAAAACTGATATCATTTGGTTAATTATCTAAATAATCATTTTATTTACTATTTACTTCCTATAGAAATTATTTTATCGAAAACACAAAGCCCTTTTAAATCATTAAACTATTCTACTAACAGAATCTCATCTAGAATAATTTAAAACATTTGATCTAAAACAATAGGTATCAATATAGTAATTTTAGGGTTTTGTTGCTTATAATCCATTAATTAATATAGGTCAAATTGAAAAATTTATTGGACGTAAATATGAAGAACTTAATAATGATGAACTTAATCAATATTTATAAAGCATGAAATATTCCCCACAGGAATAATTCTTATAATAATTATCTATAGAACTATATAATAAATTAATGAAAAAGTAAGTTTTAATTTAATATGAGAATTAAGAAAATTAAGATCATTAATAATATTTAACCATCAACCATCTAAGCAGATTGATAAAGAGAATTTTTATAATATATATATTATATTTAACTATTTATTTATATCATTAAACTACTTTCAAATTATCTTTAAACATTTTACTCTGCTTTTCATTATTTGATTATTTACGCTTAAGTTGCATCCTTCTTAAAAGGAAATAAGAAATTACTATCAACACCAATAAAATAAGCAATTTACTTAATAGTGTACTATCTTCTGATTGTTCATTAATTTCATTAATTATTATACTACAAATAGCTTATGATACAGAATTTTCAGCTACCAAGGTAAATGTTTAATTTACCAAATATTCAACCTATTTGTCTAATTGGTATCCTATTTTACCAATATATATTTAACTAGTGTTTCCTTAATATAAAATAAAATGTGTAGTATTCCAAGGATAATAATAATTTTAATTTTCATCAATTATTCTTCCAATATAATCAAAAAATTTCAAATCTTATGACAAATCATAAAAATAAAAAGAATCTGGGTATGATTTTAAAATTAAGCTATTTTTATTATAAAATTATAATATCATAAGACCTAATTCTAATCCATGTCTGAGTATTTTATTAATTTTATAAGAAATGGAATAATTATCGATATTTATGTGAATTTGACTTATTATAGAAACATTTTTTAAAATTTAAAACAGTAATATACTAACATCTTTATCATTAATATTGCAGTCTAAAATATAAAATTAATCTTTATAGCTTAAAATTTTATCTTGACCAAAAGGAATGTAGTTATTTAATTCATTTAAAATAGTATCAATTAAGACGATTGCGGTCCCAATAGAAATTAATTAAAATTCATTAAATTAGAGAATCTGGAATAGTAAATCTTTTCTATTATTCAATTCTGAAAGAGTAATGTAAAGTTAATTATTGCCTTTAATCTTATTTATTTCTATAAAATTGATATCATTCTCGATATATTAAATCATATAATTAATGATCTTAAAGAACTCTGAATGAAATTTAGATTTAAATATGATTAGATCACCAATTTTTTAAATATCATATTCAGAGTATGGATTTTTCAGATTAAAATTCATTTCTTAAAAAGGATGTTATTTTAATTTTTAACTATCTTCATCAATTAAATATATAACTCCTCTTAATTAGAATAATGAATTTGTTGGATATAAGATTAATATTGATTGTTCATTAATTGGAATTAACTTTGTAAATTCTATTTCTTCTGTATGAAAAATAATTATTTATCCAAACTCATCTTAAAATAATATTATGTTTTATTCAATTTAATTAATCATATGAATAGGTGAAATTAGAATCTTTTTGATTCTATTTTAATTATTCTGATAAATCCATTATTATAGTAATAATGGTCCATTTATATGAACTTAATCATTATATTCTATTTTTAATGATTCAATAGGACCATAAAAATAATTAGATGTTATGATATTTTATTAATTAATATTTATTGAAAAATTATTACTTTTTTAGAACAATTAATAGCATTAATTATAACTCTTTAATATGAATCCTAAATTAATTCTAGGATCACTCTTATTTGCAGATATAATTTAAAAAGTAACTTTTGTTTTTTCTACTATTTCATTTTTGTTAGGAATATAATTTTCTAATTAAATTTCAAAATTTAACATATTGAATATCTTAATTTCATCTTCAGAATTATAATAAAATAATTAATATTCTTTAAAAAAGAAGTAAGTTCTACTTATTTCAATAACTTTTATCAATTTTGGAGATTTCGTTCTTGTTATTTCAAATATTAAAACATATGTTTTAGTTTGATTTCGACAAGCTATAGCAAAATATTCTGTATTGATCTAATACTTTAATGGTCTAATAAATTAATATTCATCTAAATTTAATGAAGATATTTTGGATATCTATTTCTAATCAAAAGAATATTAAACTATTTAATTATCGATGAAATGTACTCCTAGAATATATTATTATTAACTTAATATTTCTTTTATTAAAATAATTTAAATGTTTTCTAACTTAAAAAGTTCAACATCTATCTTATGATGAATCATCAAATATTTATTATAATATATATGTTTTGGGCTTAATTATGAATAATAAAAATGTTGTGATATTTAATTCTAAAAATTTTACTCATCTTAAAGATAAATTTAATTTAATTTATTCAACATTTAATACATTTTTTGATGATATTGAATTATATAGCTATTTAATAAATCAATCATCATAGGATCTTTGTTATCTGATGTGAAGACTAAAACAAACTATTAATTTTGAAGTATTGTTATTATCTTGCCATTAATCTTAAATTCTTTAATTTATTAATCTATAAATCTTATAAGTTTTAATTCTTATTTATTCTAATTATATATTAGAATTTAACTTTAAAAAGAAAATACTTAAAAATCTTTAATATGAATTTCAAATCTATTTACATCATGACAATTTTAAAAATAAATGTAGTTTTTAGTTTGAATAACTGAAAAAGATTGTGGAGTTTTAGTTTCATAATATAGTAAAATAGTTTCTTATTGATTTATGTATTATAATTTTGGACATAGTTATTAAAAAGAATGTTAATCCAATATATTCATTCCAAATTCTAATTTTTAATCGAGTTTTATATCATATTAATATGGTACTTATAAACCTAACTTATTGTAAAATAGAGATGATTTATTTTAACATTGATAAATGAAATCTAAAGTCTAGGTTAATTTGTATTATCCATACATGTTATATTTAATCTCATAGCATGATCTCATTTCCTTTTAATAAAAAGAGAAGCTTTCTATATAGAATATATATTTTTTGGTTGGTTCAATCAAATTTCTAGGATATGATAACTTATAAAAAACAATCTCTTTTGTAATTTCATCAAGCCAATATATTAAATTATGATCATTATTAAAAACTATATATGAAGTATTCAATTTAATAGTTTATTAGTATTGATGATTGTAAATAACTTAAAGTTGATTTTGAGTTTAAATAAAAAGGATTTTATTAATTAATTCAATTAAAAAGTATGTACCCTCAAATGAATATAAAACTTCATTATTATTATTAAAAACTATGGTAGTAATATTACTTGATTACTTATATTGCAAATAACATTATTAAGAACAACTCTATGTAAATAGAACATATTTAAGATATGATGGAATTTCAAAATAGACTTGAAATAGAGCTTAATTCAAATTATTAATATAGAAGTATAGATACCCTGTCTCTAAAATCAAAATAATGCTTTTTTAACATATTTAAATATTCTCCAAATATGAGGCTTGATTAAAGTTTACTAATTGTTCATTTAATATTTCCTTAATTTCTTATTACCAATAAGTATAAACACTCCAATATTTGCAATTATAAAAAGATATCATATAATAATTATCATCAAATTTGAAATATTTTCTCTTACACATTTCATATTAATTTTAATTGATTAATTATTATTATAATAATCTAATTTTATTATCTAAATCAATGCAGTAAATTTTGATATGAAAATTCTCAATACAAAATATAATAAATTCTGATTTTTAATTGATAAAAAATTCTTAACATTAAGAATTATTCAGATCATTTAGTTCAATTGATATAATAATTTATTCATTTAAAAAGTTCAATCTATCACTAGCATAAAAATTATTAACTTTTATACAAGAAATATAATAGATTTTGTTCTTTATAAATTTACAAAATAGTTAATCTTCAATAGATCTAAAACCAAAATAATCAATTATTAATGTTGATATTAAATGTTCATTTTCAAAAGATGAAATTCTAATGGATTCATTAATGATATTAAAATTAGTGTAATTTTGTTCTTCAAATTCTTCTGTATCACTTTCTATTAATAACTTATCTAAGCTTTATGAAATATATTTTTCTTAAGGTTCAATCTCTATTACATTACATTTCTTTGACATTCCTACAATTGAGTATAAAATATCAATAGTTATTAGAAGTAATATTAAAGAAGAAGTAGTCATAAATTAAGTTTAATAAATTATATAATTAAATATCAAAGTATCAAAAAAATTATATTATATGATTTTAATTATATATTTATTCACTTTAAGTATTAGATTCATTATGTTGTGTATTTCTTTTATTTATTCCTACAACACATAATTCTAAATAAAATGAAAAAAAAATTTGTTAATTCAATCAGTATAATATTCTTATTCAAATTATTTAAAGATATTTCACGAGTTACATTGATTTAAATTTAAGTATTAGATAAATCATTTTAAGCATATAAGATAAAGTTAAAATTTATATTATCAATATTTTATAGATCAATTTCATATTATTATATTATTCCTATAGAAATCTATGAGTTATTCATAAAAGTGAAATGAGTAGTATTTATTCTTGTAATTTAAATTTGATGTAATGTAAAATAATTATAATCATAAAAAAGTCTATCTTCTTATAAATCATATAACAACGTACCTTATACTTATTTCAAATTCAAAACCAAATAATTCTCATCTACATAATCAAATATATATTAATTATCTAATAATTAGTTTCTAATTTCTTTTTACAAATGATAAGAAATAATAAAACCATCTTAAATATTGATATTAAGTTTGATCATAAAAAAATTTCTCTAATTTTTCAACATAATATTTACAATTATAATATTTACATTCAACTAACATGAAATTATTTATAAAATAAGAAATTTGTCTTATATAAGTAATGCATTTTCAATTTCTTATGTAATTATCTTAGAGAATATCTTAACATAACCATTAAAATTAATTTAATAAATAATTAATTTTACTTAAGTTCGATCTATATCTGATAAAGCTATAAACAAATTTTCAGTATCTTAGACATATTAAATATCAAAATGAATATCTGGAAGTTAAATAAGAGTAAAATTCTAATTAGATATATATAAATAAATCTATTCTAATGAATTTTATATTTTAACTAAATTTTCACTTTTGATAATGTTAGAACTAAGAGGTTTTTCAGCAAAAAAGTTAATGTCTAATATCTAGATTTCCTTACAATTTCCATTCATCTATAGAGAACATTCTAATAATCTAACGTTTAATCCATTGTCAAATAAACCAAACCATATGAAAGTATAATCTGATATCCAAAATACTTGATTTAAATGATCATCATTTTTAGGTTATAAAATTTGACATATAGTTTTATCTTCATAAACGATTACAAAAAATGAATACCATATTTTTTATGTTTGAATTTATTTTTTAAATTTTAATTCTTCAATACATATCTATATTTCATTATTACAATAATTAATTTAGTATATAGATTAAAAAGGATTCTTCAAATAAATTTAAAGATTACTAACTATCGTTAAATTATTTATTGAACCCTAAAACATTTCAGAAATCTTTAGATATAAGTTTTCATATTTAAAGAGTTTTAAAGAAATTGAATTCTTTAAAGTAAATAATTAATAACATTCATTTTAGAATAAAAGACTTAAGTCTATGTCCTCATTATTCAATTTTGAACTTGATTTCAATATTTATTGAAAATGTATGTATAAGCTTTTTTATATACTAATATTAGTTTTGATTAATGCAACTACTTCATTTAAATAAAATTGCCTTATTTATTAATTTTTCAAATATATTAATGTGTTATTTAATATTTCAAAATAGATATCATCAGTTTCTATAATATCAATTAAATTAATTGATGTATCTGAATAACTGAATAAAGCAATAAAAAAGGATTAATTTTATTCAGTTAAAATAGCAATTCTATTCAAACTGCAAATGTACTTTAGAGGATTTGAGAATTTATATTCTTGTAAAGTATAATTATAAAATTAATGTAATTCAAATGTATTAGTATAATAAAGAAGTATTGAATTAGTTTCATTTTATATTACATAAATTTAAAAGAGACCTTTTAGCCAATTCTTTACTGATATAATTAAAAGATCAGAAAATTAAAAACAATAAACCTCTCCTTTATATTCAAAAGCAAAAAGATTTGGATATTGAATAAATTGATAAGTTCCATAATTTTGATAAAAAAGAATTTATTCTGATTAAATAAGCTATTCAGATAGATATATATTCTAGTATTAAAATGAATTTTTGGTTATTAATATTGGGAATTTTTCATTTTTCACATGAATTATTAGTGATTACTAAATTTATTCAGCTTTTATTATTTCAATATTATTATATAATACAATTTAATTTAAATAGCCTAAAATAAATGTAATTACTTTTAATTATTTATTCTTCTTATCAATTAAATAATAGTCATCTAGATATTGTAATACTTAATATTGATTAGTATTAATGATCATTTCAATTTTGTTTTATTAACAATTATGGAAATATATGAAATTTTCATTTTAAAACACTAAATAATTTAATGATTGAATCGATCTTAATTAATTCTTACTTTTAAATTTATAACTTTTTAGTCGTTAATAACATATAAAATCTGTATTTGCTTCATTCCAAATACTCAAATTAATGTTATTATTATTTACAGTAAATTATTGTTGTAAAATTCTAAAAATATTTTGAATAGGTAATTTTGTTTCCTATTTTAGTTCACAATTTCTATAGATATAGGCCTTTGCCAATTGATGCTTTTATTCGATTGTCTTATTTTCATACTATATTCTTATACATGAATTTAATGATTAAGTGTTTATCAAATCTAGTTTCATAATGATATATATATATTTTAATTTAGGTTCAATAAAACTACTAATTGGAAAATATCTATAAAATTATACCGTAAGTTTTGTTTTGTCTATTTGATAAAATAGATTATATTAATCAAAGAAAATTAATGATGAATTTAGAATTTCATATTTTTAAATTAAATGTTAATCTATTCTAATTATTAGTTATGTTTAATTTTAAATAAAAAGATAATTAGAATATAAATGAATATTGTCTACATCATAAGTATAATTTAAGACCATGTAATTGTTTATTTTTTGAAATGGTTACAAATTTGTCTATTTTTAGTATATGATTATTATATTACTAATACACATTTTTCTTAATGGTATTATATTTAAAATTAAATATTCCACTTTTAAGAATTCATAAGTAGTTCCAACATGAGGTTCATAGTTAATTTGAAGATAATTATATTCTTCAAAAATCAATAATGTTAGAGATCCCAATTAACAAAATTATACACCACTTATATTTTTAAATTATTTAAGGATTGGCTAATAATCTTACATTTATGATTCCAAAATAATTTGTATTTCTTGATGATTAATTTCAAATATTTTCCATTTTGAACATTATATAAATGCTATTATAAATTAATTTTTTCCATCCTTATTATATTATATCTTCTTGCATTTATCTTAAATTTAATCAGAAATATTATATTCAAGTAGAAGAATAACATCTCCATTTAGATTTACAGAATATTATATTAAATTAAATTATTTTATGCAAAATAGAATTATACTTCCATCATCTAATTAATACATTTCATCACATATCTCTTCTAATAAAATATTTATCTCTATTTTAATACTTTCATGATTGTTTTCAATATAATTTACTATATCAAAACTAATACATGTTATATAATATTTCTAATTCCTAATTAATGAACAAATTAGTTTATATTAGATCATACTATATTCTAATTATTTGAACATTTTAATTAAAATAGGCATATCTTTATAAGGAATATTAAAAGATTTTTATATAATTTCTTTATCAATATGTTTAAGTTTATAATAATCTTCCTCATCTCCTTCCAATATAAAACAATCTTATATTATTAAATGACATGCTATTTTTGGTCTCATTTACTGTATTTCACAGGGTTTAGATTTTGAGTATATTCGAAGAATATGGAATCCAAAAATTATGAATAAAAATTACATATTTTAATTATGTTTTGAAAAAATATTTTAAAATAATATCATTTATTATAGAATACATTAAAATAGTTAACAAGGTTTTTATAAAATCTTAAATATTTTGAATTAACTTTATGAATAAATAACTACTAGACATTATAAATTATCTGATAAAGATTGAAATTTTATGAATGATTATCTATATTTTGAGTTTTAGATGAATAAAAAATATTATACCACTCTCATTGATAAATCAATAATTATTTCTAGTTGATAATCAATTAATAGTTATTTAAATAAATAAGTAGTAAATTATTTCATTTTTAATAACTTGAAATAATGTTACCAAATAACTTATCATCAGTAATATTTATTCTTTAATTTCTTGCAAAATAATGGTTTTAATGATCAAACAATAATCAATATTATATGATAATTTTTCTTTCTAATTAATGTTTATTTTTTCATCTAAATGAATTTTCAATATAAATTGTTAAAAACATTACTAAATAACTATTTTCTTTTAGTGTTATCTCATAAATTTAAATCCAAAATTTGAAATTAATTTATTGGGAAATTAAAGAATAAATTCAAAAAATGATATTTGATAAAATTAACTTTAAACAATACTTTGAACATTTATATATAAATTTCCTGGGATTATAAAAGTATATTAAAAATATATACTTAATTATAAAATAAACATATTATTAAAAAAGTATATATTAAAGGATAATTTGTAAATTTAATATTCAATAATTAATATCTTTAATAGTAAAATAATGGACAATGCTTTAAACTCTTTGTTAATTCGACCTTAAAATAAGCAAATAAAAGATTTAAATATCAAATATGGTCAATAAAATGAAAAGTATCCTGTTTTCTAAACATAATTCAATTGTTTGTATAAATGTCAAGTATTATTTATTCATTAATGATCTTAGATATTGACAGAAATGTAAGGAGAATGTTTAGAATTCAGATCGACTAATCACAAAACATACAATAAAAGTCCATTAGTTAGATAAAAACATACTAAAGAACAAAACGTCAAGTAATTGCCTTCCTTGACTTAGTAAATACATAATAAATTTGTTGTATAGAAACAAAAGGAACTAGTTTAACTTCTTACTATAAGTTTTACTATTCTAGTTTTTATTGTATTGATGTTGGAATACTATTAACAGAAGAAAAGAATGGGATTTTATGATTATTGATTATTTTCAATTTAGTCATTTTTTCACAGAAATATTGTATTCTATTTCATATAACTTTATCATAAATTAGTTAATTCAACTCTTTTTAGTGATTTAGAACTTCTATTAATTACTACAATTATATTATTTTTTTTAATGAAAACTATATATCTCTTTATCTTAAATTGAATATGGATACTATAATAATAGAAAACAATTAATTTAAGTCCAGGAATTCTATTTTTTATTCAATTAAGATTTACATTCTCTTTTTTTAAGGGGTTTTCTTAATCTCAAAAATAGTGTAAGAATAACTAGAAGTAATTTAATTAATAATTGATTATTAGTAAGATCAAATAAACAGAATCATCATGTGAATTTTTGACTTTGAACATTATTCCATAATAAAATAATTTAATTTGATTTTAATTGAAAATATGAATTTATTTTCTTGAATTATAAATAGACTATTTATTTATATTTATCTATTCATCTTTTCACTATAGAACATTAATATATAAGAATAAGGTGAAATTTTATAAATTATGAATTAAAAATATTGAGGAAGAATATTTTCAAATTAAGAAGAAATATTTATAATTGATGTAATTAAACATATGATTTGTTATTCATTTCTACTTTTTTAATAACTTTTTCATTCTTTATTTTAATCTTATTTACAGATTTATTTTTCTCCTATTTTATATTCATTCCATTTTCCAACTTTTTTCCCATTATAATATTTACCTGAATATACTAGTTAATTTTAGCTAAAATAAATAATTTTATATATTACTCACAAAAAGTATCACTCAAAACAATCCATTATCCATTCTTCAAACCTTAATCATCAAAGTATCCACTTCCACTAACATAAATTATAATATTATTAATATACATTTCTTAGTATTCTTTTTCCCTTCTTCCTCTATATTTTATTGACCATTTACCTTTCTTTTTACCTTTCTAATATACACCCTGATAAATAATTTTGCTATCTCTAAATTAAAATAGCTATAAATAATACTCTCTAAAATTATCACTTAAAACTATCCATATACCATCTTTCAAACCTTCCTCACCATACCAACCACCACCTCTTGTGTTAATTTATAAATATACATTTATTTGTAATTATTTTCCCCCCATCCTTTGTATTTAATATGCCATCTTCCAAATTTTTTGCCTTCTATATATTCTCCGCTATTTAAGATCTTACAAGCCCTATAGTTGATAATAAGATAAAGAAATACTGATTGAAATAGTCACTTAATTCTATCCAAACACCATTTTTCAAATCAAATTCTTCATAAAATCCTCCACCACTATGAGTTAATATATATTTTTATTACATCTCTTCATTTTTGTATTGTATTTCCCATTCCCCATATTTTTTGCTTTTCTTATATTTTCCCTTGTAAACCACTTAATTTTTTCTATATTTATATGTGTGAACATAAATATTACTTAGAGTAATTTTCACTTAAATCTAACCATTGACCATTCTTATAACCGTCTTTATCATAAAAACCACCACCACTATAAAAATTTACATTGCTTTATCATTCATTACATCAAATCAAAATCGTTGTCCATATACTATCTAAACTTTATATCCCATTTCCCTTATTTATGGCCATTTTAATATTCACCTTAATATATGATTTAATGATAGCTAGATGTCTTAAAAATATTAAGGTTACTGTTCAAAATCATCACTCAAATCTAACCATATACCATCTTTCTGGCATTCTTTATCATAAAATCCTCCATCACTTAGTTAATAATTCTTTCATCATACAGTTTTTGATAATCATTATCCCATTCTATAAAGAAATTCCAAGTCCAATTATCAATCCTTTTTCCATGTTAATAATTTCCCTCAAAAGTAACTACATTATCCAAACTACTTATATATTAACTAATAATTATTACCCAAATATATCACTTTAATCAATCCATATACCATTTTTCAAACCATCTTCATCATATAATCCTCCACCACTAAAAGTTAATTAATCCAGTCTTTTTTTACATTTATATATCAATATTCTGTAAATCCCATATTCCTTATTTTTTCCCATTTTTATATTCCCCATTATAAGTCGATTAATTATCACTATTATTGATAATTATTATGAATACTCGTGAAAATTATTACTTAGATCAACCCATTTTCCTATTTTACAACCTTGTTCATCATATTGTCCTCCACCACTATAAAGATTAAAATAATTATAAAATTCTAAACATCCATTCTGGCCAAATTAATATCTATTCCTTATAACTAATATCCCATCTACCATATTTTTTCCCATTTTTATATTATCCATGATACACAACTTAGCATTTACTAAATTATGCATAATATAAATTATAACTTCCAAAAATTATCACTTATCTCTGCCCATTGACCAATTTTCAATTCTTAATTATCATAAAATCCACCACCACTAAGTTATAACAATATTTTACATTGAATTATTCTAATAAATAGTTTCCCATCTACCTATTTTCTTTCCATTTTAATAATTCCCTTTATAAAATATCTTACTATCCCTAATTTATATATATATATAAAATACTTTTAAAACTAAGGACTCAAATCTAACCACAAACCTTCTTTAAGACCTTGTTCATTATAAAATCCACCAGCACTAAATATGGAATATTGAAATGAAATTATTTACATCTTTTAATCACCTTTCTCTTCTCTTTAATAGATGTTCCACATTCCAATTTTCATGCCATTTTAATATTCCCCATTAAAATACACATTTTCATCTCTAAATTATTTAACAATAAATTACTAATTAAAATTAGAATTCAAATCCTCCCATTAACCATTCTTTAAACCTTATTCATTATAATAACCACCACCTCTAAAAAATAGTAATTAGAATTAATTTTTATACATCAATTCAAATTTTTCATTCCTATCCTCCTTAAAGGTTTTCCATTAACCAACTTTTAGACCATTTCTATATTATCCATGATAAGTTATTTAATGAGAACTAATCAGATTATATAATAATAATAATTACTCCCAAAAATCATCATTTAAATCAATCCAATTACCTGTTTTTAAACCTTATTCATCATATTCTCCACCACCACTTCATGATTAATAATAATATACATTTATTGATCTCTATACACAAATTTCCAAACTCCTTTTCTGTAATCGTTAGAGTATTCTCCAATTTCATAAATTTAAGCTTTACTATCCTATTAATTTTAAAATTACTCCCAATAATTCTTGAATAATTCTTTCCATATTCCAAATTTTTTTCCATTTGTGTAAAATCCACCAACATCTATTAAAGCGGCACCTTTCCATAAAGCTCTCCAATATCCAACTTTCTCCAAATCTCCATTGTAAGCACCTTGCCATTATAAATGATTGATTTATTCTAAATTGGTCAATATATCTGGAGATTTTTATAAATCTATTAATTTATTTCTATGAAGCAAGATTAATTTAGTTTTTACATTCTAATAATTTATCCATCATTTTTGATGTACTTAATTTCATTAAATTAAGAATATGAGATTGTGAATATAATTTTTACTAATCGTTTATTTTTGAAATCATATTTGTAACCATCATATTGTTTGTTTCCTTAACCCAAATCATAAGGCTCTAAACAAACCTTTTTTAATGTCTCTTAAGTTTATGCTAAATCGACATTCATTATTTTTTATAATTAATTATGATTATTTTCAACAATATTAAATTACTAATTCTAATTTATAGATATATATATTTTAGGAAATGTTAATAAGATTATTATTAATTTGAGAATTTAGTATATAAAAATAATATGTTATAGAAATTCTAATATAATTATGTTACATCTTAGTTAAATTATCTGTTAAAATTCATTTCACTGTTTTCTTTTTGTTTAATTATCATCTGATATAAATTAAATCAAATTAACAAAATTCAAATACAAATTCATTATTTTTTCTAAAAGATTATATTTTAATGGTGATTTAAATTGTTTATTGCATTTTTTTAAATAAATAATCTTTAATAAATTTCTTTTGAGTAGAAATACAATTATGTGAATAGTCATGATAATGATACTTTGTAAAGATACTATTCTAATAAATGTATAAATAATTTTATATATGTAATAAAAGTGAAATAATAATATTGTTTGAATAAGAATTTATTATTAAACTTAAACTCAAACTTCTTTTAATTTTCTAATAGTGATTAAATCAGTATTATCATCCCATGTAAACAAAAAGTCCCCATCATCACTTACTGATCCATGAATATTATAAGTATTAAAATCTATAATTTAAACTTACACAATTTCAGTTAAGTCTTTAATTTAAAAAATATAAATAAGGTTTCCCATTTTATTGATTAATAATGATTTATTCTTAATAAATATCTAAGGAAATAAACAATCCATATAACACTTTTTCACATTGACTTCGTTTATTTTATTGTATAATAAATTATCTTGATTACTTTAATATATTTCTAATTTATCAATATAAAATGGCTAATAAGTAAATGCATAATCCTAAATAAAACTTAATCTATATCCATAAGATTAAACTTGTATTTCTTGAGATATGAACCATAATTGATTAATATTAGATTTTTAAATTACAACAATTTTACTTTATTTTCCACATGATATTAATTAATTTTCAGATTAATTTAAACTTATTCCGAGAACTCCATCTAAATTACAATCAATAGTTTATATACAATTTATTAACTATGTTGAATTCCAAAATTTAATCTTACCATCAATACTACTGGATATTAAAAGTTATTCATCTTTAGTTAAAATGAATTGAGTAATTAATCCTTTATGTTCTTTTGATTTTATCAAATATCTACAACTATTAATTCCATTTTTTTGAAAAATCTTAATTGTTCCTTTAGAATTTCCAATCAAAACTTCACTTGATTATACTTTCTACGAAATAGAACTTACAATATAAGTTTCTTCAATTAGAGATACTAATAATTTTGGATTATCACAAAATTAAAATATTAAAGTCTTATATGAACATCCTGCAATAAGTAATGTTTTGATTTAATTCATTGAAATAGAGCAACACCAAGATTCTAAAATTTATATATTTGTATATAGTTTATAATTAAGAGTTTGTACTTTCAAAGTTTCAAGTTGATTATGTAAATTAGATGTCATTAAATATATTTAATAAATAATTGTATATATATATATATTATTAATAAAATAATAGATATTATGTGTATATTATATAATAAAATTGTTGATAATTTGATAAATTTATTTGAATATTCAACTAAAACATCCAATTAATCCATAAAATCCACCAATAAATATATTTACTATAAATAAATGCAATTAGCTAATGTAAAATTAATATAATTTACCATTTAACAGAGAACATATATAATTTAGAATTTAATTTATTCTTTGTTATTAGGAATTTAATTAATAATTAGATAATATGGCATATTAACCATTAAAGTATTTACTATAAGAATTGATACATAAGTAATAATTAAAATTGATAAAGTAATTTCTATTGAATAATTATGTTTAAATTCTTCTTAAAAATTTGTAATAATAGATTATTTAGTATTAGATTAGAATAATAATAAACTAGTTATACCAAAGATTTAGAATAATACAGATTCAAATGCCATAGCTTAAAAGAGACATCTTTGAAATTAAGTTGTATCTTCCATTTCTATTCTAATTTCTGTCAAAACACCATTCATATCATAAGCAAATATTATTATACCAAAAGCAATCATTACTTTTTCAGTATTAGATTCTGTTAATTACCATTTCTAAAACTCAGAAATATATCCTAAAATTATTAGAGAATATCGCATGCAAAAAATACTAATTATCAAAATGATAAATGGATTTAGAAAAATTGAAAAAATTTAAATTTAATACTTTAATTCTACTATTATTTTATTCTTTTTTGAGTTTCAAAAGTAGATAAATTATTTTATTTTTTATATTAATCAATTACATTTAGATTATTAGTTTATACATATACTAAAATAGCATTAATATCTGATCAATAAATTATTCAAAATCATTAATGCATTCTTGTTATCTGCCAATATCTAAATGAGTTAATAATTAGTGATATTGAAAGAATGTGTGAATAAAATGTTAAATTTGATAATTAATTTTTACAAAATTGTATGAATAATTATATTCATTTATTGATATCAATTTATCACTAGATCATAATTATGAATTATCTAATTATATTCTACCATGTCTTTTATTATTTATTGATTTGCTCTTTAGTTGCATTCTTCTTATAAGGAAATAAAAAACTAAAATTAACAAAACTATTAATAACAATAGTAATATGAAAATTCTATAGTTTTAAATTTTATTTTCTGTTTCTATAATTAATTATAAATATATACCTGGTCTATTGAGTGATATTTTTACTTCTTTTTATGATATCATATTTGAAGCAACTAATGTAAAAGTATCATTTTATAAATATTCCTCATTAATTATAATTTCATAGCCAATCTTTCCAATATATATATTTTAATCATTATTTGAAAAACAAATCAAGTGAGTAGTATTAAATTGATAATAAGATAAATACAATTTATTTTGTTTACCAATATAATCATATAGTACTTAATCTTCCCTTAAATCATAAAAGTAAGTAGAACCAGAGAATTATTTTAAAATTAAATAGTATTCATTATAAAACTTTAACTCCATAATTTCTTTTGGTAAATCGTTTCTTAAAATTTTAATTGGCTTATATGAAATTTCAAAATTTTGCATTATAATAATAACTTAACTTATAACTAAATGATTATCAAAGATTTACAAAATTGTTATATTTAATTTTTCATCATCAATAATGCTCTCTAAAAAAATAAATTATGAATCCTAAAATCGAAGATCTTCTTAATTAATTTGAATATGTTTTATTATTTCATTTTCAATTGTTTTCCAAGTAAGTTATGCTGTTCCAATTATTTCTAATTAAAAATCATTTAAAAAGAGAATTTAAAATTATAACATATGCGTTGTAGTTTAAAAAGGGAGAGATATGTATAATTAATTATTACCTTTAATTTCAAGAATATCGACAATACTAAAATTTAAATTAATAAAATTAAGCTTATCTTAATATATTAAATACAAGAATAATTGAATTTAACATTTTATTACAATTATATCTCCAGTTTTAAAACTTTCAAATTTAAATTCAGAGTGATTAAAATCTTAATTTATCTCAAAAATAGGTTTCTCTTATAATATCAAAGTTTTTTGATCAATCTTATAAATAATTCCTCTTATTCCATTTAGAAATTCTTTGACAAATAAAAAGAGTATTGTATCATCATTCAATAAAATTATATTTGTTAAAATATCATTTTCTAATATAAGTTATGAATCCATTTAATTAAATAATATCATAGATTATTTGTTAAATTTCAACAATATTATTCTAGTCTTGAAAATTATATTGAAAATTGACCTTATATTAATTTCCTATATCTATACTCCATAAGGATTGAAATCCCCAAGAATTTCTTCAGATAGTAATAGTGGTCCTTCGATAATAATATTATCATTATCAATAATCTAGATATTATCAATAGGACCATAAAAATAATCATTAAGGAGTAATTAAGGTTTTTATTATTTATTATAATTTAATAAAGCACGATTGCTTTTTATAAATAATTTATAGCAATTATTATAGCATCTTAATTAGATCTCTAAATTTATCTTAGGATCATTCTTACTTATTGGGATAATTGAAAAATAAATTGTTTGTGTATTTATATCATCCACTTGTGCTGGAAAAGGATTTTCTATTTAAATCTCAAAGTCTTTTAAATTAAATCTCTTAACTTCATCTTCTTAATCATAATTATACAGATATTAATTTTGGAAAAAAAATTAGACTTTTCCAATTTGAATACATTTTACTAGTTAAATTGGTAATTTAGTTGATATAGTATATAATAAAATAAAGGTTTTTGTAACATTTCGAACAGCTATGGCAAAATAATTATCTTTTATTTAGTAATAGATTGGTCTAATAATTTCATATTGTTTCAAATTATGGTTATTTAAAATTGATATTTATGTTAAATCATAAATTTATTCAATTATTTAATTATTAATCAAATGTACTCCCAATATATAATATTATTGAAATATTATTTCTTTATGTAAGACAATCAGAATAGAATCTATTTTAATCATTCTAATTTATGAGTTAATCTATACTATCAAATATTGAAAATATTAAACAAATTCAAATGGAACTTATGAGTAATAAAAAGCCTAGATTTGTTCATTATTTTAATGCTTTTAGAGATACATTTCATTTAAATTGTTCAAGATTCTTGAAATTTCTGAGTCTACAATGATTATATTTGCTAATGTTAAGTCAATCAATATTAATTCTTAATTATTTTTGGTGAATACTATAATAAATTAATTACATTAATCAATTTTAATAATTTCATTATCTAATCTAATCACATCAGTTGTTGGTTAAATTTCTTGAAATTTTGTAAATCTTAAAATCTTTTTACCGATTTACAATAAAAGAATTGAACTTTAATATTAATATACTTAATATGATTAAGTATTGATTCTAAATTATATTAATCCATCACAATTTTATTGATAAATATACTTATCAGTTTTTATTAAAAAAAAGGATTATAAATTATGGAATTCATAATATAATAAAGTCTATTATTATTCTGGGAAGAATCCTTAACAAATATATTAAAAGGGTTATGAATCAAAAATATTGATGTTGAAATTTAAATTAATAGGCTGTTATATTTCATACTCATATGTTAAATTCAAATCTTGTTTGCTGTAAAAGAATGAGGAAGTATTTTGACATATATTATTAAAATTAAAAAAAGTATTTGATTCAAATTATTATTATATAATGTAATTAATCTCATAACATGAGAAATTAAACATAGTTGTTAATGATTGACTATAAAATATAAAAATATACTTTTTAGTAGGTTTAATGAAATTTCTAAGAGATTACTATTGATAATATATGATTTCATTTGTAATTTCATCAAAATAATATATCAAATTAAATTGATGATCAAAATATATTTTAGAACAATTAATTTGAATAATTTATTGAAATTATTAGTTATATATAATTTATAGTTGGTTATTAAATTAAACATAAAGGACATTTTAAAACAAATTTCCATATATATAAGTACCATTAAATTCTTATTCAAAATGATTATTTTTGATTTGCGTTCTATTATTTGATATAAAATATTAAACGTAATAAATAATAGAACAACTCTATGAAAGTATATATATTATAAATTAATATCATAAAATTAAATTAATAAGCATATAATTTACTTTAAATTTAAATAATTAGAAATTTGTACTTATAATTGTATTTAGCCTTGATATTTAAAATCAAAATGATAATAACCTGTATCAATAATTAGATATATTGATCTTTAACATATTTCAATATTCTCAATATAATTAATTTCCAAAGAGTAATTTTTATATGCTATCTATTCATTTAAAATCATATTAATTTCTTTATTATATAATAATACTACTCCCCAATTTTAGCATTAAAATAATACAATTAAATATTAATTATCATCAATTTTAAAATATTTTCTTTTACATTATGCACTTTCACTCTATCCAATTAGAAATTGTACAATCTATGTTGTTTATTTGTCAAAATCTCTTATAAATATTTTCAATTAATAATTTTAAAAGCAAAATATAAGAAATTCAGAATATTAATTGAAGAAAAATTCTTCACATGTTTCATCATCTTTAATGTTTAAATCTATTTTAATTTCCTTTTATTCTTTAATATTTTTGATTATATTCTCCTTAATATCCAATAATTTTATACAAGAAATATAATAAAATTTAGATTTTATGAGCTGACAAGTTAACTTATCGAAATCTGATAACAAACCATATGATTGAATTATGTTTATTGAAATAATTTTCTCTTTTTCCCAATTTTTTATTCTAAATAATTCACTTACAATAGGGTATTGATTATAATTTATACCTAATAAATCCTATTCATCATTTTCTATTAATATTTGATTCTATTTTCTTGGAAAATATATCTCATCAGGATCTAATCTTATTTTTTCACAAATTCTTTACTCACATAAGATAAGTTTGAAAAAAGGAATTGTGATTAGAATGAATTGATATAAATATATCATAATTTTATAAATTATAATATGATTTTTACAAATATTAATCTAAAATGTTAAATTATACTTATAATTAGAGATGTGAACGCATTTCCTTGCAATTTTTTGGTTAATCAATATATTTATCAATAGATATATAACTATTATAGTTAATACAAATTTAAACTAATTGATCAAAATTTTAATTATTTATAAATTAAACAATGCAAGAATTCAAATGTCAATTTAAAGCTCATTAAGATGAACCGATTAAAGGGTTTTGCATTAATATGAACTGTCTATAGAATACATCTTTTTGTCTTAAGTGTTTATAAAAAAAACACATAAATCATTAAGATGATTGTTTAGCTTTCAATCCTTNTATAATTTACTTTAAATTTAAATAATTAGAAATTTGTACTTATAATTGTATTTAGCCTTGATATTTAAAATCAAAATGATAATAACCTGTATCAATAATTAGATATATTGATCTTTAACATATTTCAATATTCTCAATATAATTAATTTCCAAAGAGTAATTTTTATATGCTATCTATTCATTTAAAATCATATTAATTTCTTTATTATATAATAATACTACTCCCCAATTTTAGCATTAAAATAATACAATTAAATATTAATTATCATCAATTTTAAAATATTTTCTTTTACATTATGCACTTTCACTCTATCCAATTAGAAATTGTACAATCTATGTTGTTTATTTGTCAAAATCTCTTATAAATATTTTCAATTAATAATTTTAAAAGCAAAATATAAGAAATTCAGAATATTAATTGAAGAAAAATTCTTCACATGTTTCATCATCTTTAATGTTTAAATCTATTTTAATTTCCTTTTATTCTTTAATATTTTTGATTATATTCTCCTTAATATCCAATAATTTTATACAAGAAATATAATAAAATTTAGATTTTATGAGCTGACAAGTTAACTTATCGAAATCTGATAACAAACCATATGATTGAATTATGTTTATTGAAATAATTTTCTCTTTTTCCCAATTTTTTATTCTAAATAATTCACTTACAATAGGGTATTGATTATAATTTATACCTAATAAATCCTATTCATCATTTTCTATTAATATTTGATTCTATTTTCTTGGAAAATATATCTCATCAGGATCTAATCTTATTTTTTCACAAATTCTTTACTCACATAAGATAAGTTTGAAAAAAGGAATTGTGATTAGAATGAATTGATATAAATATATCATAATTTTATAAATTATAATATGATTTTTACAAATATTAATCTAAAATGTTAAATTATACTTATAATTAGAGATGTGAACGCATTTCCTTGCAATTTTTTGGTTAATCAATATATTTATCAATAGATATATAACTATTATAGTTAATACAAATTTAAACTAATTGATCAAAATTTTAATTATTTATAAATTAAACAATGCAAGAATTCAAATGTCAATTTAAAGCTCATTAAGATGAACCGATTAAAGGGTTTTGCATTAATATGAACTGTCTATAGAATACATCTTTTTGTCTTAAGTGTTTATAAAAAAAACACATAAATCATTAAGATGATTGTTTAGCTTTCAATCCTTTAAGTAATTTAATAAATGAATATATTAAAACACATAATAAATTAATTAATTAGTAGATTGAACTGGAACTTTTAATGAAATAATATTAAAAAAAAATGGAATAATATATTAAAATATTAGAATAGATGGATTAAAAAATAAATAATCAATCATATCAAAGTGTTTAAGAATAAATTTCTTTTATTAAATATTTAAAATGGTCTAAAACTTAAAATAAACAGAGTAATAATATAATATATTTTAAGGATCTTTAATACAAGAATTGAATAATAGTATTCAAACATTAAAAGAATTAACAAAAGAAGAATCATATTTATAATAAAAACAAAACAATACTGCAAAATATAAATAATAAATAGTATCATAAAGTGAAAAGAAATAAATCGAATATAATTAAAAAGACTAAAAATTCTTACAAAAAGTTTAAAAAAAAAGGTAAGAAATTTCAGGCAAATAATTACTCAATATATAAAAATAATCTGAAGCATCAAATCTCTAAATAGATTCTTTAAAAAAAGATATTAGGTCAGATAAGTAATTCCATTATTAATAAGAAAAAATCTTTTATAATATCTTAACAATAGGAAATTCTTTATAAAATTTAAATTTGTTTTAGGAAGCCATTGATTGCTATGATTAAGTTTTATTTATCAATCCAAACGATTATAATGCACTTAATCTTAAAGGTAAATTGGTTCTTGACTATTAATATAATTTAGGTAATACTCTACACAATTTAAATCGTTATTAAGAAGCCATTGAGTGCTATGATAAATCTATTAAAGTTAATCCTGATCTTTTTGATGCATTTTATAATAAGGGTAACTGAATTTATATATATATAAAATATTATAGGTTTATCTTTATAAAACTAGAATCGTTATTAGGAAGCTATTGAATATTATGATAAAGCTTTATTGATTAATTGTAATGATTTTGATGCCTTCAAAAATAAAGGTAATAAAGCTATTTTCTAATAATTTAATAGGCTTGATACTACATACTTTAAATTGTTATAAGGAAGCTATCTAATGCTATAATTAGGCTTTATTCATCTAACCAAATGATTATGATACGCTTAAACATAAGAGTAATGAGTTCTTTAATGCAACTTTACTTTAGGCTTATCACTATATGATTTAAATCAATATTAAGAAGTTATTGAAAATTAAGATAAAGTTTTAAATATAGATCCTAATGATTATGATGCACTCTATCTTAAGGGTAATGAGTCTTTAAAAATTTATTTAACTTAGGATTATGTTTAAACAATCTTAATCGTTATTAGGAAGCTATAGATTGCTATGATAAAGCCTTATAATTCAATCCTAATGACTTTAATTTACTTATTAATAAAGGCATAAATTATATATATAATGTAGGTAATTCATTACACTATTTGGGATTGTATTAAGAAGCTATTGGTTATTATGATAAAGCTTCTTAGATCAGTCCAAATGATTGCAAAGCACTTAATTAAAAGGGTAAAGGAATTAATAAATTTTTAGGTATATCATTACACTATTTGAATCATTATTAGGAAGCCATTGATTGTTATGATAAAATCATAAAGATCAATCCTACTGATTATGATGCCCTAAAAAATAAGGGTAAGTTAGTTATTTACTATATATTAAATTTAGGCAATTTATTACACGATTTGGGATATCATCAAGAAGCAATTAGTTGTTATGATTAAGCCTTATAGATTAGTCCATAAGATTGTGAGGCCCTTAATTTTAAGGGTAAAGGAGCTTTTAAATATATAATTATATAGGTTTATCATTAGACTATTTGAATCATAATTAGGAAGCTATAGATTGTTATGACAGAATTTTAAATACGAATCCAAATGATTGTAATGCCCTCAAAAATAAGGGTAAATGAGTTCTTAATTTTATCTGTGATTTAGGCAATTCTTTACAAGAATTGGGATGTATTTAGGAAGCGATCGATTGTTATGATAAAGCCTTGTAGATCAATCCAAATGATTGTGATACACTTAATCTTAAGGGTATTGAGTTCTTAAATGTATTTTTAATTTAGGCTTATCATTATATGATTACAAACGTTTTTAGGAGGCTATTGATTGCTATGATAGAACTTTAATGATTAATTCAAAAGATTTGGAAGCTGTTAATCTTAAGGGTAATGAGTTTTTGAATTTATCATATTTTAGGCCAATCATTACATTATTTGAATATTTGTGAGTAAGCAATTAAGTTTTATGATTTTACTTTAAGGAATAATCCAAATCCTAATTACATGAAATATAAAGGTATTTTGACTCTAATTTTTTCTTAGCTGATGCATTATTAAAGATTGGAAAAAAAGAAGAATCAAAGGAATTGTACATAAAAGCCTTAAATGCTGGATATGATAAAGATGTAATCGAAAATATAATGAAAATATTTAAATGAAATATATTTATCATATCTGAAAATTTTTTGGTTTTTTAAATTTCTAATAGATTTGTTAAAATGTAATATAATGATATTAAATTATATAATAAACAAGAAATTCAATAGAATAAATATAAAGTAAATTAATAATTATTTAAAATTATAATTCAGTTAAATGATAATTGAAATATTTCATATGTTGTAATTTTTTGTGCATTTTAACCAAATAAATTGATCTCTAAATCAGGTTAAGTTTACTTTTCTTCAATGGCATAAGAAGTTCCAAGTGATGAACTTCCAATTTAAAAATTAGATGTGATATGTAAATCGCTTTTATTTTAGAAATAATAAATAGCTCTATTTAATAAGGGTGTTCCTCCAAACACAGGTCCATATTAAAGACAACAATAAATTGCATATCCCCTAAAATCTTTTTTAATAGGATAAATTTAATTATTTGTTTGTGAAAATAGGAACGATGTAAGTGTTTCATCTGAAACATATTGTCCTCTTTAACTTTTCACCCATTAACATGGACTATAAGCTCCAAATATATTTTCTTTTTCTGATTAAAAAACAATCAATAAGTTGTCTTTTCCATCTACTTTATTCCAAAATGTTTCAGCATTTAGATTACTATAACATTCCTAATGGATTAATTCTATTTTTGTAATTGGTTTATTGGATTTCTTAACAATTATATCAATTAATTTGGCTTGGAATTCTCTTGCTAATAAAGAGGTATTTTAAATAGTTCCAGGGAATTTAGGATTTATCATAATATTAAAGGAGGTGTGCATCTCATTTAATTATTTATATAATTAATCTAATTTATTCCATTCTGGATAATTTATTCTTGATTCCCTTGTGTATTAATTTTTATAATTGAGGATTGTGAATATTTAATTGTTTAAACTCACCTATTTTTTTAAAATAGAATCCTGAAAGTAATTATAAACATCTCTTTCACTTTACGTGATGTCTTATGGATTAATTGTTTTTTCTAATTGATTTAAGTTAGAAATACATTTTTTAAATTAATCGAATTTGATTATCTAATTATAATTAATATAATTACTTCTTCTAATTTTTCTCGAATTTATAATCTAAGTTCCATATATTTTTTTTTATAAACATATAATTCTTATTGCATTACAATTAGTTAGTTTTGCACTTCTTTTATAAATTTTTCAATTTCCATTATTTAATGGTTTAAATTTTTTTCTTCACATTAATTCAATTCAAAAAAGAACTCTTGGAGTATTTCAGAATTGGTAATTTCAGAAAACAAATATTCTGGATTTTAATAAGCCTAATAACAATATAAAAAGAAACATCTACTTTCCTGATGTTAATTAAATTTTACGATTAAACTTATTTAAGCCTTATTAGATCTGAATGGCATTGATCACAAATAAATTTAACCTCATTCTCTTTTGACCATATATAGAGGAATTGAGAATCCTTATGTTTTGGACACTGAACTTGCATTAATGATATAATATTTTAATTTATGTCAATTAATCAATTATTATTTAAAGAACTTTTGAGTATCATATTAGTGGATTTAAATATAAAAATATACAATATTTAATATATAAAAGAATTTAATGAAATACATTTTATCATTGTAAAATGAGAAAAATAAATTGTTTTTTTTTAAAACTAAAATTATGTATTACTAAGAGATTAATTAGTTTTAAAGGATTTAATAGGCCAAATTTAGATGATTAAAATAATTTTTATTGAGCAGAATAAAGTTCCTAGTAGTATTTGAAGTTATAAATATAAACTTGGCAATAAGAAATTGAAATGATAAAAATTAATGATGAATTTTTATTAATAATTGATATATTCAAACTTTATGATGGAATCATATTTCTAAGATAACATTTTGAAAAATAGAGAGTCAGCTTTTAAATCATTTAGCATATGATATTATAACCCACCTTATTTCTTTAATTGAAATTATTTGAATACATCTTTTTTAACAAATTAATGAAGAAAGAAAAAAATGCTACTAAGAATGAAGTTATCAATTTTATAAAATAATTTTTTTAGCATTAATATGTATACAACATATGTATTTTAAAAAAAAAAATTTTTAATAAAGGTTTTAATAAAAAAAACTTCATCTTCAACCCATCAAAATAGTTAATTGTATGATTTGAAATAATTGTGGATTTAAATCGAAAATTACATTATAAAGAATAAAGATGACAGAAAAAAACTCAGAAAAAATATATGTAAAATAAAATAAGTTAATATAATAAGTAAATGATATAATAGGGAAAAGATAAATAAAGATGAAGTAAGGTTATTAAGTTAGAATTAGATCTATTAATATCTTAGTTAACTATAGATTAAATAGAGTCTTTTCAAGAGAAAAAAAGTTTTTGTATTAAAAACAGAATGATTTAATTAGCAAATTTATTGTTTCAAGTATATTTAGAATTGATTTACAGTCATAATTTTATCAAAAAATAATATTAAATTATTCATGTTTATATATTA